ATGAAGCAATTTGATGTCCCAATTGAGACTACTGGCTCACTGCAATGCACAAGGAAATGAATCTTGTGTCTGAGATGAAGGTGTATGAACTTGTGCCCCTACCAACTGACCAACATGCTATTGGCTGTCATTGGGTCCTGGAATTCAAAGAGGACCTTAAGGGCAATCCAGTGTTCAAGGTGAGGTTAGTAGTGCAAGGTTTCTCCCAAATTACTGGAGTCGACTTCAGACACACCTTTGCCCCCATTGCTAAATCTGCATCAATTTCTATTCTTGCTGCTTATGCAGCAATGAATGATTGGGAACTTGACTGCTTCAATGCATAACAGGCATTTCTGTGGGGAAAACTTCAGGAAGATGTCTACATGCAGCAGCTACCAGGATTTGAATGTGTCAGCACCAATTGTCAACAACTGGTCTATCACCTCCTGTCTTCCTTGTATGGGTTGAAGCAGGCTGCCTATGACTGGTATGAGCTTCTTCATGGAGTACTTGCCTATCTGGGCTTCATCTGCTATGAAGCAGACTATGCAGTGTTCATCTTCAACCATATTAACGGTGAGGGGGTAAGGGTAATTTGCATCATTGCGTGGTATGTTGATAACAGGCTTGCAGGAGCAAATAACCATGCCTTTTTGGACCAGATAAAGTCACAAATTGCAGAACACTTTGGTATCACTGACATAGGACCTGTCACCAAATATTTGGGTGTGCAATTTGTCAGGGACCACACAACACATGAACTTTGGATACACCAGGAAAATTATATCACCTATCTTCTGAAAGAACACAGGATGACTGGATGTAACATGGTGTCACTTCCAATGGACCCAAACTTTCCATTTGGCTACCCAACTGATATCTATCCTCAAGTTGATAACCTTCAGACTGAATACCATAAGCTTGTAGGAGAGTTACTTTACCTAACAATGTACACTTATCCAGGCATTGCCCTGATCAGATGGTCATGCGTCTTGCACAACATAATGTCTCAGCTGGTCCTCAACACTATACTGTCACAAAACATGTCCTTTGCTACCTGGCTGGTACAGTTCACCTACATGTCCATTATAGCAGTCCTGGGATCAATCCAGCACTTCATGGATTTAGTAACTCTGACTAGGCATTTTTGATCACTGGTTACATTTGGTTTCTGAATGGGGGGCCTGTATTGCATTCTGGTAAGAAACAAATCACTCATGCCTTATTGTCAATGGAAGCTAAATACAGGCTCTTACAGCAGCAATTCAGGACAGACTCTGGCTTCAGTTGTTCTTTGGCTGCCTGTCCATCCCATTATCTCTCCCCCTTTGTCTATTTGCTGATAATTCAGGTGCCATTGCTTTGTCCAAAGAAGCTGCAAATCACATCCGCACTAAGCACATCAATCTCCATTATCACTTTATCCATTGTCATATCAAACAAAACATGTTCCTACCAGTATGGCTGTTCACACACAAGAATACTGCAGACATCTTTACCAAAGTCCTGCCCTGTCCTATGTTCACTCATCACTGTACTGGTCTTGCCTTGGTCAGTTGTTGAGGAGGTGTTCCACAATGTCTTGTTGAGGGGGTGTGTTGACATTCAACATCAACATCATTTTCCTTTTTCATTCTCTGGCATCCCAGTCTCTGTAGTATAGTTTATAATTTCATTGTTTCACATTGTTTATACCTCAGTGGTTCTTTCCATGATGCTGAGGTATGTTTCATCCTTAGATTGCACACTGACTTGTTCTCACTGTATTTCATCTATAGATCTGTTCTTTAGGTACTATCAATGTTAGTGGTTCTTTCCACAATGCTGAGATCTGTTCTTTAGCTTCAACTTTCTACAGATTCATCATCTGACTCATCGGATGATGACTCAGACAGAGAGCAGTCAGAAAGTGGTGTGCATCACATGGAGGAGAAAAGGGAACCAGGCTTGGATGATCTCATACTCAATAGTGTCCCTTGGCTAAATACCACAGGCCTGTACCGGATGACTCCTCAGTCTGAGCCATCCATTAAAAATGCATTGGATGCAGTGCTAACATCAACTAATGCATTATTTGATGCATCACCTGATCTTTAGCCTGATTATTCCCACTCTAATACTGCATTCAATTACCACATATTTAATACTATCATTGGTGATCCAAATTTGGAATTAAGCATCCTCAACCCTCTAGGAAACTTGCCTAGCTTGATTCCTCCCTCTATTAATCACAATCAACCACTTCCTATGTGCAATGATGATGCCAATCATCATCTATCTGCACAATAATATCCTAAAGTTTTTCTACCCCCAGTTTCTGAGGCAGATTCCAAGGGTACTGGGCCAACAAATGAAGCACCAGCTCCCCAACCTAAAAAGAAAACTCGCTGTGTAAAGGATGCTTGACATATCATACCACTTGGTCCCTCACTGTCATCAGATGACCTTCAGTTAGTCCCAGCCCCATCTTGCCAGGTGCATAAGCCTTTCAATCCAAGAGAACACAATAATAACATTAGTGTACCCAAAAAGTAAGTTGTTTCTTCCTGTGCTTATGTGGCACTGACATATACTCATTTTGTAGGAGAGCTCAACATACCTGATCTAGGATTCTGGGAATATTGTAGATTTAAGTGTTATGTATATCTTGGTGCTGTCGCTTGATAATATAATTGCACTTTTCTTAACATCTGTAAGCTGTATGAAACAATGGCAATTGAACATTTGGATATCTCTCATTTATAGGGGGACCAGACTTAGTGATAACAAATCTTGAAAATGACATCATGACATGTGCATGCAGAGCCAATTTTACAGAAGACTTAGGACGGGAAGAGGCCTGCCAAATAGAGAGGTTAAATAGCTTAATTGTAAGAGGACCCTGGCTGCTCCCTATACTTACAGGGCATAACACTTTTGAGTTACAGGGCATATTTTGGACATGCATGGTAGCCAAAACATACCAAAAAAGGAAATTTCCTGAAATATATTACCATGCTACTGAAATACCTAGGCCAACCTGCAGCTATGCTTCTTGTGAGACCATACTGCAAACTGTGATGCAAGAATCTTGTGTGCTTCCACCATCCCAGCTGCTGTCTACCTGTAAACAGTGGTAAATCTATGTTTTATGGTGTTCAAAGGCCCATGGCTTCATAGCATAATACCGGCCCTCTGAGACACTGAGCGCAGATGTTCCAAGATTATAGACAAGCTCCTTAATACTGGCAAGTATCCATAAGTGTCCTGGGTCCTATTGTAAGGTGAGTCCTAGGCAGTAGAGACCTGGATGTAGTGTAGGTAAGCAAGGTATACCACAAAAGTGGTAAGGTACTGAGGGGTAGGGGCTAGGTGTAGTGTAGGTTAGTAAGCAAGATACATATAAAAGAAGCAGCAAGAATAATGTGCATATGCCAGAGGACAGATGCAGGGCCTAGGCATAGTGTAGGTTAGTAAGCAAAGAAGCAGTGGGAATGATTTGCATATGCCATCAGGTGGATGGGGGGCCTAGGTGTAGTGTAGGTTAGTAAGCAAGGTACATATCAATTGGAAGCAGCAAGAACAATGCATGTATGCCAGCGGATAGATGGCTGCCAAATAGGGGTTAAATAGCTGGATCACCTTCCCAACTGGGATAAGGCTAATGCATGACTGTGCCCTAGCAATGTTAATGCATCACAATAGTCTGCTAGTTAGCACATTTTTATGCACAAGAATGACACTATGGCCTGAAAGATAACCTACAACAGCACATGCCAGAGCCTCATCACTTGACTTCTGGAGTTTGAGCTTTCCAATTCCTGTGAGCTTGTAGTATCAGACGTGGTTTTGTTAACTTTACTATTCTTGGCCTCCACAACAGCAGTATCCCAGAGCTCTTATTCTAATATCCTAATACTGTATTGTGCATTGCATTGACAGATGGTCTTGAGGGTATCAGATAAGATTCTCACCAACTCTGCCATCTAAAGATAAAAACAAAAGCTGTCTGGTCAGAACAGTGGTGCATGGTCAGAAAAATAATGAACATCAGTGCAAGCCAGGGCCTTGTCCCTTGCTCTTTCAAGTTGGAGTTCAAGTTTTTCCTTCTCCCATGCTCCTGTAGTATCAATCAACACAGTAGTGATATATATTATATCAATGGGTGGGGCAAGGTAGTTGTTATCACACATGAACATAAACCCAACACCCAAAACCCAAAACTCAAAACTCGAACATCCAAACAAATTTCAAAACTCAAAACACCAAGTACTAAGTCCCAAAGCCTAAACATTGAACCCCAAACATCAAAACCTGAAGCTCAAAAGTCATAAAAATGTATGAGTTTTGTGAGTAGTTGTATATCATCCAAATCAAAGGAGGTAATAATTCAAAGTCATCTAATGATGAAGGTCACAAGTGCCAGAAAATTGAGCACCCAGTACAGACATGAACATGCAGCACTGACTACTGAGTAGCTAATACACATGGCATGCATTACCCTACGAGAAGCCAAGTTCCAACTACTAAACATCAAGTGAAGGGTACCGAGATCTGAGGCCCAGGTCTCAACAAACAAATATCTGATATCTAGCACACTTCCAATCATCTGGTATTTCATTGAGCAATGGACAATAACACATCTTTGGAAAATAACATCATGCAAGGCTCCCTTATCTGATCTTCACTATCTCCACCCCCTTTAACTCCAAAGTGTGGACATGCAGGATTCGGTGTCCGATTTCCCGAGATCAATTCCATCATGACTGTTTCTTCCACTTCTGATATTGAAATAACCATCTGGCACACTTGGGCCCTGACTGTCACTCATGAGGCATGTGAATATACCAAATGGAAATTCAATGCAGAGAAGACAGGAGGAGACCCAGTTATACCTTCTCCAAACCTAGACACTGATCTGGTGATGGCTTGCAATCAATTGGTTGATTGCCTGATAAAGGCATATAAAAATCCCAGTGGGTCTTCCTGCAGATTCAGAAAATTGGTTTTATCAGTCAAATTGCTTCATCACAGTTCAGATGCAGATTGATGTTGCAAGATATAGCAAATTAATCTCCCTGAAGGACACCAGGCATAATGAAGAGAGAGAGGAGAAGTTGCTTGAGATACCTGCCACAATTCTTGATGCATCTGGTGGCATCATCACATGGTATATCCCAGATGCCCTGACTGATGCCACCCAGGTGTGTAATATATATTGTTACTTGATGGATATTGAACATTAAATGGTGCCTACAGAAGGAAATTTGGGTGGCCTCTGATTTGCTCACTCCAATCCTTGAAAAAAGTGTCAAGCTTGACAGTAATTGGCAAACTAATCAAGAGTGGTTCAAACCAAGCTCAGAAAATGATGTCTTAACTCCCAGATGCATCAATTTGTCTCCAGCATGGTTTCAACAGGGGCATGAGGTAGGATCTAATGTGATGGTGATTTTGGTAATCAAACTCACAAATCCCCTAGAATCAGTCGGATCTGGAGGTATCTGCATCATTGAAGGGGGCATCCTCCAAGAAGATCCTCAAAGCCATTGTGAGGCCAGCAGCCATTGCAACAATGGCACTCAGGGTGATGCATCCTGAGCAGTACTGGGCATCCATGTTTAACAGCCTGTCTGTCATTTCCAATCAGGAAACCCCCAATCATCAAGACCATTTATCTATTCCTGAATGTTTCGACATTCTCACTACTGTGGGGAACTATTCTAATGCTCGGATGAGCATGCCAAGTCTTCAGCTGGAGTTCAGGTATGATCCAGGTTGCATGATCGTGTTTTCCAGAAGGATCATGAGACATGGGGTTCATGCAGTGGAAGGGGATCAGATTACTTGGGCATGGTATATGAGGGATTCCATTCATGTTTATGCTGGGGTTCCATTGTGTGGATGGGCTAGGGTGGATTACAAACAGTGAAAGATCAAACAAGTAGAAAGTGTAGTTACCCATGTTAACACCTACTGTCAAATACCAGATATTAGATCTCTAGATCTCAAATATTCAGGCCTTAATATCCGGAACTCAACACTCGATAGTTGGAACTAGATACTTGATATGGGATATCTGGATCTCGATACTCACTATATTCAGGATTTGATATTTGGAACTCAATATTTGACATTTGATGCTCAATGGTCAATATTCAATACTGGATACTCAATAGTGGACATTCGGAACTCGATATTCAGAATTCGACATTCCATAGTTGGGTCTCAAATATCAACACCCAAATACCAAATACCAAATACCAAGTCCCTAATATTAAATATCAAGTCCTGACTCAATAGTTGGGTCTTGGTATTCAATATTAGGGACTTGGTATTTGGTTTGGTATTTGGTATTTGATAGTTGGGTCTCAATATTTGGTATTCAGTATTTGGTATTCAATAGTTGGGTCTTGGTATTCAGGACTCAATATTCAGAACTTGATATTTGATAGTTGGGTCTCAAGATTTGGTAGTCCATTTTCAGGACTCAGTATTTGGAACTCGGTGTGGGAAACACAACAAGAAGAGAACTGGAAAGTAGACTTCTAATGTTGGGCTAAATGGGCTATGCCTAGCTGCTATTCAACCCTAAAGGGTTTCTGGACTAAGCTCAGTGCTCAGAGAGGATAGGAAATCATGCTAATAACTCTCAGTCTCAGACTGGTGCTGGTAGGTGGTGAAAACTATGATGATTACATAAGCACCAAAAGTGCGAACATAACACTAAGTAATATCTGCCTATACAAGCCCACAGAATATGAAATCCCTACATCAGTACTTGATATTGGGGACTTGATACTGGGGACTCAATATTTGATAGTTGGATCTCAATATCTGAATCTCAATACTTGATACTTGATATTCAAGATCCAGGTCTCGATATTCAGGAGTCCACATTCACAATGTGACATACAATTGTCTGGACTCAATACTCAATATTCAGTATTCAGGACTCAGCACATAATGTTAGGTTAGATATTTGGAAGACAGTATGTCATTTTCATGGAGTTTGGACATCAGCATTCTGAACTCAAGGACTAGGACTACTCTCCTCTTCCTCTCTTCAATCTGGTTAGGATGCCAGTGTACACTTCAATCTCTGCCATCTTTTCACTAATGCCCTCTTCTTGCTCCTCAACCAACGTCTGGAGGTGTTCTCTAAGCCACTTCAGTCCCATTGAGGTGTTATCCACCTGCTCAGGAAGAATCAGACCATTGTCCTCAACACCACCCTAGAACAGATTAATCATCACTTAAGGAAATTGTTCATAGTTCTTACTAGCCAATGCTGGTAGTGAAAGATACAGCAACCCATTACCCAATCCCATTGCCATAATTCGTCAGGGATTGCAGTGCATCTGATCCACCATGCAGTATCATAGCCAGATATAATCCTGGAGGGATCTCCCAGATCTGTCACATCATGAAAGAGACATAAGTGGGATGAAAAGATGTGGTTCAGAACCATGTTCCATGTGAGCTAGGGAAACAACTGAAGAATATGAGCAACCAGGTTTAGAATAACCAAGATGATGTGCCTTGCAGACAAGTACTGCAGGATGGGTGTCACAAAAGTCTGTTGGAAATCTCAGCATTGACTACTGCAGTCATCAGTCACTTACAGCAATCTCCTATTGCAGCCCAGCTTTAAAGTGCATGATCTGAGCAGCAGAAGGCTCCTCAGTGTTGGCAGCCTCCATCTGATATTGGGAGATAGATGCTCAGATACATGATGCAGCCATTGACATTGTGGCTGCAATATCTGCAAGACTGAGTGTGAGGGGTTGGTATTCATTGCCAGAATCCATGGGATCAGAAGGGGATGTAGGAGGAGTATGCAATACAGGCATGGCTAATGCAGGAGTATGATGCTGGAAATCACAATCACAATGCCAGTTGGTTCAGATGTGAAGATATGAGCCACCGGTTGATGGATAAAAAAATTCAAACTCCGATGTTGGTTGATCCAGGCATTTCCTGAGACTAAAACGCTTGGGTTGAAGTAGCTGTTTCATATCATTGGCAAAAAAATTCATTCATCTTGAGTATCTATGAACCCACTCTGCAGGTCTTGAAATGCTGCCTGGGAATCCTGTGCCAGTAATGAATACATTTGGGATTGCCTTCCCAGGTAGCATGAATGACCCTCAGGCATTTGGATTGCTGACAGCAGTGCTGATTTTGAGCTGCTCCTGAAACAGTGGTTTGTATTCCTGAAGCTGGTCTTGCCCCAGCTCAAGTTGCATCATTTGCTTCTGTGTCTTTGTATATATACTGGCATGGAGGGACACTGCCTGCTGCACTGACATCACCTGGGACCAAGCTCAAGTTTTCAGGGCTTGAGATTTGGCTTGCCTAACCATTGTTTGGAACAGGATTGCCTTGTTGCACAAGTGAATCCAGAGGTTGTGAAGGGCATCATTGGCCTGCCCTTCACAAAGTGACATCTCCAGTGGAATCAGATCCTCTGCCATACAGTGTCTGCTTCAATCTACCCTGAGGTTTGATGGCAATGGGATGACAGTGAGCTTGGGGGAGTTTGCCCATGTATCAGATGTGTCAGTGAAATCTGCTGGGTCATCATTAAGATCATCAAGAATGTCTACATTCAAGTTATCAGGATCATTGTCTGCATCAAATCCCTCTCCCAGATGCATAAGAGCAGACTGAGTGAATCCATCTATCTGGCCTTGGAGATGATTATGTTGCTAGGTGATGTCTAATCTCTGTGTCCCTGTAGTTCTTCTTCCAATTCTTCGGAGCTTGATGACCAATGCAATTTGAGCCTCTTCAATTGCCAACCCCATTGATATCCATGTTGTCACAGATCTGTGAGCAGGTGCTGCCTTATGGGAATCGCCCTCCTCTAGCAGTCTAAGCTTGATCTCCTTTTTGCTTGGTGCTGAGTGCAATAATTAATTCTGACTTCAATGGAGCCAAAGTCAACTTATCCTTCTTGATATTAATCTCATATACATCCATTGCTGCAGGATTATTTATTCTGCTGGACTGAGCGATCCTCTTGCTGGCTAACCATTCTTTCTTTGAAGCTGCAGGTGCTGCTTCATCAAGTCTGTCAAAAGCCTTTTCACTTTCAGTGATGCCATTCTTCACCTGCTTGTATTTATGGCAAAGAGTCCTTTTCATGCGGATCATCTTGTGGAAATTGGAATTGTTCATCTGATAATCAAGACATTCCTTGTGATGCAGGGATGACATTCCCCAAGCAGCAGGGGAAATCAGGTTGAGACATGATCATAGGGTCTCCATGATCTCACCATTGATCCAACCAATGCCTTCAATAAAATTTGATGCATATTGGACATGCCACAACCAAATTCTGGGAATGATAGTTAATTCCAGAACCATTTTGAGAAATTGGCTTCAATCCACCTGAACCCAAAAGTGCTTATTGTATTGACAGTTGATGTCATAGAAGGTGACAGCCCTGGTAATGCCTTCTATGTTGTGCTGGGCAGCCTCACAAAGGGCATAATCCATGTTCATTTGTCTGCAAATGATGCATCATTAACTTGTGAATGTAGAATGACATGGTTGGCTTGCCTTTCACCTTTCTGAAAATCCACCATTGAGTGAGGGACAAAGCAACTGTGTCAGGCATGGGCAACTCCCCTAATACCTGTGGACTCCAGCTTGTGCTGAGCCACATTTGCTTGATTCACCACCTGGTGATTGTTGCAGCTCAATTTTTCCAATGTGTCAGCAGCCTCTGCAAGATGCATTTTATACCTGTCCTTTCCCACCATGAATCACAACCCATCAGAAAGCCACACTTCATCACATGGCTTGATGGGATCCAGGTGTTTGGCTTTGAAATTTCCATCCATAACAAATGTCCAGGTGTATTTCCAGCTTGGAGCTGTTATTATTTCTGAGGTGACTTTGGTATTGAACTAGACTCACTCATCAAGTGATTCATCCCCTGACAAGGATACATTAATCCCAAGCTGAGGATGTGCAGGGCAAAACAATGTGAGATCTCCTGCATTCAGGTTGTCGGAACAATGGCCAAATCCATGCCATTTCATGGCCTTCAACTGCCTCCACTGTCAAGCAACTCTCATGAGCTCTCTGTATTGGTCCTTTCCATGTGCTTTGTCAATATAATGTCCTTTAGATGTTGGAGATTTGGCATTACTGGAACAAGATGTGGAAACATGCTCAAGGTCATTCACCAGAGCTTACTGTAATAGTTCATTGCTGAGGTGCCACATTTGAGGTTGTCCAATAGAAAATTATTGAGCACCCTGAAGGTGAACAAAGTCTTTGGCTTGTTAAATGATGTGGGGAAAAATCCATGTCGAAACATTTGAATGTCTGGACTCATGGCATTTGGACAATCACAGCATCAAACCTCAAGGTGATGAACTCCTGACTTGTCAATGATGACCATTGTGTTTTCCTTTGGCTGGAACTCAGGTCCTGACACAGATGGTCAATCTTCAGGCTCAAGCTGGTCTTCATGCTGGTCTTCTTCAAACAAATCCCACCTCTCTGTGAGGACCAGACATTGTTTGCCATCATGACTGAGGTGTATGACAAGTCCAACATGGGCGAGACAACTCTGCTCAAGAAATTGACTATTCCATTGACTGATCCAGTGGAAAGGATTGCAATGATATTGACTCCTGCAACAGCCAGTGCAATATAGTGGCTTCCCAAGACAATCTTGACATTTGTAGACCCCATCCTGGTCGCAGACAATGCATCTCCTATCTTCTGGTGGAGCTTCTTGATCCAGGAGGTGATGCAGATATGATTCCTGCCTTGGCAGCCATTGCCTGAGGTAGTCATTCTGACTCTGCATTTTTTATGCTTAGCTATCATTTGAATGACAATCCAACATTTTACATGAACTTGCCATGGTTTTTGGGAGTTGCAAAGACTCAAATGAGCCTTGGTCATGCTCATAAGCATTGTCAGGAAAGTCTTCCCAAGGAGGTGGTGCCTCAACAGGCTGAAGTGTTGGTGATTCTGGGGGAGAGTTAGGCATGGACCTGTAGGCATGTTGTTTTGTGCTAGCAAGTGGGACCTTGACCCAAGTTTTCCTACCTTTGCTGCCCCTTGCTTCTACCCTGTGGGATTTTTGCAATGGGTTGCATCTACCTATCTTCATATTACTTTCTGATGTTGCAATATGATGTTATGCAGTCTTGATACATTATTACAAATTCATTTCCACTAATGGCATTGCATCCAATATGGGTTGATTAACCAACTGTTAGGCTTTGCTCAAAGTTCAACTTGTCACCATTATTACTTCCACCTTGCTTATCCTCAGCCTATTCTGCAATCTCATTCACCATGGCAAGATCAGGTCACTCCACTCAGTTGACTTCTGGAAGACATAGGGCATGTCAACCACAGACACAGAAGCTCACAGAAAATGAAATTTCAGAGTTGAAAAACTACCTTCCTGAGTGGACTTTGGCAAAAAGGAAAGAGAAGCAAGCAGTTTTCACTGCCATAGCTAGGGCTGCCAGGTTATTTGCTCCTAAGGACAACCAAGCACAATGGAAGAAGAGGAAGCAGATGATTCATCCTTGCTGTGTTGAAAAACGAAAATTTAAATATCTTATTCTTCCATCAATGCTCAGATATACAAGACTTGGTTGTTCAACAACAGGAAAAAGAAGGAAAGGAAGGACATGATAAAGTATGGGAGGAAATGGATGCCTAGGATGGTGATCTACCAGTGGAACCAGGAAGAGGTGCTAAAGAGGATTGAGGACAAGTCCAGAGCAAAGCCAGGAGGTCCTAGTATGTTCAAGCATTATCAGGCAGCTGTGAAGAGAGTCATGGCTGAATTGTCCAATGATGAGTTGGAGAAGGTGAAGGAAATAGCTGAAGGATGGTCCGACAACTTTCCTCCTCCTGAGATACAGGTACAAGTCACTCGTAAGAAGGGACCTGTGTATATGGAGTACTTTTCAAAGGAGATGTGGAGGCAATGCGGGATGAGAGTGTTTGTGATGTTGGCTTGGAAGAATGAACAGGGAGAGGTGCTGTTCAGGATGTAAGTGAATTGTGTCGGTCATTGCAGATCTTCAATCTCAATACATGTCATGCAGGCACAATGATAATGAGGCATTAGGAGATGGGGACAGCTTCATGAAGATGAAGGACTGGGAGGACATTAAGCCAGTTTGGCAGGAGTATATGCAGGAACAGTTTGGTGAGTGTTTGAACTCTGGCTACTAGAAGGAATTTGTTGATTGTCATGATGATAGGTGCCAGGGCATGGGATGGAGGACAACAGATGAAGAGAGGTCAAAAAAGAATCAGAAAGCCTGCTTTTGAACTGGAAACCAATGGAGATGGGATGTTGTTGCTTTCAGACATCACCAACATGAAACTTGAGGAGAAGAAGGCCATAGTGAGCCCATTTCTTACATTGCACTATCATGAGTCTATCATCACAACACCTGAGAATTTGTTGAATGCATGGACACAGAAATTTATTCTAGAAGCAACAAGGCAATCATGCCATGAAGTGCCATCATACAAAGTCAGGATGACTTTGTGGCAAAGAAGTATGTTCCGGCAGATGTGGACTTGAAGGAGCCTTCAAAGTTGCAAAATTGGAACACTACAGCCTTACTCAATTTCTGGCATGCTCAGCAGGAGAAAGGTGAAGGACCAACATTCCTGTTCAAAGCATGGAAGAACAAAGATGGAGACATGGTAGCATCAGTTGTGTCCAGGAATTCGCCTTCTCATCAGACTCATAAAGTCAGAAAGCAGATGATCTGAAGGCCTTGGAATTCATCAACTGACACTGAGAGCGATCCCAGGAGTAATCCCAAGAGTGACTCTCATCACATGGAGGATGATGCTAATGATGATGCAGCTGATGGTAGATCCCTACAAAAGAGACCCAGAAGAGAGCCAGGTCCTTTGACAGCACATGAAGGGACAGCAGTCCCATGTGCAATTCCAAAGCCTCGCCCAGTCAAGCTGGCAAAAACTGGTGCACTGCTGACATCACAAATGGGTGACCTCCTGGCTGGGTTGACTGACAGAGTCACTGGCAATGTTGGGGAGGATGTTGCAATGGAAGGAGGGCACATGTCTCTGGCACCAAAGAACATGTGGGGAAAAAAAGCAGCAATTGAGCCATTGGCAAGGACAACCTGGAGTAAGTCAACTCAACAGCCATCAGACAATACCCCTCAAGTAACAAGAGCAAGGGGAAAGAAGTAATGGACTTATACTACACTGCCTGTCTTTATGTACATGTCAATGTTATTCAATTGCTATGGCTCAGGAGTTCCTGGGTGTTGAACACAGAAGTTTAATTCTCACTTTGGCTCACCGAGTCCTGAATGTCAAACACCAAAGTTCAATTCTCGCTTTACTGAGGATGACCAAGTCCTGAGTTCGATCTTCAAATTGAACTTGGGACTTGGTGAGCCAAAGTGAGAATTAAACTTCTATGTTCAACACTCGGGAACTCCTGAGCCTCTGGAACTCAATTGGAAATGGAAGAGGAATGTGTCGCAAATTTGGTTGTTTACATGATGTGGGTATGTTAATGAAAATTCAGAAGTTTACATGTGATTTGACTACTATCAAAAATTTGGTACTTTACATTTGAATCTGATCTTCAAACTGATTGATCAGTGAATCTACTACCTTGAGCATTTCAATGCTCATCTGTTGAGCTCTTTGCAACCTCTGGAGGTCTGCATTAGCTCTTCTGAGTTTGTTGGAAGTTTCTGCCCAAGCCATCCGGAAGGGTTGCTTGGCCTTTGTTACGAACTAGGGTAGTTCTAACAACAGACAACTCAATAAGAGTCAATGACTTCTGTTGAGGTTCTACACAAGATGATAAGTCAAGCGTTTGGTGTAAGCTAAGGTAGAGGGAGTGCCTCTATCTTAAAGTACAGTTCAGATGACAAGAGATTGGAGGTCTCAAGTGAAGGATATTCCAGGTAAAACCTAGTAAGATTAAAGTAAAGAACTAAAGCATACAGGAGACCTATTTATAGTGAACTACTGTGCTTTAGGGCAGGTGTGAGAGCAGAAAGAGTCAGAGATAAGAGATGTGTAAGCAATAGCAAGAATAGATCATCTAGCAACAGCAACGGCGGTTGTGATGTAATACAAGGCATGAGTAAGAGATAAGTCTAGCAGCAGCAACATGCGGCTTGTGACATAATACACAGTAATGAAGGAGAAATGAACAGGGGCGTACATGATTGTAATAGCCTTAAGTAGCATTGGAATTGAAGGATCAGGAAGATCCCCAGTACAGTGTTTGTAATCACTAAGTCGATCTTGAACAGATTGCACTTGCAGAAAATTAGCACAGAGATAAATGATCTACTTTGTCAGATACTCATACCCGGTGTGTTCATATGACCCGAATGGTTGGAACTCCTGGGCCATCAAATGTAAATCTTCATTAGTGAGCTCCAGCTGTTCTGAATGAAGTTCAGTAGAGGTGTCATCCACTTGGGGGATACATTAAGTATCTATAATCCTCTGGAATAAATGAATCATCATCCGGCCCTAGGTATAGATCATCTAAGGGATACCCAGTAAATAGATAAGGCATAATAAAAATACAACACACCTAGTGATGCCCGGGACACAGTGGACTCATCCACATCCATTGAATTGTAGTCAGTCACTGGAGGGTCATTGAATCAAATGGCTGACTGTGGACTCATGTTGTGTGGGGAACTTATTGATTTGTTGGCTGATAATGGAAAAAACTTCGAAGTTCAACACAAAACTGGTGATCACTGGAAGTTGAACCATGACCAAACAAAGACAAACAATCAATGATTTTATCAATTGTCCATCAAATGTCTTGTTCCTTTTGAAACTTCATCCTTGTGATAACTGATTTCAACCTGATTTCAAGATCTTTAAATCTCTCAACTTAATCATCATGTCCACTCCAGTTGACAACTTTTTGACCAGTCTCAAGGCATCCACTGCCCAGATCATAGCCATCATCAGCAGCACCCAGCAGATTCCCCTGGGTAACAGCCACTTTTCTCTAACAACACAGGTCAGTTCACTTGTAGTATATAGCATTCTTTTTTCTGCTTGTTTTCTCTCTAACATCCAGGCAGGCTCAAGTGATCAAGGACTATCAGACTGGACCCCTGCCTGGCATCATGCTTTTGTGCTCCAAGGAGCTATTGTGTGTCTGGGGCATGACTCCCCAGGTCTGGCCCAACTGGCACAGCATCAGGTATGATGATCCCTGTCTCTTGAAGCACGTCTGGTGCCCCAAGCTCCTCACCTGGGAGGCCTTAGGTGACCATACCTTTGATCTCCCAGTTGCTACTCCTCCCTCCACAGGTCTGATTCCAGTGGACCTTCCCTCCCCACCCATCTGCACTAGCAATGTTGCTGGTTCCTCCACCAGCACCACCACCAAGTTCTGGGACAAGGGGAAAGGTAAGGCCATTGATGCTGACCTGGAGCCCAAGGCAGAAGGGAGTCAGAAGAGGAAGTCTCCCATGATTTCAGCACTCTCCTCCTAACCCCCAAAGTCTGCGATGAAGACTTGCAAGCATGTGAAGTTATCTTGCTGGGTGAAGTCCAAGCCCCTAGTGGACTCAGAAGATGAGGAAGACATGAGTATTCAGGTATGTCATCTGGTTTATCTTTGACTTGGCTCACATTTTCTTGTAGCCATTTTTGGGTGGAGTGCCAGATGTTGTCCTTCCCCAGCTCTCCAATTCACCTAGATCACCCCAGGTTTCAACCAAAAAGCCCTTTGGCCCTGCTACAGTAAGTCACATTTATGCATCTGGGACTTGGGTGTATGCTCACAATGTACCAGGTGATTGCTGGCAGTCATCCAGCGGTCATTGAGCCCTCCCAGCCAACTCCCAAAAGCCCAGTGGAGGCACCCCCAGTCATTGATGGAGGTGATATTCTCATTCCTAGACCAGTGAGTACTTTGATTTATTTGAAAAGCATTCATTCACTAGCACAATCCAAAGAACAACCCATGCCAGGTTTGCACCAAGCTAAACTGGGACTGCGCAACTCGGTTGGACAAGAGGACTGGGAATCCATGTATGTTGTGCATCTACTGCATGACAAAGAAGATCAAGTGCATCCCCACGACTCTGGGTACCCTGCTGAAACACATTTGTGGTTCCTCTACCACCTGGAATGAGGTCTAGGACTCCCTCCAAGGCTCCTTCCAAAGCTCCCCCACCTCCCAATCCAAGGCCCAAACTCACAGTCAGTCTCATGGCAAGTCCAGAACTCCAGGTGTCACTGCTATGACAACCCCCAAGACCCAGACACATGGTCACAGCAAAACCATCACTCCCATCAAGGCACCCACACCTGCACCAGCTCATAAGTCACCTGAGTTTTTTTTCATCACTGTCTGACCTTAATTTTCCCTTGTAGCACTTCCATCTGCAAGTTTGGCAATCCCTGCTCCAGCACCTGGTCCAGCAGTCCCTGCTGCAGCACTCAACCTGCCTATGCCGGATCTCCATGCCATGACAATTGCAATTTGGGATGGTACAGCTTGCATCACCATTCTCAATGCTCATGTGGCAGAGCAGGATGGTAAGATTGACACTCTGCAATGCCTCCATGAAGACCTTAGGCATGAAATCATCAACTGGCACTCTGCATTCCCAATTCTCAAATCTCTGGCCAATGCAACATCCTTGTTGCTTGATCAATCTGTTCCCCCATCCATGTCACCATCTGCATCTGCACTCCCTCCTCTCATTAATCTCTCAATTGGAGAGATGATGCCCACACCCCTGAAATTCAAGGATGCCTCTGCCATTGAGGGCCTCCTGTTTGAGTACAACCAGGTTGTTCAACCAGAGGTTCCAGATATGTACAGTGAAATTGTGGACCTGGGTGATCCAGGCAACCTGGTCCCAGAATATGGTTCTTCTGATGACATGGATGTTGAGGTGAAGGTTGAAGCATCTTCTGAGGAGGTTGACAGGGCTACATAATTGCATAGTGATAGATGTATCTACAAGTTTTTCAATGAATGTTACCTCTGCCAGTCCATTTATTCAATCACCGAGTGTCAAGTACCAAGTACCAAAACCCAAAACTTAGAAACAAACATTGAAACTTGAAAGCAGACAGTCATAACAATGTATGAGTTTTGAGTTTTGATTTGTAAACTCAAAACTCATACATTTTGACGACTTCTGAGTTTCGGGGTTCAGGGTTTGATATTAGGGGTTTGATATTCAGGTTTTGGGACTCAGGACTCAGTGATTCAAGACTCAAAACTCAAAACTCATGCATTGTTACGACTGTCTGCTTTCAAGTTTTGAATCACTGAAACCTGAAACCTGAGCATTGAAACCTGACACCTGAAACTCAAAAGTCATAAAAATATCTGAGTGTTGAGTTTCAAGTCTCAAGACTCGAATCACTGAGTCCTGAGTCCCAAAACCCAAACACTGAAACCCGACACCCAAAACTCAAAAGTCGTACCAATATCTGAGTTTTGAGTTTTGAGTTTTGAGACTCAAATCACAGAGTCCTGAAACCCTAACCTGACACCTGAAATCAAAATTTGTAAAAATATATGAGTTTCGAGTCTCAATTTTCAAACTCAAAACTCATACATTTTTACAACTTTCAAGTTTCAGGTGTCGGGTTAGGGTTTTGGGACTCTGTGATTCGAGTCTTGAAACTCAAAACTCAAAACTCAAAACTCAAAACTCAAAACTCAGATATTGGTATGACTTTTGAGTTTCAGGTGTTGGGTTTCAATGTTTTGGTGTTGGGACTTGGGACTTGGTGATTCAAGTCTCGAAACTCAAAACTCGACACTCAGATATTTTTACTACTTTCAAGTTTTGGGTGTCAGGTTTTGATGTTCAGGTTTTGGGTTTTGGGACTTGGTGATTCGAGTCTTGAAACTTGAAACTCAACACTCAGAAATTTTTATGACTTTTGAGTATTGAATCACCGAGTCCTGAAATCTGAGTACCAACACAACTTCAGGTGTTGGCATTCAGTATTTGGTACTCGGTGATTCAAGACTGGAAACTTGACACTCAAAACTCAAAACTTGACAGTCATAAAAATGTTTGAGTTTTGAGTTTTGAGTTTTGATGTTGGAGTTTTGAAGTTTTGGGTTTTGGGTTTTGATGTTTAGGGTTTGATGTTTGGGTTTCAGGACCTGGCACTCGCTGTGTTGACTTTGATCAATGTTGACAGAATCTGAGTCTGAATGTCATTGATGATTCAGATCAAAACTAGTGCAACAGCATTGCTCATATGTCCATATAGTATACCAATACCTCAGCCCATACATCTAAATGATATGTATCTGGGCCCACCCATTGATATGACATCCCCCTTTGTTGGCCCACCCGTCTATGTAATATACCCTATGTCGGCCCACCTGTATATATAATACATATTTCCCTGCCCCATTGGCCCACCCATCTATGTAATATACCCCCACCTTGGCCCACCCATATACAGTGGCTCAAAAAAGTGTCTCAATGTTTGTGACTTTTTGTGTAATTGCTGTATTATGAGCTAGGGTGTGACAGTATGACTAAGCCATAGGGAGGTGTGGGACAGCTCTGCTTCTAAGCTTTATGTTTAATCCCTCTAGTGTGAGAAAATTATGGCATCAAGTGAAGATATGGTTAATTTAATTTGGTGACTCATTGAGACACTTTTTTGACTTTCAGTTTGACCAACACAATCTCTATAATTCTGGTACTTGGTGTTTCCTCCTGTTGCTCTAATTACTTCTGCTGCTCTTCTATGCATACTATCTATCAATTTGAGGCATTCCTCATCAACAATATTGCCCCACTCTGCTGCAAGTCTCTCTCACAGTTGAAATAACCCCTATTGAGGATCTTGATGGACTGCAAGTGATATCTTGAGTAATTACCAGGGTTGTTTAATAGGGTTGAGATCTGAGGATTGGACTTGCCATGATAGAACACTGATACCATAGTTTTCAAACCATTTTATGGTCAACTTGAAGTATGCTTAGGGTCATTGTCTTGTTAGAAGGTAATGTTTTCTTCATTAATTCTTGATTCTTGCATGCTTCTGAGTAGATACTTTTCCATAATTGAAATGTGCTGCTTCGCATTCATCCCTCCCCCACCTTACAGAGAATTCCTACTCCATTCCACCTCATACAACACCATACCATCAAGTTTCCTACTCCATACTTTAGTATTTTCTTGACCTTTCTTTCTTATAGTAGTTCTTCTGCATTTCATTATATATATTCCTAGCCATCTGGCCCCATCCTATTGATTTTTGTCTCATGTGACCAGGTAGCCCTATTCCAGTCCTCAACAGTCTAATATTGAGGCTTTAAAGCAAAGACTAATCTTCTTCCTATATAGGCTGAAGACAGGGAAGGCTTTTCTGCCTGTTTACAGCTTTAAGATTGGCTGCCTTAAGAGTACCCCTGACTATTTGAGTGGAGAGAGCAGTGTAGATGATGTAATTAATGAATTTGGTGGCTTGAGTAGCATTGGCAGCCTGCCAAGTTGGAATATTATGAATAAGAGATTTTTTGTTATATGATGTAAGCTTGAAAGGACAATCTAATTTGATATTTTTCTTGTCTGGAATGACTTTTTTATCATCCTAATGATAGCAACCCTGCTCAGACCAGTTTTAGTAGCAATCTGCCTGGTATACAGATTAGAAAAGCTAATGATAATATCAATAGGGGCTATTTCAGCTGTGAGAGAGACTTGCAGCAGAGTGGGGCAAGATTATTGATGAGGAATGCCTCAAATTGATAGATAGTATGCATAGAAGAGCAGCAGAAGTAATTAGAGCAACAGGAGGAAACACCAAGTACCAGAATTATAGAGATTGTGTTGGTCAAACTGAAAGTCAAAAAAGTGTCTCAATGAGTCACCAAATTAAATTAACCATATCTTCACTTGATGCCATAATTTTCTCATGCTAGAGGGATTAAACATAAAGCCTAGAAGCAGAGCTTTCCCACACCTCCCTATGGCTTAGTCATACTGTCACACCCTAGCTCATAATACAGCAATTACACAAAAAGTCACAAACATTGAGACACTTTTTTGAGCCACTGTATATAATAAATATTTCACCACCCCATTGGCCCACCCATCTATATAATAATATGTGCCATACATCTCTCTTCAGCCCAGCTGTCTAACAGAGATGACTAACCTTTGCCTTAGCCCATCAGAATTGGATTACATGGAATGGAAGCATGTTATATGATCATATAAGACCACAATAAATAGGATTGGGTCAGATGGCAAGGTATATATGTGAAAAAAGAAGGGTGCTAGTCCTCTCTGCATATGTGTGATAGAGAGGAGAGCCTTTTCTTCCTTGTTACTGACCTGAGATGAGCTGTCTTGAGAATGTTTCTCACAGTGTGTGAAGAGACAGGGAATGTGATGGTGGAATTGATGTAATAGGTGACCTGGACAGCATTATCAGCCTTTCCTGTAGTGATATGTTGAATAATAGCTCTCCTATCAGTAGAGGCAAGCTTGGATGGACACCCTTCACAGAAGTTTTCCTTGTCTGTGTGACTTTCTTTGATGAACTTGGCCACAGTGGACTTGGATACTCCAGTTCTAGAGGAAATTTGACAAGCAGAGAGGCCAGAATAGGAAAGAGAGAGGATATTATCCCTTTGAGCAGGGGGGGTGGCTTTCATGGTGAATATATCCATGACATATGGAAATTTTTGGTTTGTATAGTTAGATATGGTTTTAAAATGACATAATGATATCACTTTATAATTTATTTAATGGTGGCATGATTGTTATGGTGTCATAAATGATGATTTATATAGTTTTAATATGTACTCAAAAAACTGTCCGCATGAGTCACCATTTTGTGAGCCTTGTATCTCCACCATATCTCCACCGATTCCCACGGTGTAGGGCTCAAATGAAAGCCCTGAAGCCATACTACAATGTGCTATAAGCATGTCCTTGAGCCACTGTACCTATAGTATATAACCTCCTGTAACTCTCTGTAGCACCTCAGTTTAAATATCAACTTAGTTCTGCTCATTCCCGTCCTCTGGACCTGAGTACCACTACTCTCATCATCCTCTGAGACTTAGGATTGATTCCTATAGTCTATCTGCATCCACCTCTGTCTACAACAGCCATTACTGCTAGTTTCTAGTCTGGACTCATCTGGATTAGTCTTATGATACTTATCCCTCATCTGGAAGTCATCCAGATCCACTACACTACCCGTCCAACCCCCTGGATGCATTAGTCTTGCCTTCCTGAAATAAGGGGCAATACTCGAGTAAGGGGCACAGCGCATGAGCTGAGGCTGAAGCCCTTGGGATCCATTAACCCTTGAGTATGACCTTAACACATCAAATCTGTATGGTGGGCTTTTACCTGGATCTTCTTCTATCACATGGATATGGGAACGGCAAACAGCCACAATTCCAATGTCTTCAATGCACAGGCTCAGTGGGACCAGTACCACATTGCCTTCCCTGATATGATCAGCCATACACAGTGCTGGGACTTCTTCACCGACCTTATGCAACTCCAGTTGACATGCCAGATGTACATTTCAGAAAAGTGCCAGAAAGTTTGCAGTGGCATTGCTTATTTCACAAGCGATATCCAAGAGAACTATCAAGTGGCAGAGAATAAATATCCCTTGATAGCACTTGGCGACACTCTTCCAGAGCATATGCATTCACAAGCTGCCAGTCATCTCTAACTTGTGCAACATTGTGCTCAGGGTTTAGATATAGAACTTTATCTGCTCCCCAACCTCCTGAAGCAGAAGAGGTCCAGACTGCAGAATGAAACATTGCTTGCACCAATAAATCAAGGGAAGAAGGCTCAAATGACTTGATTTTGACTATTTGTACAAAAAGGAACTGGGAGATGGTAGCCTGGCATCTCTAGATGTTATGAATTGTCATAGTACTCAATTATAATTAGAGCTTCTGTCTGGACTTGAAGTCACATATGTGAATGCTGTTTAAAGGTGATTCAAATCTGTCACATCGGGGTTATCGATATTGGCAGCTTCATCACGGCAAGGGCTTTTGTACTGACCATGGGAAAAGAGCATAGGTAAATGACATAGGATGACTCAGACAGCAAATGAAACATGATCGATCAATGGATCAAAAGAAATGGAATGGAGACTATGAAAGTAAAGTACATGAAGCCTAAAATGGCTGGACAGCAGTACAGGGTCATTTCAAAGGTAGGGATGCAGCCAATTCAAGACCAGGACATTTTCTAGTGTGTGAGCCAGATGCTGGGACATTCTCCTTTTCCAGGCCTTCTGAGGTGCGCTCAGCATATTTTTTGCTGCCATCTGATGGCACTTCCAACTCCTGCAATGATTGCTGAGTGATACAAACTGTCCGGATATCCATAAGTTGATGCCCAAGTGTATGCCAGTCTGACACCACTGTGTGCAGTCTGGACATAAAAGTTCCCACTGCTTTGAGGCACTGATGCAGACTTGTAGTTTGTCATTGAGAAAAAGTTGATAAAGCGCATCGGGTGTATTTAATATTAGTAGTTCTTCATCGTCATGTTCCATGTGCTGGTCCGAACTTTCTGATTCAGGGTCTGATGGGACGAAGTTGTCAGGGGTTACAGCTAATTGATAGGCATCTGGTAGATCTTCTGGTGCGATTGCCAATTCTAGGAAGGTGTCCAAGTGGTATTGCGCCTGGCCAGAAGAATCAGAAGATTCATTCAAGGGAGATCTATGAAGGTGTGATTGAAAGTCCAGGCCTGTCTGATATGAATCATTAGTCGTGTCTGAGTCCCAGTCACTATCATCAAAACTTGATGATACAAAGGTATGCACATGCTACTGTAATATGCCTGTGATAATAATTTACAGAGCAAGAGTATGAGATGCATTGAGGATGACGCGCATATATTGACTTGATGTCACATGTTTTGATCATGTGTTTTGCCAAGTTACTTCCAACATTTTTTTTTAATGAGTAATGCACTGGCATGCGCATTTTTTATTAAGTAAACTACCTAGTTGTATTTTACAGTAAGAAAAAACCCCAGTAACAAACAAAAATAATAATCAATTTTGAGACTGCTAGGTCAAAGCTCAAATCATATCTAACGAAAGTTCAGGTGGCTGTATATTAAGGTTTAAATTCTTATGTAAATTTGAGCCACATATCCAGAATTTGCCTTTTGCACCCCTCTTGATCTAACATATCTAACATATATAAGCACAGCATAAAAACCGTCAGCTTGGTATCAATTGTGTCCACCCTGTCCACATCATGCTGTGCAGAACTGACACATGCTTGCATCTCCTATCATCATCTCACCTTGGTCAACAATATACCACACTGTCCCATGTCAAAACACAACAAGATACACTATGCTCATTTTCCAAGGGAAATGAGAACAAAGATTGCATGAATAGTGTATATAAATCTCTCCTATTGTAAAAAAGAGATATCGAACACAATGTCCAAAGGTTATTGCTTGTATATCTAAATGCTATAAAATAACATTGAGAGCTGCTGACAACAATGTGAGTGTTTTGTATCAAGATCATTGAAAACAGTGTGAACTTACAATGAAAGGTGCATCTCTATCGAGCATACAGTCACACCCTTTAGTCCAGAATGACAGGAATGCACGATCATAATCCACTGATGCTTCCAGCAACGCTTTCAACAGCAAAGTCTGTGTGTCTCACAGACAACACTGTCATTCTCATCTTCAGCACATTCACTGATGAATGTGACAGTTTCTGCTATGAAACATATTGTGGCATTAGCATTATCCTCCTTGATGGCATAGTTGACACGAGTATGAACCAATGAGCTTCCCACCCTATTCACACCAGAGGGTCTCCAAACAGGACAGAGAAAATATGTGCTCATGAGCATCATCCATGTGACTGTGCATGAGCAGGTAAAGGTTGATGGACTTGAGTAAGGAATCATCCACAGCCACACTCGTCATAGCAATCAAGTACTTTGTCAGCACTTGTCTCCCATCTGTGATATTCAATCTGATGCAACTTGAAACTTGTGCTATCAAAGGCTTCGCTACCAAGGCCAGTTTGTCATCATGCCAGAATGCTAGAAAAATCACGAGTGAGCGATGCGGTGTGATGCAAGTCATGTATTCTCATCACTGTCATCATTTCAAGGCTCTTTGTAAGGGTCTCAACTGTTGATAGCCATAGAAGCGGATTTTGAATTGACCCTGCAGCTAAAGACTCCAAAATGTTGCACAAAGCTTGCAGAAGTATTGAAATATAAGGGTTCATCAAGCCCTGCACTGGATGAATAACGGAATGTTCAGAAGATGTGTTTCTAGTGCACCTTGAAATAATCCAACAAGGCAGAGTACATGTGGCAAAATGTGAGTTCAATGTTTGCTGGAAGTAGCTCAGAGAGAGAAAGACAGTCCTGTTAGGGAGTAACTCACCATTCTCAGCTGCAAACACACAGTCATACAAATGACAGAACAACAGTCTGAAGGCTGTCTCATTAAGCTTCACAACAAGTTCCAAGAATGCTGAAATGATATGAGGTTCTCCCTGGCACCTGGTAGTTGGTCTCACCACAAGCCACAATGAAGAGACTCACATCACTGGAGCAGTCATAGACTTCATGTTCATGCCAAAGCTGTCGATGAGTACTGAAAAAAATGAACAGATATGTGCCTGGATGTTAGACATTGAGCTACTTGAAGACTGCATTTGAAAAAGATGAAAAATCTGATGAGTCCATCACCATGTTTCTGTCAAAGGACATCAATATTTCAATTCATGTTTATATCGTGAGGGGCATGCCTTCTTCTGAGATTTTTCCACATTGGGCCACACATTGCAAAGTATGGGTAGTAGCATGTTGGATGGGATCTTCTTCGCAATAGCTTTCATCAAACCTGTCATGGAACCACTCAAGGTGACAGAGTAATCTAGATGGAGTTTAACAATGTCCCTGATTTCTGCAGCACCATAGAAAGTGGGGAGCATCAATACCAAGCCCTATAGGGTAGAAATTGCATCACCCACTGAAGATTGCACTATTTGAGCAGAACAGTCAACAGCTGTAAGGTGAATTTACATAGGAGATAAGCTGCTCACCCATGTTGCCACTCAACCCTTCTTGGAGGACTGATGTACACTCTTGTGCAATCTCTTGGAAGTAAGGTGTAAGCTGAGGTCTGAGAGAGAACATACAAATTCCTCAGTAACATGGAATGCAAGGGAAGAAAAGCCACACATGCATAGCACGGTAACACAGCTATAGCAGATTGCAATGATGCACATGTTTTGATTATTTTGATGACCAAAAGGACGGTAGATACCAATGCTAACTCCTTACCAGGACAAATGGAGGAGCCGATTGCTTTCAAAGCATTGAGTGCTGAATTAACTAGTACACCAGCTGACTGTTGGGACATCCCCAATGTAGTCAATAATTGATGTAGCAGTCTTCTGTTGTTTGCGATGACAGCTTCTGCAGCCTTGAGTATCCTGTCTGCAAGGATTTCAAGAGCACCAGCCTTGATCTAGAAATGAGGTGAGAAAGGATCTCATACAGAAAATGTGAACCTACCCTAGTCTCATCTGATTGCAGCATAATTAAAGCTCCAATCAGGAAGTCTGCTGCTCTGATTGCATTCATCACTTTTGATGTGGTCTGCTGTGGGACTGATACAATGTCTGAAACATTGCTATCACCTTCTATTGTGGCAAGATCAACCAAAAGAGAGATAAGGTCCATCATTGCATTGTCGCCCCTTGATATATTGGTGGAAGATGTGGGTGTGATGGCATAACCAACAAACATAATCAGTACCTGAGCATGTCGCTTGATGATAGAGGACAATCTTGCAGAGTGCTCATCATTGCTGCAACAGATGTATGAGTACAAAAAATGAGAGAAAATTAATCGGTTCTCATACAGAATGTAATCTATCCTCATGCTTTTCATCCCAGGCCCCCCATGCGCAGTCCCCCATCCCAGTGCTAGTCCAAAAGAAGAAGTTTCCTTCTTTCACAATTTCTCACACCCCCATCGCAACCACATGCATCCCCCCTCCCCCTCTGTTTGTTTTTTTATTTTAAAGTCTCTTGGCATTGGCTTTGTTTGTCATTCGTCGGTTTTGCTTGCTTGCTTCCCATTATCTCATTTTCTAATTTCTTTTTCTTTCTTTTAAAAGGGAGACAGAGTGGCTGTGGGCTTTTGTTTCATCTCCTGACCCTCTTTTTCCAACTTTCCATCCTGGGGTGCCACATGATGTTTCCTTCCCCCCCTGGAGGTTGTGCTTAGAGTCTGCACCCTTGGTTTTTTTTTTCTCAGACCACTTGCCTTTGTGTTCATGAGCTGCAATGTTTTAAACCCTGCTTTTTTGTGAGCTCAGTGCAATATGCAGACACAGCTTTAGCCATGAGATAATCATGAGCTTGACGAACTTCTTGTTGTTTTTTTGTAGCAGATTTAGGACGGCCAGGCATAGTAAGAGGTAGAAACTAGTTCTGATTGGTTTGTGGCTGCAATAGTGTATTTCGCATAGAGTCTCACCAACCCTGAACTGGTCTGAATAGCATTTCCACTAGCCAACAAACATTCCTTTGCTACACATGTTCTGAATAGCTAGAACTGTTAGCTATACATCCTGAACAGTTTCATGTCTCTCTAATTTGCTGTCATCATGCAATGTGGAATACAAAATTTAAATTGTCTAAATTTAGGGTTTTGACTAGTAAAGACACATGTCTCGGTACTATTTTTGTTAGTCAACATAATATAATATTTTCCCTGGGGCAAGATACATGTTGTCTAAATGTGCATGAGCAATTTTGAGAGAAGAAAATGTGTTGTCATTATGTGAGCCATGTTTTGTATCAATGAGCCATTGATGACTGTATTACATTTGTTGTTAGTATCCTAGTGATAATTCATTACAATGCTCTTCATAGTGACCCATGGGTAATACCCTGGGTCCATTATGTTGATACCTGTAGTAAAACCCATACCCATGCCACAGGTATGGGTACAGGTCCAACTTCCCACACCTGCAGGTTTACCCGTGCAGTTCCCTAGGCACAGTGCAAGGCACTATGCCATCTTCATAATGTATGTGCTTGTATGTGTCATTATTGACATCCGAACCAATATTTGTATTATAGATGCCATATTGACCATACCTAAATTCTCAGTTCTCTGATGCATACAACATTTATCTTGAAATCTTGCATCACATTGACCACCATTTGAATGAAGCACTCCATCACAACATGCCTAATTGGCATCTACTCAATGGATGTCCATGTTGTACTTACAAACTCAAAGATGAGCCACCACTAGCACTTCAGTGGCTTGTCTCTATTGATGGCAACAACAGCCTCAAAAGATGGGCGTCCTCAACATATGGTGTTACTCCATGGCAAGACTCTCGAAAGCCTTGTTCTGACTACTGGGTTGATCGTGCAAGTGTTGATATATTCAGAGATGAAGTTCAAATATCAGCGGTATGTATTATACATATGTGTAGCAATGGTAAGCTAACTCAAGTAGCTGAGCCAATCAAACTCAGATCTACAAGATGACTGGGAAGATTTGGTAACTGAGCCAGTGGAGTCTGAGGGTACCTTTAATTGCACACAGCAGTGGCAAAATGCTGGGCCTGAGCAGTGCAAGAAAATGTTTTCTGTTTTTGATGAGTCTGGCATCTTCATTGCAGTGTGTCTGCATTGGTTTGTACTTCTTGCTTGCGATATGGTACAGAGCAGTGAACTGTAGGTTCCAGTTTCATTATCCATGCATTATGCTAAATTTAACCTTAGTGCAAAATACCCCTTAGCTTTGATGAACTGGTTGCTATCCGTTTTTGGTGTGAATGGCGGATGTGCTTACAATATTGGGTGTGCACTCACAAAGACTCTAGCTAACAGCAGTGTTGGTCCCCTTGCCTAAAACCTCAATTTGTGCATGATGGTTGGTGCATTTCATGGTCATGCTCATAACCAAAGGTGCCAACTAGATTGGCACCCTATGTACATTGAAGGGACTGGACTGACCGAGGGTGAGAGATGTGAACATATATTTTCATCTTCAAACAATCTTGCATGGAGTACCAGACATGTGTCTACATTTCATCGCCATCAAATGATTGAGGAGCATTTCACCTTCTGGGACCAGGATAAATATGTGGCATTAAGTACATCTCATTTTGCACACTGCCAAACATTCAGTCAACTAATAGTGTTGATAGGCATCTTTTTACGAAATCATTACAGAGAAGTGCTAACCCTCATACACAAACTCTCCACTGAAGTGTCAGCTGTTAAACAAGCTCTCAACCTGACTGACACCAACTTTGCTCAGTTCCATACTGATGAAAGATCCTACCTCGAATCTCTGAAAGAGCAGCCTCTCAATGACAGACTTCAAATTCACTATGTCCAGGTTCTTGATGATCTGGCTGAACAGCGGTGAGTTTGACTCTAGTAGTCATCGCATATTCTTCCTCCTTTACTAGATTCATAAATTTTAGGTTAGAATGGGAGAAGGCCTGAGAAGCTGCCAATCAGGTGCTGATGTGTGTCCCTGTTGGTGACTTAAATCAAATTAATGCCACTCTAAGTCAAGCCCAAATTCATGTCAACACCACTTACGCTAAGCTCCAGCACACTGAAACTTTCACTGCCCATATTGAGGGTTGGCTTAGAATTGAAGAGTGGTGGACAATTGGAGGCAATGAATATAACAAGTACAGGGATAAAGCATTGCTCCAGAAGTATTGTGTGGCTCTTGATGAGTTAGAACATCTTGTTGTCATGCACTTATTCGAGCTATCCAAGCTCTCACTTTCATTGATAGGTAAGTAAATAATATTGTGTTTGAGGGAAGCTGATCACCATTGGCAGGGTACAAATAGGAAAGGTGTTACAGAGATGCTCAGAAGCAATTCAGAATGCCACCAACAAGTATAATGTGCAGGCTACTGCCCTTAATCCTTCCCAACCACACTTATCATGGAGGGATATCGCCGAGTATAGCTTCCTTGGAGAATTTGATGTTCTCCAATATTCATGCACTGACACTCATGAACTTGATTGGACCAAGCTGACACATTGAGAAGCCCTGGTCAAATTCTTCAAGCTTCATTGTGCACATGAAGAGGTTGAGCACCTCAACATTGAAGTTCGTTGTCTGTGGACTGCCATTTATGATGAAAGTGCACAAATGTCTACAACCATCAGTAAACTCCTTCACTCAAATCCTCCACTGGGTAGGGAGCTGCAGAAGTGCTGGAAACTGTGCTCCACAGTTAACTCAGTACATTTGTTCTGGCTAGATGAAATTGAGTTGCAATCTGGTTTTTTAGGTATTTGAGGTCATGGACAATGGATTGGCTCCTTGGTGGAGGATGAGTCCAGTGTGGTAGACTGTTTGAATCATCCATCTGGTGCATTTGTCTTTCAGGTATTGAATATATTTTGATCAAATCAATCCCAGATCATGATGACACTGATGCCACTGCTTTGGAGCATGCTACAGAACTCATGGAATATGAGGAGCAAATACAGACTACCCAGGTCATTGCAGATTATATATCGACTATTGTAGATTAATAGACTCAATGTTTCAAGTACACGCCCATCAATATTGAAAGTATCTGGCAGTCCGAGTCCCTGTGTCATCCTTTACCTCTATCAGTGAACCAGAACAACAGCAAAATCCTCAATTCACCCCCAAGACCATGTTCCACTTACACCTTTGCCTCTACCAGCATCAGTCTATGAACCAGAACAGTCCTCAATTCACCCCCGAGACCACATTCCATTTACACCTTTGCCTCTATCAGCATCAGTCTATGAACCAGAATGGTCCTCAATTCACCCCCAAGACCACATTCCATTACACCTTTGCCCCATTTTTGCCATGTGCAGTGCTTACTAGGGGACTTGTATCTTTCCAGTAGACCATTTTAATTCAGATAGTGACTGCACTTGGCTTTACTAGATATCAAGATAGGCACCACTACATGTAATGCTTTACTCACTCTTTGCATCCCACCTTCAACTGCTACAATGTCTGCTTCTACTGATTCAAAGCTAAACCATACAGACAATCCAGTCCAAGATGAGTTGAGCTATTGTCCACCGTGCTTTACCCTTGCTGGATTAGCGGCTCTCTACTCTAACTCCAACTTCACACTAGGATTCAGCAATGCGGAGTGTCAAGCAGCTGCTCATGCACTACTCAAAAACAAGTCACATCTTGATGGCACACACTACCAGATGAGGACACTTGGCAGTCTTCATCCTGCTTATGTAGCCTTAACAAGATTCCATCATTCATGGAGAGGCAGAGCTTGACTCATGAGGATTTTGTTGAGGCAGGTCTTGAAGACGTGTTTGATGCAGTATGTACTATGAGTATCTTATGTTGAACCTGACTTAGCACCATCTTAGCTTGCTACTCAAGATTATCTTGATGGCGGGCTGTCTCTTCTCATTCGCTGCCCCAGATCTCATATCACAGAGACCATCACTCCTGATTGTATTGCAGTTGACCTTTATGTCACTCCATGAGAATTGCAAGAGGCACCTGAACAAATTGGAGGAGACATCTCTGTCCTTGTGCAGGCATTCTGTGAGGAGTTTGCAATACCCCATCTCAAGCGTTTTATGGAGCATTGCAGCAAAGAAAATATCACACCTCTGCATCAGTGTATGTTTGGATTCATTTTTTATCTGCTTCTGACATATCCAACTACTACTACAGATGCTGCAACTCCAGTGGACCCAACCAGCTTCCCATCTGTACCTGCACCATTGTGCCCTACTGGGGCTCAAATTCGATGTTCAGCTCGCTCTCCCAAACAGTTTCAGCATGACTTCGTCATTGCTGCTTTGCCCAAGTCACCCATGCCACCAAACTTGAAGTCAGCAGCTGTGAAGCATGCCACAGCCTTGGCTTCTTCAGGCTCTGCTGGGAGCCCCAAGATCAAACAGCATCAAAATGCTGACACTTTCTTGTTGTTGAGGAAGAATGCTATACTGGAACACAAGGTTTTTGCCCCCCTGCTCAGCATTGGTCCCAATACTGATGCTGTGCTTGATTGCTTCAAAATTGGTAATGAAGCGATCTTGAAACTTCATGATCTCATTGTTACCATGCACAGTAGCTGTTGGGAAGTAGTTTTAAGGTCCCCTAAATAGGATCTCACTTATGAACAGGCAGTTAATTTGACAAAGGCCCTCCATGTGGACCTGGCTGGTGCTCCATTAGGTAATCTCAAAAAGGTATGAATATCAAAGTATTTATTCAATGAAACTGAATAGTATGCATGTCCCCAGACTTCAATGCTACTATCTGTGTTTCTCAAGGTGCTGGGGATGCTTGTTTTTATTTGCACACTTTGTTTTTGTAGTCTTGTTTTGATTTTCTAGATCATGGCACTCCTTGTCCTGTCATAAGTGCGCACACTTGGAGTGCAAATGAAGTTCTAGGGTGCTTCATCTTCAACCATTAATGTATATATGTATGTCTGTTGACTGACTCTTATGTTGTTATTTTGTTTCTCAGGCTCTCTGAAGTCTATAAAGTGACTTGGTTTGTTTGCAGTGTGAAGTCGTGCCCAGTCAATCCTTGAACATGACAGAGAGTCACTCACAATGTTCACAAGGCTTATCTCAGTTGCATCCAAAGGTCATCCTTAGCAAGGAAGCTAGAGCTGTTCTCGCCTCCCAACATCACCAGAAATCCAAGGATTTCAAGGCAGCACTTGACGACACTTGGCTCTCTATTGACAAAGCTGTGAAGATGATTGCCTCATCTGACCACAAGAGTATCCAATGCATCACAAATGATTTGTACATGGGCTGTGGCTGTGCTTTAAGCATTTAAAGTTGAATACCTGGAATGCCTTTTACTGGAAGAAAAGCCAGGAGGTGAAGTATGAAGACAGTATGATACATTTCTTACTTTGTTCAAGTACTGACAGGAAAATTAGTTCTAACTAGGTCTGGAAAAAATGTGTTGCAAGATCTTCTACATAACTGCACTGACAAATACCATGAGCTCTCTCAGGATCAAAAAGACTGTGTTGTTGAAGAATATGAGGAGAATAAGCTTCACAAGTCCAAAGGTATCAGAATATCAATGAAGTCCAAGATTAACAATGTCACACTAACACTGAAGGCTATTGAGAATGAGGTGCCTTTTGTGCTATCAAGTTTATGCAGCAGCTGATATAAAATTAGTTGAATAGTCTTAAGTGTCGCACCAGCACCGAAACAATTCTTCACACAGTGGTGGGCTCTACTAACATCCCACTATGTGGTATTATATTTGCCACCAAAGGTGTCAACGATTTCATGACATCACTAATGAATATTGACAACCAGGACCTCATCAGCAAGATGGAAGGTTTTGCTATCCAAGGCATACAAGGTGAGTTCATTGGTATTACTATTTTTTTACCATCCGATACCTACATTATTTGGGCAGGTGCTGCCCATACTTACAAGGACTGTTGTTCAGCAGAGTGGACATCAATAAGATGAGAAGTAAATTGTGCACTTCATACTTTTTTTTTTTGGAACTGCAAGTACATTCTTATATGTACTTTAGAGGAAATTACTGGGGTACCCAAGGCAACAATGCAGTGGAAAAACTACTGGTGCAACATTGTTCAACATTATCATGTCATCTGTAAAGGTTGGCCCACCCACATCCCTTTCAAAAACCTTAGTGAAGCTTCTACTTCCCTTCCAAGCTGAAGATGCTCCTCGAGATATGGAAGGACAAGCTTATTTCTTGGAGACTCCTGGATGAAGATGAATATCAGCAGCTCCAACAAGAGCACAATGAGAAGCTTAAGACTGGAGAGATCATTGAGCCTTCCCATCAGCCTTGCTCAGATAAGGGGAAAAAATGCATACAACCAATGGATGAACCTTCCACACACACAGGCACTTTGATGTCTTCACCTTCTGGGGCTGTACCTGATAATACAATTCATACCTGGTCTTCTTCCCTTTCATATGAACTTTGATTTTGATAGAATTCTTACAAACCTCGATGTTATGTATGGCCTCATGCATGTGCCTGATTTTTTCAATTTATCCTGGACTGTTTTCAAAGACTCAGATCATACCTTATATTCACTACAAACTCCATTCCACTTCACTGTGGTTGTGATGAGTCATTGACCAGTATAATATTGCAAACAGTTTGAGTACATATATTATACCCTAATTATCTTGTAGCTTGTAAGGATAGAAGCCGCACATGTTCTTCACTGCCTCGCTCTGTAGGGATGGTGAGACCCACAGAAGATCAAGGTCAGCACTATGAATGAAGAGAATCATGAAAGGCACCCAACTCATCAGTGGCAGCTCAACCATCTTGCCATCAAGCACAATAATGTGTGAAGAGGGCTGACAGGTTGAAGATGAGAGATGACGATGAGGAAGCAGAAGGGAAGTTGTGGGAACACTTTACATAACAGGGCAGAAGGTTTGGCAACAGGGCAGGCCCTGCCATATAAGATTATGGCACATGAAAAGGAAATGGTTCAGAAAGTAGAGTAGCAATGTACCTAACGCAAATAGTGTGGAAATAACTTCCAGTGTACATGTCATCTGTGAAGCAGAGGAGGAAAAAGGACTGTTGAATGATACAACATCAGTAGATAGTTAGGTATAGGCCCTAGAGGAGCGATGTACCATATAACTCTTAATGTATGTGTCATCTGTGAAACAGAGGAGGAGACAGCACTGTTGAACAATACTAAGTCAGTAGATAGGTAGGTATAGGCCCTAGAGTAGCAACATACCAATAGTGCTGATATAACTCTCAGTGTACATGTTGTCTGCAAAGCAGGGGAGGAGAAAGGACTGTTGAACAATACAAAGTCAGTAGATAGCTAGGTATAGGCCTCACAGTAGCAATGTACCAATTGTGCTGATATAACTCTTGGTGTACATGTCGTCTGTGATATGGAGGAGGTAAAAGAACTGTTGAAAACAATACCAAGTCAGTAGGTACTTAGCATTAATCCCCAGTGGAAACATACCTTGCCAGCACCAGGTTTGAAGGATGGTTTAACAATGGTGAGCTCCAGGATGAGAGGAATGGGCATTGAAGGGAGACAAGTCTACAAAAGATGGTAAGCCCATCAAGGGCAATGTCTGGGACAAAGCCTACATATCAGTGGAGAGCTCTGATGGCCTTGAGATCACAGACAATGATGAGGGAGGGGAAGAGAAAACCATGAGAACAGTTCATATAACAGAGCAGAGGGATTAGCAATGAAACTGGCACAGAACAGAACTTTCCCATGCCTTATGCATAGATATACCTAAGGATGCACGGGGTTTGGGGCAAGGTTTATGGCTGGTGTTGGTGTTTGAGTGCAAATGACTATTCTAATAATTGACAAAGCACATAACTGCCCAGTATTAGTAAAGCTACTTATTGGGAAGGCCAGGTGAATTCCCCTACTGTTGCACACAGGCTGTGACAGTGCCATGTCACAGCTTAGTCATGAATTCCCATGCCAATTTCCATCTGATGACCTGTGCTAATGCTACCTGCCATGACAAAGTCTTAAATAGCAATATAATCCAAAACATAAGTATGGTGAAATGAGAACATTCAACAGGGGGAACACAACTGCACTACCATCCCTTGCTGGTTATCATGTGAAATATTAACAATATTGTCATGAACTCCTCAGGGTACTCTAAATTTGCAAACATCCATGCCTATGTATTAACATCTCAAATTTCTTGCAGTATAAATTGTCATAGTTTGCTGAAGCAGAATTATATCCCTCTATAGTTCCCACAGCTACAATTTTGAGGATTGATGAATTCACTGATGCTGTCAAAAGTGTTGATCTCTGGAGAAATTTGTAGTTTACTGATGCATCCACCTGGTCCAAGCACACAATAAACTCCTGAATCTGTGTCTTCATTAGGTTCGCAGACCATTCATCAGGCTTCTAATACGACTCGGTTGAGAGGTTGGGCCAGCAATGAGAGCAGATGATCAAATGTTGAAGACATGAAACATTGGGAAATGCCCAAGGCATTACTGCATATCTTTGTAGGTAATCCCCAGCTTCCCAGTGACACACTACATACATTTATTTGATGATTTTAGGCATCATTATGTCTTGAATCAGAGTACATTGGATTCTTTCTCAATCAGGATCCATACTCTGGCATTCAATGCCGCCTAGCCCCATGCAGGGCTTTGCAAGATGTCCATGGTGCAGTGAGTTATTGATAAAATTAAAATCAATTTTACAATTCATCATGTTCATGTCATACAGTCTCAGTACTACATAGTCAGTCTAGGACAGTTGTTAAGCTAAACAATCATTCCTTTCTTTTCCATCCCCAGGTCATGCATGCAGCCTTGCGAAATCTTGAAGTAATACATGTTGTTAGCTCACATACAGAACATGGAACCCTTCCTGCATTTGCATCCATGTGCCACACATTCCAGAGCCCAGCACTCAATGTCCTCTGGAGAGATTTACACTCTGTGAAGCCACTTCTAAGATGTTTACCAGCAGACCTGTTTGGCTTCGAGTGCGGATGTATGGTGCATCTCAATTTTGGCACTTGTTGCAAGTTTCAGGCTAAGTTCACTTTGGTAGGCATTGCAGAAACTTCTTGACAACAAGATGTGGGATACTCTATTCAAATATACATTCCACGTCCACTCCATCACTGCAAAACAAACAAGCCACCCCTCAGCAATTATTGGATCCCTCAGCGTGATAATGCTGTCTTATCCATCAACATCCCTGCCCTTGTTTCCAAATCTTCACAAATTAACATGGCATGCCAGTGGATCTTACTTCGCTGCAGAGTTCCTGCGCATAACTTTTGTACTCTCCCTATGGGTCTTGACCTTGCAGTTTACCTCAGCATCCTCCATTTTCCTCTCCATTCTTTCATCTCTTGGGACCTTGTGCCCTTACCTCCAAAGCATGACCTTGAGATATCGCCCTGAAATGGAAGACTTGTCCAGTAAAATTTCCCCTTTCATCACACAGTCTATTTCCCAGCTTCACAATCTCCACACACTGATGCTGTGGGACATAGCAAATCCAGGGATAGATCACATCATGCAGCTTCAAGCTCTGCGGACACTGGACTTGGACCTAAGGACATTGTCAGTCAGAGAGAGGCAGTCGCTTTTGCCATTCCCTGGCTTTCATCATTTGCATTATTTGTGCCTTGGATTTGGTGCATTCAAGCGAGCCACAGAGCTCTCAAGTTCACTCTGACTTATCAGAAGCAAAGAAATCAAGATTGTCTTCATGTCCTGGATTGCAGAATCCTCCAAAAGTCCATCCACATCACTATTGCAGTTCCTTGCCATCCTCCCAGAGATATGCAACAACAAGGAACTTCAATGCTTCAGCCTAATGGGATCGAGAGTCATCACCATGCACACAGAATTAGCCGTCTTCACACCATTGTGTGCATTTCACAATTTAATTGTGTTATGGATTGAGAGGGGGTGTTCCACCTCTATTTCCAATGGGGAGCTGTGCCAGATGGTAGCAGCCTGGCCTATGCTTCAAGTACTCAAAATTAGCTGCTATATCACAATTGATGCTACCACAGTACCAATGTTCTGCGGGCTGCTAGGCATGCTTCGACTCTGCCCCTCTCTAACTTTGCTTGCTCTTGCCATTGATACCACAAAGCTGGAAGACATCAATTTAAATGCCCTGGTGGTGAAAGCCTTAACACGCATCTCAATGACCTCACCCTTGGTAATTCATTGATAGCTTTCCCACTAAACGTAGCTCTTATCCTCAGCAGCATCTTTTCCTGCCTCGAGCAGGTTGATCTTGATTGTTGGAACACAGCTCCAATGGATTCATTATTATCAGCACACAACAAGAAGTCAGTGATAGAGAAGTGGGTGTCCATTAATAACCTTCTTGATGGTTTTAGCATAGTAAGAGAGCATGTCGCAACTTCATGATGGCGGGTGGGTACAAGCACTGCAGTGATAGTAAATATTCCTGCTACCTTTAGATAGTGGGTCTTTCTGATCAGGTTTTGATTATACATGGCATTGTGTTTTGGAAATTTATTGCCATCCAAATGGCCATGAGTTCTCACAGTGAGTGATTGGATCCTATCTATTGCCTTGGGAGGTAATTGAGAATGTATGTCATCCAGAGAAGCCTTTCTCAAGGCATTAATGAATGCCATTGCATCCTGCGTATTTTCGAGCTGTGCCATCTGATGCAATTCCTTCATGCCCTTGTCCATTCAGCCGCTATCTGCTTGGCTTTCAGTTTCTGTGCAAGAGTTCAATAGTCAGATGCTTTGCATGACATTGTCATTTATTTTATAGTTGAATCGTTAGCTTTGTAAGAGAATAAGTCAAGAGATGTCTTGCTTACAAGTCATCATTTTGAAGTTGTGTCTCTCTGTATCTGGATGTAGCCTTGGATGCAATAACAGACTCAGACTTTGTGGAATGGACATCTATTATTTCAGTATCTATGGTCACTCCCTATAACAAATTCGGTCAAATACTATAGTAAGCAGCACATCATAGGGATTTGTCTAACCCAGATGACTGAAAATGCTAATCGCTCAACATGCATCCTGAGGCCTGAGGGGGCAAAGGTTCATGCCAAGAAGTGTGGGTAATATGTCGATGCACTTGTCATTGTCAACAAGGTAGACCATAGATCTACCTGCAGCAGCCTCACTGTTTATTAATCTCCAGATGAACAAAGTGAGACACATCCACAATATCTGTTGAAAATCATGAGAGTATGCAAACTTAAGAAACAGAAGAAGTCAAACTTAAGAAACAGAAGAAGTCAAACTTATGAACACCAGCTTCAATATTGTCATTCATCAGATGATGTGCATGCAGGCATCATCAATATCCTGACAGCCTGATCCAGGAAGTCACTGGTATACTTGTTTCACGCAGTGTCCAACAAAGCATTACCTGGGGGATTTATGCTGCAGATAATGAGATCTCTGAAGTCTGCATGGTCTCTCCATTCTGGAATTGCTGCACTCTTAGGCAGAACAACCCATTGCTCACCTTCTGAAGGCAGACAGTCAAGAATCACCTTTCTGACTGAACTGCTCTGTTCAGATCTTCCCTGCCCACCAGAAGGACAGGTTTTGTGAATGTAGGGACAGGAACAGTACCCTGAAAGAAATTAGCATTGGCATGAGTGGAGGCATTCATCACAAACCTCAAGGTAGTTATATTGATTTGCATTGAAATGACCTTGATGGAGTTGACTCCTGCCATGATGGTGGACATAGGAAAATACTGCAAAATGCAGTATTGCATAATGCAAAGTGTAAACATAGTCAAATAGGAACATTTGTGTTCTGGTGAGTGGTTCACAGGCCATACTTACATTAGCTCACTGTAAATGGCCATGTATCAGATTTTAGGAAAGGATGATCAGGTTTACCTCACTCAAATGTTAAAAGCAGCCAGCCCTCTTCCTGCAAACCTCAGAAGACTTCTGGAGTCTCTAGCTACTGCTCTTGCTCAAGGGTCAGTCCTTCAATGGGAAGCCAGCAACTTCATGCCCACCACAAAGGATAACTTATCTTGGCAGGCAACACCTCCGGTCTCCCCCCATGCAGTCCCCTTGTTTACTTCAGATCCTGGTGCTTCCTGGCTTCATGAAAACAACCTCCCCCATCATGCTGGATACTGCAGGCAGTACAACATGGATCCAGATCAGGGACTGTGTGTAGAAGAGAGGAGAACAGAGGCTGAAGGTGGAGCTGGGGTTTCAGAAGTGGGTGAAGAAGGACAGGAGGTGCAGGAAGGGAAGGTGCAGGATGGGGACCCAGAGGCGGGACAGGCAGGGGAAGCAGGACAAGGACAAGGACAAAGAAATATGATGAAGAAGTGTCAGAGAGGTGCCCAGCCATATGCACCCAAGTTGGACAAACGATGACACCCTCAAATTGTTGGAGGAGACACTGTTGAAGCAATGGTAGCAGAACTAGCTGCTGCTCACCCCTTATCAGAATCTTTCAATCCCAAAGTCTGGGCAAAGGGAATCAGCAAAGGTCTTGCATGCCAGGAGGTTCCAAAGTCTGCCTCCAGTAGTGATGTCTGTCTTGTGTCATCAGCAGGTGTTTCCCTGTGACTGGCCAAGATGTAACTATCAATTTTTTGCTCATGGTCAACTACATCAGTCTAGTCACCCAATGTCAAAGGTTTGTTGTCCTCATAAGTCCATGTCTATTATCTCAAAGGGTCCACTGGCAGAATCAGGTTAGACACAGGTTTTAACCTGAGTCAAATCTACCATGATTTTGTTCAACCAATGGGACAGAAGATCTCACTCAGGATGTTCCAGAAATGGCACTCTGCTGGCTCAAAATTTGCCACTTTAGCAGGCGGAGGGACTATCTATGTGCTGATACTTATTGCTGGCCTTGGTTTGTGAACTTCTATCACTTCCATGACCAGGCAGGGGCCTTGGGAACTTGCCAACATTCTAAGACGCTCTGATAAGTGTAAGACACCAATGACTATATATAAATACCGTTATTGATGCCTATTTTAGCCACATCTACAGGCAGGATGATCATTGATCGAGTTATACTTGCTGTGCATGCCATTCAATGGATATTGCCACTAACCATACAGTCTTTGTTTCCAGTCAATATTCTTTCTTCACATCAGCTACTAAAGGATGGAGGCTTCGTCAGGTCATCTGACAGGTTCTTTGATTGGATTATTTCTAAGTGAGAATGGATACCTCTAAATATCTTTCTGGTCTGACCATATCATCTATAGCAACTTCACTCTGCTTTCAAGAACATCTGAGTGGGATAGAGGGTCTGCAAGTGAGGGGGCAAGTGCCAGCTCAAGCAGTACCACTCCAACAGTCCTTCCTTGTGTGTTTATGACTGACAGGATGCTTGAGCAGCTTGCTCCACATGCTGATGATCAGACAGAAGGTAATTCTTGCTATCTGCCAGCTTCTGCCATCCCTACTACATTGCTTGAAGACCCTCAGGCTGTGGTAAGCACCCACTGAGAGTCTGAGACATGATATTGCCAAATCACTCCATCCTTATAATATGTAGACATGATTATAATAGATCCCTAGAAAAGATGACATTGGAAGGGAGCTGAAGCCTATGTTGGGGATGTTAAGGATGTCCTGGCTGGGCCAAATGCCACAATTGCATGCATTGTGAGGTACTGGCAACCAGCAAGAATCCGAGTGGATCAAACTGATAGGACATCGCTGAGGATAGGCTGGACAGGCATTTTGATGAAATATTGCAAGATACAATCATGTGTAAATATATATTTGAATGTCCAGAATTTAATGTAGCAATGAGACCAGCCTCGATGGCAGTAAGCCCAACCAAGGCAGTTGAGCCCTGGATAAGTAAGGAGCTGGATGTAGTTAGCTGGAAGGGAAGAGTTAAGAGATGAAGAACATCCGCAGGCCTGTGACATAACAAGATTAGTTGACAGGAATGGGAAGGAGATGACATGTAGTTGAAGACGAAAAAGTCAGTTTGGCAGAACTAAGAAGACTGACCAACTGCTGCTTTGCGCCTCCCAGTGAAACGAATCAAAGTGCTGACAATGAAGAGGCCAGAATAGGAAAGAGAGAGGATATTATCCCTTTGAGCAGGGGGGGTGGCTTTCATGGTGAATATAACCATGACATATGGAAATTTTTGGTTTGTATAGTTAGATATGGTTTTAAAATGACATAATGACACCACTTTATAATTTATTTAATGGTGGCATGATTGTTATGGTGTCATAAATGATGATTTATATAGTTTTAATATGTACTCAAAAAACTGTCTGCATGAGTCATGATTTTGTAAGCCTTGTATCTCCACCATATCTCCTCTGATTCTCACAATGTGGTGCTCAATCCAAAGCCCTGAAGCAGCACTACAATATGGTATTGGCATGTCACTGAGGTCTCTATGTATCCTCACACAATATTGTAAATAGTAAAAAATGCAAAAACATGTGGACAGTTTTTTGAGCCACTGTACTTGTTAAACAACCATGGTAACAAATCAGTGAAAAAAACAACAGAATAGCTCATGTGCAAAAGTGAACCAGGTGGATCAGGAGGTCACTATCAGGTGATTTGAATGGTTCAACATATACCATCATGCTTGGTCCTCCACTGAGAATACTGGGAAGTCCAGAGACAGGGAAGCAAAGTGCATGATGGACAGCGTGTGCCATACTCTAAGGTCTGCAAACTAATATAATACCTTTAAGTTGCACATTATTGGAGGCCAGCAGAATTGGTGCTTACTGCTCACAAACATGCTCCCCAAGGCCACGCTAACCTCTTCTTTGAGCATTGCATCCAGGTCCGATGTGAAGTGCAGAAGTAGGTTGTCGATGTCCTGGAGTCAAGCATTAATCACCTCATGGTTTCAAGAGGCTTACACTTCAAGTAATGGTCTCTACCATGGATGTGCATGGTAGGAGGATGAAGTGTGCTGAGTGGGGAACAGAACATACCCAACAAAGTATCACTAATGCACTGGCTGTCTGAGCACAAAGAGGGTGAGTGATTGTAAATGCACAGATGGCTGATGACACACCAGTCTTGCTTTCATACCATGCTCTTCTGCCATCATCCCTCTGGACCAGGGATAGAGTGGGTACACTCATGGAGCAGGTTGAACAGAATGAATGCAGCAGACCCTCCAGCAGGACCTGGAAATGCTTCATATGACCTTTAAGGCAGCTGCAGGATGGAATATGTACCACACCCAGCCACTCAGACTAGTCTTGACCTTGTCAGTGCAACCAGAATGCAGACAGGAGGCCAGTTGACATGGTCCCAGGCATCAATGACTACTGTCCCTGCCTTGGCAATGACCTCAGCTACAGTGACCAACACAACATCCTCTTCACTTGGAAGCACAACGCCAAGTTCCCCATTCTCATCCAGACACATACCACCACTAGCATCCCATCCAACTCCTCAAGTAGCACCAGCACATCTGCTCGTCTGACAGCACTCGTCTCCCCTGCTTCCAAGCACACGTGCAAACCTGAGCCTGGTGGATGCATTTGTGTGCATCAGCACAAAAGATGCAAGGCAACAACAAACTTTGGACAGCAAGGAATACACTCAAGGGCAGCCCCAAGCCGAACCTGCAGGTGTGCACCCCGCACAAAGCTGATGTAGATGATCAAGGGAATGAGTATCAGAAAGTGAAGAATAGCTGAACATTGAGTCTACTGTGTAACATAGCACATGCTCCTTCCATCTATATCGACAAGGTCAGAAGGTGAACCTGCTACATACAAATCGAGAATTGAACACACCAGGTCAAGAGCAGAGCCTGCTTTGAACCACTCAACTTGACTCTTATTGAAGGAGTGAGCAAGAGAAATTTCCTGTAAGATCATCCCATCAGTACCACAAAACTTCATTACAAGAGCCAGTAACTCACATCTTTGCTACCACCTGCGTGCTTGGCAACAAGAGTCAAGTTCTTTCCTGGGGCAAAAGTTTCTAAGCCCAGAATGTCAACTTTGTCGCTGGGGTTGGCAAAGGTGAGAGCAAGCATGCCTTACTTCTTCAAGTTTGTCTCATGGATACAAGCAAAAAACTGGGTAACAATGGCAAGACCACCAAGGTAATGGGGCTCAAGGGCAGCATGCTCACAAGATGAACCTTTACCATAGTTGGAGTCACCAATAACGACCCACTTGATGCCCTTGTTGCAGTAGTAAGCATCAGTCTGGGGAACTGGACCATATTCGCTGGTGATCTGGTTCTTGATCTTGTTTCCCTAGTCATTCTCCAAGTTGATTGCACTGATTGAAAAGTCTAAAGGATTATCAGGCAAGGCGACTTGCACGAAATGTTTTCGAGGTGACCACAGTACTTAAGCCAGGGACCACCAGCTGAGATGTGGTGAGGCGCAGTGGGAGGACTCTTCTTGTGGTCTGGCATTTCTCACAATGTATTAAGCTAGTTGAACGTTGACATTCAACTATCATGTAGTATAGGTTTATGAATCAAATGTTAATGTTTGATCCCACTGGGATTCTGCTTCAATATTGACCTCGTGGTCTGGCATTTCTCACAATGTATTAAGCTAGTCAAACATTGACATTTGACTATCATGTGGTAGGTGTATGAATCAAACATTAACATTTGGGAGTGCTGCAAGAAGCTTGCTTGCTTGCTCTATTTACAGCTGTGTGCAAATATAATGGCGCTGGCGCAAAGAAAACATATAACAACAACGAGTGCTGAAAAAGGACTTAGTGAGATTTAACTTAGTTGTAGGGACTTTGTCACATCACTGCCATCACACTTTGCCCTTCTCCAGAACATGGGCTGTCAGCAACAGATGTACAAAAGCTCCAAGTTCATTGATGAATCTGATGATGATATACTTGAAATCATGTCCTCTGAAACAGACACCAGCTCCCTATCATTGAGTGGGTCATCAACAGTCTTCGCAGACTGTGGAACTCTGCCTCAAGTCCCCATGCATGACAGCATCGATCGTGAACTTGATGCAATGAGCCCTGTCCCTGAGCCAGCATCAGTACCTGTACAAGATCCTTCACCTCCAAAGCAGGCTGCTAAGCCTAAGAAGAAAAAAGGTAGTGCATATATGCACCTGTGACTGACTTTACAACATCACCACTGATGACCTTCTTGTCGGAGCAGTCATCAACAAAAGTGCCCAAAGCATATAAGGCCCTGTGAAAATGGATGAAGTCCAATGTAGAAACAAACAGAGGTAGACTACCCTAAGGTAGAGTTGGAGAGACAGGGATTGGACCTAAGTCCAGAAAGAGGGTAAGTGCCAGAAAGGCAGAACTCCAGCCTAGGGAATCAATCCCTAGGCCTGATGGGTAGGACAGACTTAGGTAGACCAAAGTCCGAGAGATGATTGGGCAAGTCTAAGTTGATATTCAAACTGAGGAAACTACAGGAGTATCTACAGGGGTTATATACTGAACAATATCTGAGGGGATCAGTAAGCAAAGGAGCAAGGCTATGTATGAGCATGTGGAAACACATTAGTAAGTAAGATGGAACATAAGTAAATGAACTTGGAGATGAAGACTCATACAAGGATCAATAAGCAAGACAGAAGAGAGGTAACCGGAAAGCAGAGAATGCCTAAATGGGGATAGGCGCAGGATATCAGACAGAGGGTGGGAATAGGTCCGGAGCTAATATCTGGAGGTCCAGAGATCTGGGGATCTGGAAGACAAGGTGGATACAGGACCAGGATATGAGAAGGTGGATAGAGTCCAGAATCCAAGATGAGGTGAAGTCCAAATGTCTTGCTGGATGGAGTGTACATAGGGTGGATGGGACAGGGGGTTATGGTCCAGGCTAGCAGTGGAGATCTGATGGTCCGGAGCTCAGGGGTAAATCCGGAGCATAGTCAATCCTGCTGAGGTGTGGAGCACACAGCAGAAGGGGATCTGGGAATGAGTTGGATATGAAGTGTGGTCCGGACATAGGCTCGGAAGGCGTGGGAATATGATGGAATGTGGGTCCAGATTGTGGGATATGACATATTCTTAGGAAAAAGGCCCTGAGTACATGACACTTGAAATGCCTCCGAATCATTCCCACTTCAATATGGTACCAGCTGAGTTACTTGGTCGTCAATTGCTATTAGCAGCCTGTCACCAACAACAACAAGCCAACGAGCAAGTGAAGAAACTGGCAGAAACACCTCCTGCCCCTGCATCCAGTGGGCCTGTTATCAATGTCAATTTCCTTCCCGAGCTGTTCCAAGCTATTTGAGGCCTTTCCACACCTATGGCACCTCAGTTTACAATGCCAAATCTTGCCCCTGCTGTATATTCTGCTCCATCATTGCTATCTCCTACACAACTTATTTCTCCAGGACCTTGAATGACTCCCATTGACTTCTGGTTGACATATGAGACTTCTGATACACTCCAGAAAAAACTCCTCAAACGTGGCTTCAATTCTTCACACTCTTTTCACCATGTAACCATTGATGACTTGCAGAAGGCTGGCCTGCTTTGTGGGGAGCTCGCAGAACTGAAAGATGCCATCTCGCGATGGTGTGGGGAGTAACCAAATATGCATGTCTCATTATTGTTCAAAGTCATAATGCTGTCCCTCACTGTGTATCAATCATGCTGTAACACTATACTGTAAAACTTGGGCCTAGAAATAACCAGAATGATGAATGTAGCCATGAGCATCCTCCGCTGTTATGATATCTAGTGCCTCTCATAAGTCATACAGAATACCATCATTATCAGCAGCAGCCAAAAACAAGTCATTGTTGTGACGAATCCATGCTTTGAGCTTTGAGAATGCCTCCTCAATGGGGTTGAGATCTGGGGAGTAGGGAGGCAAGAAATTGATTTGGACACCTAGTACCAAGCTCAGGTTAGAATAGTATATATTCATGAAGCCTCACATCAGCATACCATATCTATCTGCGAGTTCCTGAACCTCTTTGCTGTGATGAATTTGGGCATTGTCCATCACTAGGACACTGTTCCTTCCTGGGTGAGCTTCACAGTGAGGTAGCTATAACCAAAAATTAACATAATGAACAAAAATGTGACAGTCAAATTTACGATGGAGTGTTCAAGATAATGAAGATAGCCCACTCGTCATAGGTGTTACAATTATGTTTGCCCCTATTCATTTTCCCTTTGTATTACATCACGACCACACTGTTTTGTGCCATCACTAGACTTACCTTCTGCTATATTTGTACTACATCACGATCGCTGTTGCCATCGTTAGATGACTCACTCTTATCTCTGACTCATTGCTGACATATATGCACCTGTCCTAAAGCATCTACTTTCTATATATACTCAGCCATGTACTTAGTAGATCTTTACTTTTAATCTTACTAGGTATTCATCGGAAACTTCTCTTGCTTAGGACCTCCAATCCTAAGTCGTCTGAACCAATATTCAAGACAAAGACACTCTCTTTGTCTTGTCTTATGACCCTTGCATTTGCAAGGTCTAGACTATAACTTCAGCTGTCGCTCTTATCGAGCTGCTGTTGTTATGACCATCCTAGTTTGTAACAATAGGGATCCTTCAACCACATGTCCAGCAATGACTCTATCAATCATTAGGGCAGCAAATGGACCTCTCATAGATGCCCAGCAACTCCTCTTTGCTTGACCATGTCTCCGAAACTGGGTTCGCTCATCCTTCGAAGTTTCATCAATGAATACAAGCTCATGGGCCATGTATTGAGCCATTTGTCATTTGAAATCTGCTCAAAGGTCTTCATTTCTCTCACTCGCAATCTTGTGGAGCTTTTTCAATGAGACTCCAGCACGTAAAAGCTCCCAGTGGATGGTTGTGTAGTGCATAGCAACAAAACAATTACATTTCATGAGAGCTGTAAGTTCATTGAGGAACCAGTCCGGACAATGATGAACAAGCTCAAGAAGATACTGTAAGTCTTTGAAGTTGAGAGTCCATGGACGACCAAGATATTCACTTCTGGGCTTGACAACATTGCCAGTCTCATCATGGAGCTTCTTGATGTGATAAAAGGTACAATGTGAGAATCCTACACAGTCCAAGATATCACTTAGCAGAAGTATGCCCTGCTCATGAAGACAGATAACTGCAAGCTTGAGATTGGCAGAGATTTTCCTGTTGCCCATGGATGCAAGCTCAAAGTTCATAGCAGTGTTATGTAAATTTTCACTAAGTTCTTTTTCAGCGCTCATTGTTATTATATGTTTTCAATTTGCACCAGTGCCATTATATTTGCACACAGCTGTAATCTCTGCTTGAACTGCTCTGAAGTGGCTAATCAGCATGCTTCATCGAGTCTAGATGTCATATGCCATTCCGGACTCTCAACTCTAAATCTGCTTCTCTGGATCTCAAATGATCTGATTTATCTTTATCTCCCTTCTGGAATCCAAACCCTATATCAGCACCCAACCCCATTTAGACTGCCCCTGTCTCCAGACTCCAGTTAACCATGTTTCCCTTTTGATTATTGATCCATTACATACATTTCATTTCCGGTGTTCATTATTTGTGATCCATCCTACTTACTAATAGACTCTGCATATGCTTCATACATAGCCTTTATGTTTGCTGACTGATTTCTATATGATAGCTACAGTATATAAACCTCCTGTAACTCTCAGAAATACTCCAGTTCGAATATCATCTTAGTTCCTGCTCATTCCTGTGTCTTCCAGACTTGAGATAAGTCTCTTGTCATATTCTGAGTCTTAGGATTGCATCCTAGACTACATTTCCAACTCTACCTTAAGGGTAGCCCATCCTCTGTTAGTTTCTAGTCTGGACTTTGTCTGGATTAGTCTTATCCGCTTGCCCAGGTAACATCTGGATGTCCATCAGATTTATCTCATGTTTCAGATCCGGACGTCCGTTATCTGCCCTAGTCAAATCCCGGAAACTCCAGACGACTGTTCTAGCCCCCGGAAATTAAGGGCACATACTCAGGAAAGGGGCACAGCATATGAGCTGAGGCCAAGCCCTTGTGATCTGACCCCCTTGAGCATGCAACCTTAACACTAGAACATTCACCAGCTATCAATGTTTGCAACAATTATTGGGATCTCATTCAGTGGGTGTGACGAGGATGGGGAGGAGAAGAGTGAGAATTAAGAGATCAATAATTGAGCTCATAAGCTGTTGATACTTGTGAGCAAGCATCCTAGGACCAGCACCTCCAAGCATACATCTGAGGATCACACACGAGGTTGATCACACCAAACAGGGCATACTGCATTCAAGCAAGGAGAGAAGCAAAGAAGTTTTCAGAGGTGAATGAACATGGGTTGCTGGGGATCATGGTGATGTGCAATGAATAAAAGGTGAGATGTGTTTGGGAATGCGTGCCCTGGCCTTAATTAGCAAGGATGTCAGGTGGAGTGTTGCATATGTAAATCTTGTTATCATTGTCTTATTAAGTTTGAAAATAAGCTAGCTGGCATGCCAGGTGATGATTGAGATCAATGAGATTCTGAATGTGGACTAAAGCGAGTGCTGAGTAGTTGACAGGACTCAGCAAGCCTTGAGCTAAGTCATTTGTTTATCCTTATTTGTCCACAACAACTGATCCTCGCATGCATGTCCAATTTCTGTGATTGCAATTGGACCTAGTGAGACTTACATGTACATGCTAACCATCCAAGGCCTAGGAATCCAGTAAATTCTCTGCCTTTGCCTTCTTCCACCTCTTCTTGTGGCAACTTTTATAATATCCATGAACAACTCCCTGAGCCTGCCTTCCACTTCACATCCCAACACCATATCTGTGAGCACCTTTCCACTCAACCATGCATGCACCATCCCCTCCCCCAAATACCCCACTGTAATCCATTCCCCTGGAGCAGCAACCACATGCACCCCCTTCCCTTTCTCACTTTTCATGACCAAACTCAATGGTGGCTCACTCCTTCCAGATATCACATGTGGCAAACAGCCAACTCAAAGTGTCAAATCCACCAAAATCCCACTGTACAATGCCTTGGCACAGCCCTCCACCCTCACCCACCTCCAAATGCATGCTTTTCCTCTCCCAAAATGTGTACCTCAATAGCCTATCTTGCTTGGTATATTTCATGGTCCTTAGCATCAAAGGGAATGCCTGCTTCATATATTTGGACCTTTATCTTCGCCTTCTTGAACATGTCCAAGTTATAAAACACATCTACAGATTCTACCTCCCACCACTTAGAATTTGCAATAATGGCTTCTTGTTCCTCGACACTCTGTAGCTCATCGAGATGCGCCAACCTCTATTTAATCATTTTTTGGGCTATGGCTTGTCCACAATCCCACTTGAGCAAGGTGTATTCATGATAGAGGCAATGAGATATGCCTAGTGTGCTTCTTTATGAAACAGCTGATACAATACTTCTCCCAGTTGCCCTAGAACATGCACACATTTCTTGCCTCCAACATAACAATTCTAACATCATGCCCATCAGCACTTGCACTATCTCATCACAAATGATGTCCCAGTAATACCCAAGCTGAATAACAACAAAGTCAGCATGCATTGGGAGCTAAGACACATGAGTGGTGAAGGGGAGGGTGGGTAGGACCAAAATGAGCAGCAGGGGTTTGGGAGTGGGATGTCTGGAGAGCGCTGTATGTATGCTTGGAGGGTTTGGAAAGTGTGGAGGTTGTTGAAGAATTCAGTTAATGCTAGGCAGATAAGGGAGAGAGTGTTGCTCATCATGGAGAGAAGGAACTGATGCAATTATGGTGCACTCACAGTTCATCCTGTTATATGCTTTCCTTGCAAGTTCGGTGCTATTTGCCCTCCATAACTTGATGAGTTCATAGAATCTATTCATCCCACATTTTGCTCACTCATCATATACACCAAGTCTGTGGTCTGCATGTATAATGTTCATAAACATCACCACCAAGCCAGCAAACTGATTCACCTACCTGCACATCAACTGTCACAGAAATTGGTATCCGTAGGTTAACAATATCACGTTCATGGTAGAGTGCGGCTGCCTTGAGCACTTCATCTGGTGTATTGGTGCATTGGCAAGCATTGCTCCTGAAAAGCATTGGGAGAAAAAGGATGTGCAGCATGGATTTCATAACAGAGGTGGTGGTTTTTGTGGAAGGAGGGCTGGGGGATATATACCTGTGAAAGTGTCAGTATCTAGGTATTTGAGTCAGATAAAGAATGATGTTGAATGTGGATTGATCCTATCCTCAAACTTCATTAATAGCGGTGCAATGGTATCTAATCTGGAGAACCCAGGACACATGGGTACAGCAACAATGTTGGATTCACACCTTGTTGCTGACAATGTGGATGGCGGAGTCGTCTGTCTTGGGTAACTGCTGGGAGTGCATATAGGACATGCTAGAGATGGCAAGTGAAATTGATCATTTGAAGAGATCACCAGCCTTCGTGGTGGACAAGTGAAGATGTTGGAGGCCGCTTGGAGGTTTGGAAGTAATTAAGAGGGTGCAGTGGCCATGTAGAAAGGGTTGACAATGTTGATTATGCATAGGTCGTGTTCAGTGGGTGTGACTGTGATGAGGAAAAGAGTGAGAATTAAGAATGATGCAAATGATGTGTTTTGAGTGAATGTTAGTACAACAAAATCCTCATTGATCATCGATGGAGCTGCCAGCAGATGGGGGATCTGTTGATCTTGGAGTTGTGAATCAAGTTGGACGATGATACACATGACTTACATGCATCTTGTTTTTGTATGACACGACTTGCTCCAAACCATGACAAAACACAAGCGGCTGACATCACACTCAGCTTCAAAGTCTGGTATTCTGAAGGCCAGTGAGAAGAAGGCCACTGCCACGCTAACTGCAGCTGACTTGGATTCCAACAAAGAAAATGCGAGACAGGTGATATGAAGAAGCAGCATGTCATGACATGTCATAATTCAGTAAGTATAGTATGTATATGAAATATTTGCTGGGTTAACCCAGAACTTGTGAAGATGTGCACACCCTTTGGATGACGATCAAGGCATATTTTGAAGCAATGCCCATTTTCAGTACTGGTGATGCTGTTCTCGTTATCAACCAGGTACAGGTCATCATATCATGTAGGTTTTCTTATCTTGAGCATTAATCATTGATACTCCGCAGCTTACATTGATGGGTTCTTCAACTTCTCTTGCAATTGAAGGCACTCTTCTTCCACAGGCATTCTTACTACTTAGAGAGCCCTTGAGGCTTCTGGATGTCATGGGGTTTCATCTCTGCGCACATTCCCTTGCATTCCCAGTGATGGCTGTGCATAGTGTAAGCTTTTTGATGTTCTAATTGGTACCACAAAGTTATGTAATGACTCACATGTTGCTCTGATTTTGCATTTGTTTTATCTAGTACACATCACCTTGATTTGTATTCTGTTTATTTGAACAGCAACTAACTACTGGTATATACCTTGGATAACAGTCAGGGCCTGACTGATGAGATATTCTGCTTTGCATAGGACTGATCTTGGTCCTTCAATCCTGATCAGGACTCTTGGAGTACTATGAGTCAATGGTGTTACAAACTAGGATAGTTCTAACAACAGACAACTCAATAAGAGTCAGGACCTCTGTTGAGATTCTATGCAAGACGATAAGTCAAGTGGTCGATGTAAGCTAAGTCAGAAGGAGTGCTTCTAACTTAAAGTATGATTCAGATGACAAGAGATTGGAGGTCTCAAGTGAAGGGTATTCCAGGTAAAACCTAGTAAGATTAAAGTAAAGAACTAAAGCGTACAGGAGGACTATTTATAGTGAACTACTGTGCTTTAGGGCAGGCATGAGAATGGAATGAGTCAGAAATAAGGAATGTGTAAGTGATAGCAAGAATAGGTCATCTAGCAATGGCAACAGTGATTATGATGTAATACAAGGTATGAGTCAGAGATAAGTCTAGTGGCAGCATCATGCGGCTTGTGACATAATACACAGTAAGGAAGGGGAAATGAATAGGGGCATACATGGTTGTAACAGATGGACAATTATTGGATGATGAGATTCTTTCACTGATCTGCTGAATCTGATATCTCAACAGTGCAACAAATATTTGCCTTGTGGCCTGTTATTTTTGTATAAAAGATGTAGGACCCTTCTCATCATCTTACTTTCCTTCACAATGCACAAAGGCAAAAGCAAAGTCATTTCATTGAGGAATTTGACTCAAGACACTGAAACAATGGCTTGTGCAAGAAAACCTCTCAGGATCTTTGATGCTGTTATCAGAGAGATTGCAAATGTATGCAGACCTTCCTCTCGATCAGAACCAAACTCATCACATTCCACAGGTATGTCCATATGCAAAGGTGGTACTGGACATGTTATCTTCTGGGCCCAAGACTTTTGATTTTGGGCACACTCTACTTTCAACACCTGGAGTTAACAATTCCGAGATGCCCTCAATACCAGTTTGAATTTCTAACTTGACTCGGAGTTTTGGGAGGGAAGCTCAGTTGCATTACAAGCTACTGCAAAGAAAGATCCTTCAATGGTATCATACTTTCACTTTGTGTGAGAGCACACTCTGCGGCATAGCACTGTCACTAGTACTGGTCCATTAGTGTCCTTCAAAAACACTAAGGTATGATGGCATGTATTCTGCATCCCATGGTCACAGTGGTTCTTGATTGTGATTATAGACAGCTCTTCTTGAGTGGTGGGACATTGCACACAATCTTGTCACTGTTTCGATACATACATATGAGCGAGCGCCTTACATGGTTGGTGTCTGTCTTCATTGCTGTGTGTATATGTGACCAGTTTGCATTTCAAACTGAGGGAATCACCTGTTGTGTGGTCAGCTTGAGTGGCGCAATTGCACAGAAAAATTATGGGTACCATAGTGAAAAGACTTGTCAGTGTAGTCAATTTGAAATGCAATGAAATGCAGATGTGTTGAGAGATACACCAGTGTATAGAGACAACTTTTTCCATTGCTGAGAGCTGCTTCAATGGTAGGTGATTGTTCACATGATTAGACCTGTCTGCAGCAGTTTGAATTGTGTGGCCGAAACTTGTATCAGCGAGGGCAACGTTGGAGTCTGTACCTTGTAACTGTACCATGAGGGATTCAACCATCATGTTAACAATGGTATCAGACAACCATTCAGAAGATAAGAGATGCATTAACTTGAGGGTCATTTGCAGACCAGATGCAGCTGAGCCCATGATTAGTTTGTTCCATGAGAGACAGTCTAGCTGGATACGGGCACTTCTGAATGTTTGTAGCCCATCTCCAAACATTCTAGAACCTAACCACTTGTTGGCTTGAAGCCACTTGTCTCTGATGGCGCGCACATGATGTAACTCCTGCCAGAATTTGATCATCCAGAGAGGTAAGAGCTTCCCTTGGGAGAACAGATCATGTATTGACTGCTTTCCATCGAGAAGGGCCTGACCAAAAGCTACCATCATAATGTCCATGAAATCTTTTGGGGGTATTGGGGCTGTTGTGTCCACAGAATTAATGGGAAAAGCAGTCTGGAAAAATGATAATGGTTGGCCAGAGATGAGCTGGACCAAAGCCATCTTGAAGTTCCATAGTTTGGATACTGGCATTTCATCAGTAGGAAGTAGGGGACTGAGGATGTCTTTAGGGACTGTCAAAACCACCTTGCACAGCTCATGAAGAGCAGAAGGCAAGGGAAGCCCTTCAGGAAATTTTTTGGACTGCTGAATCCACTTGCGAGCTGCTGGAACATTGGATAATGTGTTTGGGGCCCATGAAGACACAAGAAGCAGGTATCCCAGCAGTTGCAAGTTGAGGAAAGCAGGTGTGAAGTCTGAGTTGCTTGAGGCGTCACTCTTATAGTCTGAGTGATCGAAAAATGCTTGAATGTTGCCTGATTGATACTTGAATGTCTTGCTGGAGTGATGTTTTTCCTTCAGCTAATTGATTTCTTTCACAATGCCAGTGATTTCCTGTCACACCCTATCAGACGCTACTACAAAAGTATGCCTTCCTTTCTTCTGGCCTGTGAAAGGTGGTATTTCCTCAGGCCTCCAAAATCCATCAACTGGCATGACACCATTGAGAGCTAGGATGTAAAGTTAGCCTACTAGAAACATTAGATGCAGGATTATGACTTACAAGAACAACATGGTTTTCTAATCCTGGGTTCCAGCTGTGGGGTGACCATAAATTAATGGCATCAAATGTTAATGTTTGATGCAGAACAGATACAGGGGTGACATTGTTCAAACGTTGATGTTTGATGCAGAGCAAATACCGGGGTGACTTTGTTCAAACATTGACGTTCGACAGAAAGCAGAAAGCAATCATTAATGATTGAGTTAGTCAAACATTGGCATTTAACTTGAAGGTTAGGGATATTATCGTAGCAGTGGCAAGCACCAGTCCCAAGAGGTGTGTGATGGAGAAATCTGATCCATTTGCTTATGGTAAGCAAAAAACTTTATTTCAGCCACTGGAAATTTGGTTGTGGCAAGGGGACCATTTCATCCCTTGCCATGACAAAGCTGTCCAAAATCTTGTGTGTGAAATCATGTGACATTTCCAAGTCAACCGGCAAATGCTGGGATGCAAAGAGCTGTGATCTACTTACTGATTACATGAGATTTTCCAGAAATAATAGCAGCCAGTGTTGTCATTTTATGTAATAAAGCCTCCTGCTGGTTGCCAAAATTGCGGAGCTCAGGTTAACTTGTATGCAACACAATGATTGAATCAGGACTTAAAAAACAATTGAATGAGCAAGGAATAGCACATTGAGAGAAGAGCTCAAGGGGGAGTTTGTTTGTTTGTTTTTGTTGTGATCATGTGAACCGGTTTTCGCAACCTTCCTTTTATATAAACAGGGAAGCAATAGTATAAATTGGATGAATCTACCGCTAAAATCAAAACCCACATTCCCTTTCAGTAGCAGAAAATGTCCGAGCTACAAACTTCTTTGTATAATTAAATCTAAACAAGCCCACCACTGCCACCATCACCAATATAACCTTCAAAGACAATCATTCAAATCCCTGGAAGAAATGCACATTCCTCTTCACCATTTCTATGAGTAGGCATGCCCTGAGATTTCTTCTTCCAAGTGTGAGTTGCCATTGTCACTAGGATCATCAGATATGCTAGATTTAAAGGATCACAATAGAAAAAGACTTACTGGTAGTCTTACAGGGGCGTTTTGAAGATGAAGCAGTGGTGACAGTCATAATAACATTGGACAATGCTGCAACTGGGCGGCCATGTGGATGAGCAGCAGTGAGGACATGACCTAAATAGTCAGGTAAACATGCAATGCCAGGACTGGAATAACATGAAAATACCACTTTGATGAAGCTGGTCAGTATCAATTGGAGGAGGCACTGCATCTGAAGGGAGAGGGCAAAGTGGTGGCAAGCTTGGTTTCCATGAGGCCTTATGATCTGTGTTCTGGTCCCAGATGTACATATCATTAGCCCTGTCATTGCTGCTGTGTTGTGATGGGGTGGGTTGATACCAGCCATGGTCCCCCAAGCTCATGCCTTGCGCAATTAGTGCTGAGCCATCATCAGAGGATGTGGCAAAGGTGTTGCTGCTAATACCATCATCTATTGAAAGTGAGATATGATAGGCAGACAAGTTTGTCATGTTAGCGCAGTCAGAAAGGTCACAAGGACAACAATGCTTACCTGCTGCAGGCAGACAAGGAATATTGGGAACATCTGCAATAACATCCATGTCATTGGACAAAGATACAGCTGTCTCCTTGAATGGTGTCATTGAAGACAGTTTTTCAGCAGCAAGAAGTGATCTGTGTGGGACTGGTTGAGGCTTTGGTTTGGCATGCGACTGCAAGGGGTCACTAGAACTGGCATGGGCCTGCTCCACTGGTTCCATGCCAGATGTTTGTGGGTCAGGCCCATCCTGTGAGACGTTAGCCTTAGTCTTGCCTGTGATGACAGAATGAAGTTGCTGCATGCTAGGAATTTCGGCCCTGACCTCAGCACTGGCAAGCATGACCTTTACCAGTTCTTCAGTAATGTCCTCTGTCATGGAATGTGTGCTCTGATAAGAGTATTCAGCATGTTTTTGCTTGCTAATTAATTGTGTAGCATGAACTTGCCAACATGTATTTGTCTTTGAGACCATCAGGGAGCATGATGCTGAGGCTTTTGACTTAAGACTTGTGAAATATCAATGTGGAATTACCATCTGCTGCCTGCATGTGAAGTCTACTACTGTTAAGCTCAAGTGCCTGTAACATGTATGAGGACAGTGTGTCATAACATTGCTTGTAATGTGGACTCACCTTTAGTAGTGCAATCAATCCATCAACAACATCCTGCGACAACAAGCTGGCCTTTGTGCAAGGCATGGAAGTGACATACATTACCATCTTGTTTATCACCAATCTATCTTGCTCCTCAAGGACAAGCAGCTGTTGGACTCACTGTTGTTCTACCTTCATATCTGTGCCTTGCATGCTGTTTTTCATCGTATGCGCATCCACTGTCTTCCCAGGGAGTGCAAGCTCATCCCACCAGGTCCACTCCTGCACTGGGACTAATTTATCATCATCGCCCATTGTTTGGATTTTTCTGGCACTTCCAGTAAGTGTGGTTTCCAATGTTTTCTGAAATGAAGCTATGATGGGGTCAGAGAGTAGCTGTGATTGATACTTGCCTGTGATCTTTCTCTCCAGGATGATCACCTGCACGAAGGGGGCTTGGTCTCTTCCAAAATTTTCAAGTTTCACAGTGTTCCAGTCCCATGCTGTCATGTGAATTGCCATAGTGCCTGCAACTGCCTCCTCTGACATGTCTCTCGAAGCTTGGCAGTGCTTCTTTGACATCAAATCTAGGAGCATTCAAACATCTGCCATGTCCCCTTCAGGCAGGCTCTCCAGGAGCTTTACCTTGTTGGTTGGCCTCTCTGGAATTGTGTTTATTGCAGTGATTGCTTGGTTGTGCAGATGCAGTACTAAAGTGTCCCTGAATTGCCAGATAAGGCAGCACACCTGCATAGGCATTGCATGGTAAGTGTCTGCAATGTGTGACTCATTTGCCCACTCACATCCATCGACACCTCCTTCTGTTCAATGCAACAATCTTTCTCTATATTGTGTATCATCACCTGTGACCAATTATTCATCACATGGTCCTTGGGGTGAAGGAAGTGCCAATAATCAAGCAAAGGCTCAAACCAATAACAGATCTGCAAGCTTCAAATGATCATCTTTTCTTAGCACAGTGTTGTTTGACTCACTTCTGCAATACCGTTCTCCACAGCAGCCAACTCATCCCAAATGTAATCAAGGAGCCAGGCACTCAGGAGTGGCTCAGGTGTATATGTATCACCATCCAGTGCAGTGAGGGATAGCAGAACTTGCACCATGCTGTGGTCGAGGTGCCAATCAATCTCATTCAATTCCCCTGCCCCCCTCCCAGTCCTTAACCATGCTTTCTCCAGGGTTTTTAACACGTTCTGACGATAAGTGCTCAGCCTAGTAATATACTTTGGAGTCATCTTCTGCATGACTTTCTTCCTCTCTTCAAAAGCAGTCTTTGCATGCCAGTCAAGATCGTCCATTACCCCTGCCCATAAATACCCACCCCCATGGTTAGGGGTACTCTTCTCAAGCAATACATGCAGATCTTGCAGTGCTGCTACTGCATTTCATCCATCCTCGCTGTCTTCATTAGCCTTGTTGACCAGTTTGCAAACATGTGCATAGTCAGGGAATGCATCTCTGGAACAAAGCTTCCACAGCAAGCCATTGAGCTTGAAGATTCTGAAGATATAAACCTACATCCTCTTAGTATACAAGAGTCTCAGTGCGTGTGTGCTTACCCCCATGTAAATACCCATTGACTTGGAGAGCCAGGTTACCAAAAATTCTCTGCAATGTTCTAAGTGATGGCCCATCAGAAGCAAACAGTGCAAGAGCATCATGCACATGTTAGGGCTGTGCATGACTTTCTGTAGCTGTGAATTCTTGTCCATTTTAGCCCACAACTCTTCAATAAGGGCTACTGCAGTATTCCACCATCCAATGTCATCTGGGTTTGCAAGGTATGTCAGTTGAATGCTCTTCAGCATGGTGATCAATACTTCTTCTTGTATTTCTTTATATTTGTGCAGTGCATTGTTTCGGCTAAGGTGGTTTGCAAGCCCATCACTCTTAGTGAGTAATTTTGCTATAAGAACTCTTGGTATCAGCATGGTGTACCATTGTAGAAAGGCCGAGTCTTCCCTGAATGGTACACTAATGAAACTTACATTTGTCATATACAATCACTCCCCATTTGCCCATCCCATCCAACTGGCCCATACATTCAGCAATTTGGTCACCAAGGGTATTATGCTCATTTATGGCTTCATCCGTAAGGGTCTTCAGGTTGCCAAGTTTGCCATGCCTTGTCTGGTATGACTCCATTTCTTCCTCAATCAGTCCACAGTAGCGTTTCACTGCTGATATGTGGTGTTGGCCAGAAGCCACAATGATGTCTGAGTAGTCATTCAATTCTAGGTGAGGAACAGCTTCAGGGTCATCAAACCCTGGAGCAAACACCAAGTTGTTCTCAATGCTGCTCTTGTTGATGATGATGGGAATGGCTGAGGAGTCCTTCATTGACAGTATTCCAGAAGTTTTAAATGACACGATTAGTTTGCTAGTCTCAAGTTCAACTTCAGGCCTGTCATTGTATCTGCCAACCTTGAGGTCGTGAGTTGTTGTTAGCAAATTGATCCATGCGACACTGAGCTTGCATTTTGCAACTTGCACATCCAGACACTGTATTGTCTTCCCAGTGTCATTCTTTGGGGATTTCACCTCGATTGGACGGGTGTCCAGGTGTACATTAGAAGTAAATTCCTCCTGATCATGTCAGATTATATTTCAGCATTTTGTAAGCCACTTTACCTTTACCCCCTCTCACTCCCTGTTCCCACCCCCTTTTCTTTTGCTTTTAGTGTTAGTCATACTGGGTATCAAAGAGAGCAAAATTTTGGCAGCCCATGCACTTAGTTTTGAGTTCCCACAGTGAAGTTCACAGGCTGCCACCTATGCAAAGTATGCATAATCAATAATACAGCACAGAGAAAAACAATCCTCTGCATGGGGAACTAATGTCCAAACTGTTTCAGACATTAAAGTTGATCACCTGTGATCTATAATATATTAGTGATATGAAAGCAAATAAAAAGTTGGTACTACCAAGAAAACACATGGCAATATTGCATGGATTTCCCTTCCCATTGCAGACATCTCCAAGGCCTGACAGATGATGCATGATGACCTGGACTGTGGTGCAACTTCAACTCATTGAGTATGCATGTATATAACATTGTTTGACTGTGTATATAGCTTGTGACTGACAGTTCGTCAGTTTCCTTTTAAAGTCAGGGGTTGGTCTGAACTGATAGAAGGCATGGCAACCTCAGCTTCCCTGATAATAACAATGGTCTGGAGGACACTCATAGCTTGGTCTGTTGAGTGAAGGAAAATGTCATATGACTGAAGACAAACTCCATAAAGGAGCTTATATGGTTTGCACAATGCACGTAGAACTCTACTTCTTTGTGTTTATGCAGGATTGTAAGTTATCAAAGACCAATATTCAGACAACTTCAAGTTTCACTCGCATCAGCACACCACGCCTTTGTAAGTTGTGGAGAGCCCTGAGGGGAGATGGAGAAGCCATGGCGAGTAGTTTATTAACACCCTGAGTAGTGTGCTCAGCGTGTCTACATGGGTGTCCTAACAGTGATTGATGGTGAAGGTGGGGAAGGCTGCAGCTGCACAGGTAGTTCTGGGATATGTGACAGTGATCTGTTGTTATGGGAGCTGTGTGCGATGTCCCATATCATCAGTACCACTCCAGTCCCTTCACATCAAGATTCAATGTACCAAGAGAAACTTTGGATCTTTCAATAGCACAACCAGACATTGTCCAAGATTCTACCATACCAGGTTGACTTTTTATTCTTCAGGCATTTGACCTGATACATGGTGCAAAGCACTGATGGACCTTCATTGGGCTCCTTCTTCCATCATTATGATTGTCCATGAGATGATACTTTGGAAGCATCCAGGTAATCATATCTGGCAAACAATCAGTAAATGTTTGTTTGCGAGTGATTGCACTTACCTTTGATTACATATAATAAGGCTTCCAATCCTGAGGCCTGATGTATTGCATCACTGGGTGTGCATGGTGTGACTAGTAGCTTGATAGATCACAGCTTGGCTTTGTCCTACACACATTCATTCAACAAGTTCTGTGGCCAACAGTGATATCATCCAGGGATCGGTCAGTTCAATCTGCTGCTGCATAGGGAGGGATGTATGAGTGGTGTGAGGGTGGGTAGTGTGAAGTTGAGATATGTAGGGCAGATCTGTAGTAGTGGATTGGGGTGCACCTCACCATGCACCATGCAAAAAGGGTGGGATTCCTGGGATAAGGAAGAGGAAGGTGCATTGGTAGGTTGAGACTTGTTCAACTGTAGCTGAGGTTAATAGGTCTATATAGCACACTCATCAGTGAACCAGTGAACATACTTGCCTCGTGTGGCAAAGATGTCCACAAGGAGAATCCTGTGTTGGTGAGGAGGATAGCTCTTGGGAGTACAGGAGTGAGAAAAGAGATGATTCATCATGTTCTTCATTCCAGACCCTTCAGCATGGTGAGTGGTGGTAGCACCACAGTTGTTGCGTCCAGGTGGAGAATGTAGATCAAACTGTCAAAGCATGGTAAGATGTGTACTGACACTACTGTACCATATGCAACTCTCACAGAAAAACTCCTGATTATCGCCTTTGACGTTTGGCGTGTTGGTAATATCGTACACACAGCAGAGCGGTTGAAATGTAGCTCAAATCCTAGTAGTATGTTGAACAGTGTACACAATTGACATAACAAGGTTCAAAGAAGTGCACATACGTGGGTCACATTCAAATGTATCCATATGCTTCTCACCATTTGTACAAACCAGAAAGTCCTATAGTACAATCAGAATATGTTTAAATTTTAAGGTGGCTCACTTGTCAAATATGAATCAGATACCTGTAGGTTGAGAGACAGCTGTGACAGATGGGTCTGGGAGTAAAGATTAGGCCTAAGCACACCAGTAGTGAGACTGGAGGAAGTGAGTCTCAACAACTGTCCTTGTGAGGGGTGTTGGAGGCTTGTAGGTGTCTTGTAATACAATACATGATGCTTGCAAGGGGTGTGAGGCCAGTGAGGAGGCATGAGCGGTTAGTGGTGGTGTTGCAGATGTCATGTATGACGATGTGTCATACTTGTGAGGCTGAGGTCAGCAATGCAGTGTGGGAGTCCTCCTGGGAGCTGCTGGGCCTTTCTGGTTCTGGGTGGTTTTGCTGATGAAACCTCCAGAGAACCCCTGCCTCTGCAACCCCTTGACTAGGGGGTGCTACTCCAACGCAATTCAAGCATCCTTTGTGTAGATCCTGGCTATCACGACAGCCCATGATGCATGTCTAACTGGAGATGTATCTACTACTGAAGAGCTACTTGCACAAGAGTAGTGATGCATCAGGCCCGGCTTGGCCTGAAAGCCAGGGCTTGGGCCTGGAAAAAAACCAGGCCAGGCCCTTTAGGAGGGCCTGGGCCTGGCTTGGGCTTGGCTCAGGCCTGGGCCAGGGCTTGCTGCCCCTACCCAATCCCAGCAGCCACCGGCACTTAGCACACATGCCCAGCACATGTCAGCAAGGCTGCACCCATGCAGGCATTACCCATGGGTACCATATACAAATAAGAAACTTATTAGATACAAAAACAATGAAAGAAAACAAATCTACATTACCAATTGCAAGTGCAAATGAGCACACAGAGCAAGCACAACAAATGAGCACAAGGAACAAACCAGAATGAACTGACACAAACAAACAAATGATGCAAACAGACAAATGACACAAACAAATGCACGAACCACATGAACAAACAAATATAGACCATCAAATACACACCTATACACCAGCAGACAAGCACCAGAAAACCACAAAAAACTGGCACTGGGGATGAATGCTCAGAAATTGTTCAAGTATGGCTGACAGATGAGTAGATACTACCTTACATGTTCTCTGCACCATCAACCTCATCCAAGCTGGTCTCTCTCCCATGCAGTCAAATGCTCTGTGAACATTGAACTATGAGCATAACAGTTACTCTTCTGAACATCAGATATCTTATGCACATTGATATTGCAGCACACCTGCGGATTATTTGATGCTACTTAGAAGTCAACAGCTGAGTCTGAGACCATATTACCAGCATGAGCCACATATGACAAACTCACTTGTTAATTTCCAAGTAGAAGTCTTTCACTCACATAACTAGAGGTCAAGAAAGAGGTGTGAAAGATGTCTGTGAGGCATTGGCTGTCGCAAAATTGTGAAAAATTGCATCAGCACAGAGGTCTTCACTAAGCACAGTGCACTAACCTCTGAATCCACACTGCTCATTAGCACACTGCATGAGAGGGCAATGATGCAAACCCAGGTAAGCTTACCTAACCTCTGCAAGTTCAATGTGAGATGAAGTGGTAGGTGGAGCTGTGGGACTCATACCAGGACGCAAGCAATGAGAATGCTCCCATTTAAACCAGGCCAAGACACAGTCAACATAAAAAAGCAGCTCAAAGGCATGCAAAAGGGACTGTGTGCTCATAGTCGCTTCCCATGTATGGGAGGAAGAGGTGCCAGAGCTTGATGTGGTGGCGTCTTAAGAGGCAATAATGGATGGGAGACACAAACTCACAAGTGTGATGCACTTAAGAGGTCCCAGCAAGACCACATGTCCAGAATTGATGGTCTAGTCAACAACTGCATCGACGGCTGCTGATGCAAGAGTGAGATATCTTCCAAGCATTCATGACAGATGATGCAACTGTTGAGCCCCACACTGAATAGAAACTTGAGAGAAATGTGGAAGGCTTGTCAATGGAGCAAAGCTGTGATATCCATTCCCCTTTGGAGACCTTTGAGAAAATATCTGGGCATCAAAACTAGATGTTGAAAGTTGGAAAGAGAGTCAACTGAGTTCTGGAAACGTCCAATCCAATCTCCAAAACCCTTCCAAGGCCAACATACACAATGTCCCCCATGACAAGTAGACAAGCCATGCAGGATGCGCAGATTTGGTCTCGAGGTGTGCAGCAACTGTTCTAAAAGACATCTTCATAGCGGTAGTTGTAGTGAGGATGAATAGGAAGAAGATCTAGTATCTGCATTCAGCAAGATGCAGCAGCAGCATCAAATACAGGACTTGTGAGAACCGACATGCCTTTCTGTGAAGGTTGATGAGGAGGTATGGAATAACCATTGATGCAGCTTGGATGATGAATCCAAACAGAACATCTGCATTGCTGGCCAGTAAACTTGCATATAGTCAGGAGAAGGAAGTTGACAATCTGACCTGTTTGGGATTGCAGTAGATGCATCATCAAGCACCAGTGATCCAAACCTGCCCTTGGTTTCATCAACATCACTAGCCACCCAGGCAACAGACAGTGAATGGTTCATTGGTGAATGATCTTGAAGGTATGAATGTTAGCCTTTCCAAGTCATTGGTAACTGATGCAGGGGCAGTGCAAGTTAAACATCAACTGCAACCATAGTTCGAGCCATCTGCCAAGGCTATGACAGACCCATCTTTCCACATCTAACATACTCTGACATATCATTCAAATATTCTGGACTCTTGTTTACTGACATTGATGCTACTACTCCAGAATAATGGAGTGTGAGGAATGCAACCAAATGCTAGCTGAAACACTTGCAATTGTTTCAGCTCCAACATCCTTCATGCACCACAGAATGACTTTGCCCTCATACTGTCCAACATGGGATGCAACTCATTGTTCCTCCACTGATGCTTGCCACAGTTCTATGGCAACTGTGCTTCTGGCTCAAGATAATCTGCCTTACCAATGTGTTGAGCAGCGCAGTCCCTGCCCTTTCACTTATCACCAAGTGGTTAAAGGTTAGTACATGTTTGTTGAGCATCAGAATGATGCACTCACATGTAATTGCAACTTCAGGGTCATACTGGGTGGTATGAAGATGCCTTGTCCACTGCAATGGACATGCAGAGATTATGTTAAGGTCACGTGCTCAAGGGGGTCAGATCACAAGGGCTTGGCCTCAGCTCATACACTGTGCCCCTTTCCTGAGTATGTGCCCTTAATTTCCGGGGGCTAGAACAGTCATCCGGAGTTTCTGGGATTTGACTAGGGTGGATAGCGGATGTCTGGATCTGAAACATGAGATAAATCTGACGGATGTCCAGATATCACCTGGGCAAGCAGATAAGACTAATCCAGATGAAGTCTGGACTAGAAACTAACAGAGGATGGACTACCCTTAAGGTAGAGTTGGAAATGTAGTCTAGGATGCAATCCTAAGACTCAGAATATGACAAGAGACTTATCTCGAGTCCAGAGGACACAGGAATGAGCAGGAACTAAGATGATATTCGAACTGGAGTATTTCTGAGAGTTACAGGAGGTTTATATACTGTAGGTAACATATAGGAATCAGTCAGCAAACATAAAGGCTATGTACGAAGCATATGCAGAGTCTATTAGTAAGTAGGACAGATCACAAATAATGAACACTGGAAATGAAATGTATGTAATGGATCAATAATCAACAGGGAAACATGGTTAACTGGAGTCTGGAGACAGGGGCAGTCTAAATGGGGTTGGGCACTGATATAGGGTTTGGATTCTGGAAGGGAGATAAAGATAGATCAGATCATTTGAGATCCAGATCTCAGATCCGGATATCCAGAGAAGTGGATTTAGAGTTGAGAGTCCGGAATGGCATATGACAGATTATCCAAGTCTTTGGTGGCATCATCTTGCATAGCACACCTCATCTCTATGTATCAGCACTGCCATCCTCACCCCTCAGCTCCACATTGCATCTGGCTTGACTGATAATGCTGTCCAGCTGTAGGTTATAGCAACGTGGCAGCCCATTGGTGAATCTTATTGGGTCATACTAAATTGGTTAACTCAGCTTTGTTCTTGCTGGATGGAAATTGCATCATGACAGGTTCAGACAATGAGACTGTCTGGCTGCATGATGCAGTGACAGGGAAGCCAAATTGTTAATCCTTGTGGTTTTGTCACTCTGAGTACAGCATTTTTTACTGCTAACCTCCACAAGGCCAGTGCCATCTTCTTGGAAAGATGAGCCCAGGGAATCGGAACTGATCTGATGCTCAAAAGTAAAAGATTATAATCGGGTATATCAAGCTTCTCTGAATATGGTTACTACTTACCTATTTCTTGCTGCAGCACAATAGCTCATTCTAGAAAGGACCCTTGATGCATGCCATGGCAATCATGCAATGATACAAGGGAGTTCCCTTGTGCACGGCATGGTAAAAACCTTGGGGACAAAGCATGCAGATTTTTTTTGATTCCATTGGCAACCAAATTGAATTATCTATCCCCATCAACTTGGTTTCTCTGGCCACCTTGTTCTACTTCCCAGTTGCTATTACCTTGAAGCTTCCCTGCATGAGATTATGCTGTTAAATATGTGGAGAAGCTGATTCCACAATTTCAGGTTGACATATATGTAACAGCCTTGTTGTGGCTTATCAAACCTGAGGACATGAGGACAACAACTTGAATCTGAAAAATTCTATCAAACCAATTGCAAATGGCTCTTTAGGGTCATACTTCTCTTGTGGCATTGTACTGACACCACCCCGACCTCAGTCACCACATGTGCTATAGATTATTCCCATTGACTCCATTTACAGGTTTCAGTGGTGGAGAATTTTTGAGGCCTTGTTGCCATCAACTTCTCATCCTCAAGGAGTCCCCCTCCGACTGCCTTGCATATGTAGTACCATCCACATGCCTATTGATTGGTCTTTTACCATCAGAAGCAGGAGTCCAGATAACTGCCTTTAATTAGGATCAAACACCCGACCTGCCAGGATCTGAAACCATTCTCAAGTAACTCCACCAGCATCCACACACCCCTTGTCATAGAAGCACATGCTAAGTTTTCCACACTTGATTCATTCCCCTGTCTTGCACTGAAGGTACTGGAAATTATCCTTGAATACTCTGGCTCAGCATATGTTTAGCTTGAGTGTGCCCTGGTTTTCATGGGGGTGTGAGTGATGGTGGATGTTAAGAACCATGTTGCTCAAAGGAGAGAGAGACTGACTCAGAGGGGCTTGGCCTCAGCTCATACGCTGTGCCCCTTACCTGAGTATGTGCCCTTCATTTTGTATGAGGTCCGATGATGGTCTGATGAAGTCCAGAGGACTTCTGGAGGCTGGCTACTCTGCTGGAGAGCGCTAGAGGACTTCTGGAGGAGTGTGGGAAATGTCCGGAGGAGCGCGGGAGAGTTCTGGAGGAACACAGGAAGTGCACAAGAGAGTTCCCACTGCAAGGTAATACTTCTACAGGAAACAGGATAGAAGGATAGGAGGTCTGAAGGTCCGGAGGACAGGAGGACAGGAGGGCAGGAGGACAGGAGGACAGAGGATAGAAGGACAGAAGGACAGAAGGACAGGATGTCTGGAGGTACGAAGGACAGGATGTCTGAAGGTACAGAGGGCAGAACGTCCGAAGGACAGGATGCCCAGAGGTATGAGAGACAGGAGGTCCAGAGGTCTGGAAGGAATAGGGGCTACATCAGACAAAGTCTGATGTAGAAACAAACAGAGGTAGACTACCCTAAGGTAGAGTTGGAGAGACAGGGATTGGACCTAAGTCTGGAAAGAGGGTAAGTGCTGGAAAGGCAGAGCTCCGGCCTAGGGAATCAATCCCTAGGCCTGATGGGTAGGACAGACTTAGGTGGACCAAAGTCTGAGAGAGGATTGGGCAAGTCTAAGTTGATATTCAAACTAAGGAACTACAGGAGTATCTACAGGGGTTATATACTGAACAGTATCTGAGGGGATCAGTAAGCAAAGGAGCAAGGCTATGTATGAGCATGTGGAAACACATTAGTAAGTAAGTTGGAACATAAGTAAATGAACTTGGAAATGAGGACTTGTACAAGGATCAATAAGCAAGACAGAAGAAGAGGTAACCAAAAGCCAGAAGGCAGAGAATGCCTAAATGAGGATAGGTGCAGGATATCGGACAGAGGGTGGGAATAGGTCCAGAGTTAATATCCAGAGGTCCAGAGATCTGGGGATCCAGAAGACAAGGTGGATACAGGACTGGGATATGAGAAGGTGGATAGAGTCCAGAAACTGAGACAAGGTGAAGTTCAGATGTCTTGCTGGATGGAGTGTGCATAGGGTGGATGGGACAGGGGGGTATGGATCAGGCTAGCAGTGGAGATTCGATGGTCCAGAGCTCAGGGGTAAATCTGGAGCATAGTCGATCCTGCTGAGGTGTGGAGCACAGTGGAAGGGGATCTGGGAATGAGCTGGATGTGAAGTGGGGTCCAGATGTAGGCTTGGAAGGCGTGGGAATATGATGGAATGTGGGTCCAGATTGTGGGATATGCCAGTGGAGCTACATGGTTGTTTGTAGATCACAAGGCGCCCAATTTATGTTGATAGAGGGGGAAAGGAAAATGGAAAATGGCAAAATAGTCTTCAGGAACAATGAGAAATGCCAAAAATGTTCAAATGCTTTGGAAGCATGAGCAACTTCCATGCTCTCCAGAGGTAACATTAATTGAAGTATGAGCATAACAAAGATTAATTCCTCAAGTGTCTTTCCACACTCATCTTTTTCTCCAGCCAAACATTGTGAGATACTTAGTGCAGCATGTGTGCCAGGCATCAATGTTGCATTTTGGGCGCCCATTGGCATGGTTAAAGGTGCATCCAGCTGCAGAAGCCATTCTCATGAGCATCACCTTGTCTGTTCATTATCTAGTCTTCTTAATGATGCTAGGTGTTAAGGTTGTACTCAAGGGATAACTGGATCCGAAGGGCTTTGGCCTCAGCTTGTGCACTGTGCCCCTTACCCAAGTATTGCCCCTTATTTCAGGAAGGCAAGACTAATGCATCTGGAAGGTCAGATGAGTAGTGTAGCAGATCTGGATGACTTCTGGATGAGGGATAAGTATTGTAGGGCTAATCTGGATGAGTCCAGACTAGAAACTAATGGTAATGGACTGTCGGAGACAGAGGTGGATATGAATAGACTATAGGAATCAATCCTAAGTCTTGGAGGGTGACAAGAGTAGGGATACTCAAGTCTGGAGGACAGGAATGAGTAGAACTAAGATGATATTTGAACTGAGGTACTACAGAAAGTTACAGGAGGTTATATACTATAGGTATCTAATGGAATGATCAATCAGCAGAGTCTGAGGCTATGTATGAAGCATGTGGATAGTCTATTGGTAAGTAGAAACAGATCACAAATCATGAAACAGAAATGAAATATAGGTAGCAGATTGGGGAGCAGGACAGATATACAGATAACCGAAATACTGGAGTTAGGGGGTTACTGAAAGGAGACGAGTGCTGGTTGTGGATTTGGATGAGTTGTGGACCGGACTGGACAAGTGGACAGATTGAATGATGAGATGTTGGAGGGAGATAAGATGTGGATAGGATCAGAGATAAGATGTGGATCTAAGATGAGATAGGGGTCAGATCTGAGATCTGGATATGTGGATATGACACTCAACTCTTGTAACTACTGCCTTATGATTTCAAAGTCCTTATGTGCGCATGGGGAGATGGAGATCTTGTTTATAACCTCTTCTCATAATGCTGCACAGGCAGTAAAAATACAAATTTCCAGCTGAGATTGTATACCTGCCCTTGGAGTAGGTGCAGATACTGGATGGGTTGGCATTGTGGTGCAATGGCTCCAGAAACATTACCTGAACAGCACTGTATTTGATGTATATGAGGGCGATGTGGATTGTGTCGTGCCTGGCCTTTATGTGATGATGAAAGCCACAGAAGCCTTGTCTGGCATCACTGAGTAACCAGCTCCTAGTCCTCAGTACTGTGAAGTTGACTTGAGTTCTTCAGAGAACAACAGCATCAGTAGTGGTCATCATGTTCGAGTTGGCCAGTGCCTCACCTATGCCATTCCTGTCACACTGTCTGTTCTCATTGCCAAGATTGTGACTGATGTCCTGGAGCCTAAGGGAGTTTATGACCTGGTCATTGAGTGAGAACCTAGTCCAAACTCCACCAGTCCTCCTGACACTTTTTCACAGGCTATCTCAACTTTTGTGAATACATGCTAAACATGAATACCTGCATTCAACTCTGTCCATCAAGGAAGTGGTAAGGGCACTATACTCCTTGTTGAGATCTAACTAAGTAATGCTTCTAGACCGATTGAGATGTGGATGCAATTAGGATTGGCCAACATAATACAGTTGGAAGTCTTCAGGACCAATTGCAATCACTTCTGAAGGCTGAGTACGATGATGGTGGTTTCCCCATTCTCTGGCCAAGTAGTGACAAAGATGGTGTACATATGGTTGGCTACATTGGCGCTAGTGGACTAGAGCAGCTTTCAGTAGATACCCCCATTTTCCTATATAAAAATCATCTGACCAAAAATTTAGCCATTGTAGTGGAGGGAGTAGTGGAGGAAGTTCACTTATGCACACTACCGCACATGAGGCACTGGCTACTTCATATTCATTCTGAGTGGAAAAGTCAACTCCTTTCATTTGATTTTATGGTTTACAGACACTCCTTGCCATTGAATTGGACAATTGCTCATGAAACTCTGTGAACTGCTGTGCTGAGTGTCCACTGTCCCAATGACTATTCAGTCATTCTTTCTTGATGGTGTAGCTCTACATCACTTATTGCATGCATGTCCACCTCCTTCCTTTCCACTCTCCCTCCCTCATTTTGGTTCTCAAGACTGAAGGTTATTTGTGCCTGAGAAATCTGGCAATGGCAGCTCAGAGTGACCTTCCTCATCTTTGTCTTTGGCTCTCTCAGGCATGCCTCTGTGCAGTCGGTTCATGGCTGCAATCTCTGAATACACACTCATTGTGGAACATCTCCCTCAGACTGCAGCCAGATAAACCATAATTACCCCACAACACCCAAAATATCACCCATTTTGGGACTCTCCACAATATCAATTATTCCCACACCCTTCCCACCTCACTGCAGCTTCACCACTATACCATGATAGGTCTCCCTTCATATATAAGTAGTAGTTTAGTATATACATGTATAACATAATATAATAGACCGCTTTTTTGCTCATTTGTATGCCTGCTCCTCCTCCAGGGGCCATTCAACATATGGTAGGATATAGAACACTTTCGCACTTTTGCCCCTTTGGCACTGAAGCATTCTAGGATAGCCAGAACGTGTTTATGATCATATATGAATAGATTCCCATCTTTATTTGACTCCCTGAAGCACCCTACATTAATAGGTACAGTGTATGTATGGGAAAACACAAAATAGGTTCTTTTTTTTTTTAATTTCTAGCTATATTAACTTGGAAAAATTGTCCCCAACAGGTTAGCACACTGTGCTTAGTGAAGACCTCTGTGCTGACACAATTCTTCACAATTTTGCAACAGCTTATGCCTCATGGACATCTTTCACACCTCTTTCTTGACCTCTAGTTATGAAGAATTGCCAATGCTTGGTATCTACTCTCTACCTAGATGCAGTTGTCAGCATCAATGGCCTGGTCATACTCACAAACCTAATTCACCATGCCTTCTGCCAGCTTGCTCCTGATGTGTGCAACATTTCACCCTACTTCCATAGATCCAACTGGTTCATTGTTTCACTGGTGAGTTCAATAGCCCAAATCATATAATATCATTTAAACAAACTAATTAGTAGTACAAGGGATCTGTTCAAGGCACTGCTGCTCATCAGTCATCAGCAACAGGTTGTCATAGATGATGTGTGTCACACATCTCCCACTTGGACCAGAACAGGATGGCATTGTTGTGACAAACAGACCCTCAGCCTATGAAACAGGTCTCCTGGCTGACCTGTCTGGCAAGACAGGTGTGAGAGTCTGGGACTGGGACAGGCTTCTCAAAAGATGTGACCAATGTTGTCCTATCGTGTGGAGAGAAATGTGTCCAATGCAAGCAGTTTTCTAGAAGCTTGAAATTTCCCTAGAGTAAGCAATGCGCTCCCTTAACTCATGGAATTATGCTCTCCCTGCAGCTGATTACCTGAATGTTAGGTTGAATTTGAAATTTGAAATAGCCAAGTGCAACTCTGATCCAGCATCATCAGAAGGGTTAAGTGTGTGCCCATCTTCATCGATGACCCATTCACAGGTTGTTCTTCTGATGTTTTATCATTGCCTCAGAAAAAATCTGCTCAAATTTTAAATCATATGATTGAATCCATCACATGTCACTTTTCCGCACCACTGTAGCCTCATTAACAGTGTCCATTTGTATTGGGGTGTCAAACAACACTGCCTGAGTGGCTAGCATGGTCACCATTGTTGTTATACATTAGTTTCCAGGCGGTAATGTAATGGTGATGGTAGCAATTCATTGCCTGAAAATCTTCAATTCACCCTAGTATCAGGAACTGTTCCACAGTGAGTAATGAGCATTATGGACCAGAAAGTCAATCATTGAAACTTGCCTTCAAGCCTTCATCTTATGTGCATCGATATTTTGGCATGTCTGCAGATTATTTGATGCTACTTAAAAGTCAATCACTTGGAGGTGGAGTATCAGCGCTTTATCATCTGTGATTTGATAGCTCGCATAAGAGTCATGTCTTACAGGACAGCACACTTGTTAACTTCCACATAGAAGTTTTTCATGCCTCACCCCTGTGCATCCAGTGTGCGGAACACATTGTCCACAAATGCCAGCTGCATCTGAGACCATATTACTGGCACAAGCCACATATGACAAACCTTGTTGGAGCATGAAAGAAATTTGTGGGCAGGTATAAACAGAAATCATGTTGACCTATGTCAATGTTGTGATGAAAGCTTCCCACTGACAGATCATGTACAGGCCAATCTGCCAAGGAAAATTATCATTCCAATCATCTTCAAATGGCTAAATTGATGGCTTACCACTGGTGTGAGTGGCATGGCCAAGAACATTAACTTTGCCAACTGAAATGTTCGGTGCTGTTTGACGTTGGTTATGTGAGTATTACCAGTCCTGGCTGTCACAGAATGTTGGGCGGAATTTCAAGCCAAACATATGCATCAGGGTTCCATAATTTGTAAATGATCCATGGCATTAGTACATAATTCAACTGTATGCCTCTCATTGCAAATGTTCAGGGCATTCCCCAAGGCCCTGCCCTGCACACAGGCCTGACTGATATCAATAACAAGTAGCCAATTTTGCTCCACTATTTGACATTACCCATGAATCATGGCAAGTGTCGAATTTGCAAGTTGTTTTGGTGGGTCTATCCAAGTATCCTGTCAGAATCATTGCCTGGTACTTACTCAGCATTGCAGTGCGACATCAGCCTGGGCCATGCAGGACCATGAGCAACTCATCAAACAGGCATACCTATGGAATTTGCAACCTTCTCAATCATTCAAATATAGAGGGATCTCCAAATTTGCACAACAATGCAAGGATAAGCATGGCCCTTTGGTGCACCTGATGATCACTTTGGGCAGAAATGCAGGTCTAGCTGCAGCAGTTGTAGTGCATGTTTTGAGAGTGAAATGCAGCATTCCTTCCCATCAGTGTAAGTATTGATATGCAACAGGCTCTCCAAAAGGAGGGCACAAAGATGGTAACAACTGGAGAATTCTACTCCCAAACACTCACTGTGCTCTGAGATGCCATGAAGAAAGATGCAAATGTGTGAGTACAGGCTTAGTCATCACTTGCATTAAGCTAACAGCATCTTAGTGTCCTAGTGCCTGCATATGATTCACCTGTCATCTGGGATGGTTGTTCACCCATGGCAACTGAGATGCAGAGACAACTTTCCAAGCAGATCCTGAACTGCTGCATGCATACCTCTGATTCCTGCCTAATCAAAGTGCCAGTTGTGGCACTTGAAACCACTGGCTTGAATGGCTTTTACAATGCCATTGCCATCAATGCCTGGAACTTTACTTCTAAAGTCCCCATCATACCTTCCACTGAAGTGGAGGACAGTTCTCTGTATACTGTTGAATACCTTTGAAGGCACCTCAATATGCAAGTGGATGCTTACCACTCTCTCAACTGTCCATCGAAAAGCTGATTCTTCACCCTTGGCTGTAGTATTAGACCTTGTATATTGGTAACTACCACTTTAACCATACACTTTCCTTGGCAACTGCCAGTTCACTCTTTTGACCTAGTGCTGTGGCACTTGCCAAGTCCTTATTTGGCTGTATGTCCTGGCTTTCACAGCCGCATTTTTGGGATTTTGAAATTCAGCTGTTTGTCATTTCAGGATACATTCCACATTTGGTGATGGATGTATTTATATTTTATGACCGCAATTTTGGCTTCCAAAAGCGGAAATTCACAAAAACACATCCCATTTTGGTCACCTACTGATATCAGGCCTCCCTACATTATTCCCACACTCCGCATTTTTCAGCCACACAGTGTGGGAATTACCCCACAACACCCAAAATATCACCCAATATGGTACATCCCACAATTATAATTATTCACACACCCTCCCCACCTTGCTGCAGCTTCACCACCACACCACAATAGCTCCCCATGCATATATAAGTAGTAGTTTAGTATATATATGTATAATATAATATCACAGACCGCTTTTTTTGTTTATTTGTGTGCCTGCTCCTCCTCCAGGACTCTTTCAAAACAATCCAGGGTACAGAACACTTTCGCACTTTTGCCCCTTTGATAGGGAGGTGTTCTAGGGTATTTAGAATGTGTTTTTGAGTATATATGAAGATATTCCCATCTTTTTTGACCCCCTGAAGCGGCCTACATCAATAGATATAGCATATATACACAAATACACAAATATGTTCCTGTGTGTTTATTTCTAGGTGAACAGACTTGGAAAAATTATCCCCAAACAATGTGAACAATGTATGAGAAGCCCTGGACCATAGAACAAGACCCTGTGATGCAGTATACCTGCCCTCTCCTGGTGGTTCACCCCCTGTGAAATTTTTTCCTGTAGGACAAGACCTTCAGGATGTCGGGGAGTCTATTTCTATGCATATTTAGAGTATATCTATCACTTAGCTGTGCCAGAATATCAACATGGTCCTTCTACAGGAACAAAAAGACACAAAATCGCATTTTTGACATTTGTGACATACATATTTCAGTATCTTAACCTTGCATACATAGTCCACCTTGCTTATTTATCATCAGTGGTACATATATAAATGTGTTTGATGCCCAGGATCAGCTCACAATAGGCCACAGTTTGGAGATAGTGCATATACTTACTATTTCTACTGATAAGGAGCCTATACCTTCAAAGCATCCAAATCTAATAATCAGACACCTGGAGTGAATTTAGGCATTAGCATGGGTATGGGTAGTTGGTGGGTTGGGTATGGGTTATGGTCTCATGACCCACCACTCTACCCATACCTACACCAGATACCCACACCATGGGTCATGGGTCAAGCCTCAAATGTCAAACTTTGGCAGAATTATGTAAGAACTATACATAGTTTTCTTACAAAACATAAACCTTAATCTCAAGTAATCACCCACTACCTCAAATAGCCAAATCCTTCCCAATGTTCAGTAAATGTCAGCCAAAACCCATGGAGAAGGCCAAGGAATTCTTTCAGTCAGTCAGGAAGGCTGTCAAATGCAAGTGAAGTCATGGTGACGAGCTCATCTTCAACAAGGCCAAATGAGCACCTATTGCAGCTGCAAGTGACTCTGAACTTGAAGAAAGCTTAGGGCTATCTATCTTGAAAAAGGCTCCCATTAGAAGCAAGAACTATTCTATTGTTGTTCAAAGTGAAGATGAGGAGGAACTTAATCATGATGCCAACATCGTTGAGATTTCTGCACCAACGTCCTCCAACACAAGTGCCCAGGCCAACAAGTCTGAAACTGAGACCAAGTGTCCCGAGGAGGATTCCAAGGCTGAAATGAGTTAGTACCTGTACACAAAATTATTGTTTGATTAATATCATGTTTGCAGAGCACTTGAGCAAAGAATGGCTCTCATCTATCTATGCATTCTTTGAGCCATTCCCTACCATCAAACATGAGAACAAACACCATTACCATGAGTTCAAATGTCTTGCAAAAGGATGTGGCAAAAGAATCTGGCACTACCTAGACAAAAAGGATGCCAAGTCAACCAGCAATATGCACAAACACGCACGTACCTGCTGGGGAGATGAAACAGTCAAGGCTGCAGATGATGCCAAGAGTTCTGACATTGCTTGCAAGGCAATTGTCAATGGAATCCTAAAAAATGGGTCAATAACAGCTTTGTTCAAGCGCAAAGGAAAAGGCAAAATTACATACTCCCACTGGCAGCATACAAAGACTGAAACAAAGTAAGTACTCACTATATAAACTCCCGGATGTGAGGTTGAGCAGCAATACAGGGCAGAGATAGTTCAGTGGATGTGCAAGAGCACGCATCCATTTGATATCGTTAAGGACTGGGGCTTCCAATCCTTGATGAAGATTGGCCACCCTGAGTACTATTTACCTTCCCTGTCAACCATTTCATGGGATGTCAAACTAGTATTTGCACAAACACATCAATGAATTGCCATGATGTTAAGGGAGCATGATGGGCGACTCAACTTTGCCACTGATGCATGGAGTTTGCCCAATCACAAGGCTTTTATAGCCCTATCAGTTCATCTTGAACATGATGGAATACCTATTGCGACGATATTAGACATTGTTGAAGTTGTGGAGGTGAAAATTGGATTGGACTTACTGTAACACGCCACTGATATGTGGCAGTCTCATTCAGGCATGGTCCTCACAGAGGCATTCACTAATGTTCTGCGTGAATTTGGAATTGATAACAAGGTCAGTATAGTGTTTAATGAAATGTGCAGGATACTCACCTACCTGTGCACCAGATGTTAAGCCTTACTGCTGACAATGCGGCTGCAAATGACACAATGACAACATTCCTTTCTGAGCTCCTTCCCCCCTTTGGTGGTGAGCCAACACAAACTTGTTGTTTTCTACATATTGTGAATTTAGTCACATGGTCAATTCTAAAGGAGTTCAACTCACAGCTGAAGATGAAATGAATGACAACAGATGACAATGATGATGATGAGTTGGATGGTGAGTTGAGTGAGGAACTGTCATCAACACATGAGGATGACCAGGTGCATGGGGACGATGATGAAGGTATAGATGACAATATAGATGGCTGGGTCAATGAAATGGAGGAGATGGGTGTGTCTGAGTGCAAAGTCCTAAGGAAAAACTTGCAACCGGTCAAAATCACGCTTGTCAAGGTAAGTGCGACTCCCTTTCACTCACCACTACTAATCCCTCCAACAGCTTCATAAACTTTCCTTTAAAATTGTTCACTCCACAACAGTCTTGCTGCCAGCATGGAAGGGGTTGTTAGGAGAGTTACAATGACCGGTTAGGATTATGCCACATGATGTGGCAACATGGTGGAACTCAACATATGACTTAATCAACTTCGCCATCAAGTATCAGACAGCCAAGCATGAGCACAACTTAAGGGAGTTTGAGTTGTCAGTAGAGGAGTGGAAGATTGCATCTGACCTGCAGGAGGTTTTGCAGGTAAGTACACTCAGGATTTCACCACATTGACCAGTGCTCATGCAATACTTAATACTCTAGGTTTTCAAGGATGCTACAACCTTCTTCTCATGCTCCACACCCAACCTTGCTACTGTCATCCCCACTATTGACCATATTGATGAAATGCTCTTGGCCCATGAATCCAGCTCATCTCTGAATAGTGCTGTACAATCTGCACTCACTCTTGGCAAAAAAACACTTGACTGCTACTATTCATTGACAGACAAATCTGATGTGTATCATGTGGCCATGAGTAAGTGCTCTCCCTGACAGGACTACTTACTTTTGACAATAATTACAGTGTTGCATCCTCGTCATAAACTTCAATATTTCAGAATGGCCCTGTGGGATCAAGACTGCAGAACAACTTGTCTGCGATGAGTTTGATCTCAACTACACTAACTTAGATGTTCCAGATGGAGGCATGGAGATAGATGACACCAAGCATTCAGTTGCTAAGGTATGTAGCAAGAGCAATCTATTTTTTTTTACTCATACCTATTCACAGGATAAACCTCGCAATATATTTGATGAGCTTCCCACCCTCACTGCACCAAAGAAATTACAACTCCATCATGAACTAGATGCCTACCTTGCGGCTGATCCAGAGCATGTACTGGATGTCCTTGCTTGGTGGCATGAGCATCGCAGCATGTACCCGCGATTATCACAAATGGCTCATGACTATCTTACAATACCTGGTACATGTCTGAAATTGTGTAATATATTAAATTTTTAACATGTTGTGTAGCAACATCTGTAGATGTCGAACGGATATTCAGCCATGGTCACCTCTTGCTCTCTCATGTGCACAGCCATCTCTCTTCTCAATCCATTTGTGCATTGCTGTGTCTTGGTTGCTGGAGCCTTATGGGTCTCATCAAAGACAAGGACGTGTTAGCTGTAGCTGTGTTAGCAGATGTTGAAGGTGACAAAGATGCTCTTAATGACAGGTGGGATAACATTCAGCTCTGACCTATACTACATACCATCATGTTATTTACCTGTGTTATGACTTTGTGAACTAGTGTTTGCAACCTTCCTTTTATGGAATAAGACCTGCTGGAACAAGGTGTCACGTGACTTTTTAGGATTAGTAGTACAACATTCGACTTATGATAATAATGGGATTTCAACACTAAATGATACTAAACCCTTGGGTTGCCCACCATGGGTATGAGACCCACCAAACCCATACTACCCACACCACAACCCATGACCCAGCTAACCCTTGGATGGTAGGTATGGGTGATTGGTGGGTATGGGTATGGGTCAGCTTGTGGCAACCCATGGGTTACCCATGCTATTGCCTAAGCACATTAAGGATATGCTAATTATCATAGATCTAAAACTGTAGAAAGATCCATCAAGTATTGAGTGAAAGGGAAGCAAAGGAACATATGTGTGAAAAGTGACAATTAACACATATTACACAAAAGTCACATTTACATGTGATATAGGTCGAAGATTTCATTAAATTTTAATAGGATATATGTTAAACTGCATAAGGAACCTAAACTACACTTTGCCCTGAGGGTGGAAGAGATGTAGAAGGGATGTGGTGGTAAAGTAAATTGATGCAGCATTAAAGTCCTACCACTACTCAACTGACCATTTTCGATGTTTTGGGTCTTTGAGTTTCTCACACTCAATTTCTTATCTATTTCATTTCCCCAGCACTCAATTCTTGTTGGATCGTTTAGTAAATGTAGATCTATGATACTGAGTATATCCTTAATGTGCTACAGGTGTCTGATTATTAGATTTGGATGCTTTGAAGGTATAGGCTCCTTATCAGTAGAAGTAGTAAGTATATGCACTACCTCCAAACTGTGGCCTATTGTGAGCTGATCCTGGGCATCAAACACATTTATATATGTACCACTGATGATAAATGAGCAAGGTGGACTATGTATGCAAGGTTAAGATACTGAAATATGTATGTCACAAATGTCAAAAATGCGATTTTGTGTCTAGGCCCTTTAAAGCTATGACCTGATATAGAATAGACCACTTCTCAGCTGATGTGCCCTCAGAGCCGGTGTCAAGATGCAACTGAAACTCCTGGACCTTACTAGATCTTGTAAGATGAGTAAAGTGAAATCTCCAAAGGCACGAAAACAAGGTACATGCAGCTGACCTGGGCCCGGTTCTGCTGTTAGCCTGTTAGCGACATGTACCTTGTTCAAGTTCTCAATGGAATTTTCAAGGAGCTGAATTTCTACTTTGGAATGGTACACATTGACCCAGATGTCCTGGACATCCAGTTGCTTGACCTTATAACCCAGTAGTGGTGTTCTGCTAAGTCTTGAATATTGAATATTGAATTCAGACAGGTAGTATGCACAATGCATAACCAATGCATAAGGAGCAATCCCCAATGGTTCATCATAATGATACAAGTTACAGCATAAACAGGCAGAGGAGGCCTATTGTTTAAACAGCTGGGTGTTTGAGCATGATGTGCTCCCAGACAAGATCATCCTGCAGTTTGGGTGCACAAGCAGGGGGTTCTAGTTCCCCACCACGATGATTGGTAGGTGCTTTCAATGCACCCTGTGTAATCCATTCAGGATTTACTCCCCAATTCTTAAAGAACCTGTCTCGGTAGGATTTGAAAGTGGGGAAATTGAGCATTTCATGGATGGCTCTCCAAGCGCTATCCAATGCACCCTCCACCCAAGCATGCTGTACATTGATGGCTTTGCCAGCAAAATGAAGATAACCCCCTGCAGCAAGATTGTTGAAGCTCATTTAAAGATTTCCAAACTTTCCAGGTCTGAAGACAGCAAAGGCACCTTGAAAAAGAATATCAGTAAGATGATTAATAATATTGAATGACCCGGCTGCATGATACTGACCCATTGTATAAGGATCATGGGACCAACTCCATCCCTTGCATTCAATCAGCTGGTTACTATATCAACATTGTGCAGATCTGCCAGCTCCTTCAACACAAGCTGTACAAGTGTTGTGTCATCTGTGCCTGTCAATGCACCCAACCTAGTAGCATCCTTGTCCAGCAGTAGCTGGCAATAAGTGTAGTCATCGTCTGAGCCTGGACACTTCTAAATGAAGGATAAACAACAGTGCATGAAGCCCTGTCAGTATACATCCATCCTCCAATTATATTGAGAGGATATCTACTTAAATCCGTCCCAGTCGTCCACCACACAGTTCTGAACTGCATTCCAATCTTAATGGAGGGACCATGGTTCAATGTTTGCAGAGCATTCAACTGCATGGGAGAGAGACCAGCTTGGCTGAGGTTAATGGTGCAGAGAACATGTAAGGGCTGATATGCGAGAATTCGTGATAATTCTCATCACCTGTAACAATGTCCATGCCAGAGTTGTCATCCTTAGTTCCAACAGTTGTCACTCTGGAGCTGAATGTGATGGTGTCTTCACTATTCTTGTGAATATATTGCTCCATGCAAGTGGCAATCTCATTGGTGCTGCCACTGCAAAATATCAGAAAAGCGCTAGGCCCATCAGTCATCTTGGCTTGAGATACATGAGACTGCATACATACTCAATGTAAAACTATTGTGTGGGAAGCAGGTCAGGTCTGGGATGCCAACCAAAAGCACACTAAGACAGTCTTGGATAGAGCGCGATCATACCACCTGGTGGACTTATCAAAGTCTGCTCAGAACGCTTAGTGAAATGGCCATAGCTGGGGTACATCTTCTCAAGTTTCCTCTCCCCTCAGGCTAGCTCATCAAAAAGAAAGAAAAATTGCTTTATTTGTATCACATGCCTGGTGCTGTAAGTGAGTATATTGGAATGTCCTACCTCCATTTAGTGTCAGATGAAATGGAGAGGTGCCCCCATGCTGCCCAGTCAAGGGGTGGGCAAGACAGTTAGCAAGATGCTGGTGTGAATGGACACTATCAGATAACAGTGATTACTTATTTGATACACTGTTGTCAAAGGCACTGATGTGATGAACCCTCCTAATATTCTGAGTCAGGGAAGGTGAGTCACCCTAGATCTAAGTGGTGTGCTATTGAGTGCACACCTTAGACTAGTACTATGGCAGTCCTGCAGATGCACCATGTGCACAAAAGTCTGGTGAATAGGCACACACCTGATGGCACGCCACCCTAGGGTGGCCCACCCTCCCACCTCAGGCAGTACTTCTTGGTGCCAATAGAGGGTCTTTTAGACCCAGTTTCTATGTTATGGGAAACTAGGCTGAAAGATCCTTCATCTGGGAGGATTCTCCATTTGTAAATATAGCTACAATCTAAAAATATCAGTTTGCCTCATTGCCCTCCTGCCCTGCACCACTCCTGCACAGCACGCTCCTCCTGTGCATCCTGTCAACAATTGAATACCTCAGGTTGCTCAGTGCCTCATCATCTATTGAGAGGATCCTGTACTTGTAAATATAACTATAATCTAAAAATATCTGTCTACCTGGTTGCCCTCCTGCTCTGCACTGCTCCTGTGCAGCATGCTCCTCCTGTGCATTCTGTCAATGATTGAATACCTCAGGCTGCTCAGTGCCTCATGCTATTCACTATACCTTACATTTTGCCACAGAGCATTTGATGCCACCTTGATAACAATGGTCCCTTGCCACTTAGCCATTTTTCTCAACTCTCCTGCTTCAGCCTCCAAGACACTATGGCCCCACGCATGGGTACCTGCACTGCTCAACCAGGCATGTCGTCTGGGCTGGGTACCCACTTTTCCAGCCCACGGAAACTCAGAGACAAGTGAAAAACCCAGGTACTTGTTGAAGTGCCAGGTCAGAAGGCTAAACAGCGCCAGTTGCTTGCAAAGATGGCCAGTTTACTCGCAGGTTCGGCAAAGCCTGAAGAAACTGCACCTGTCCTTGCAGAAACAGAAGTGGACACTGCGGTCCTTGAGGAAGATGCTAACAAGGCTTGGGAAGATATCCTTGAGCCTCACAACAATTGCTCTCCTCAACCTGCCTCACAATCCACACTGCGTCATCATGCCCAGCCTGATCTCACATCTACTTGCTTGTATGACAGCTGGAAAACACTTATTCCTACTCTGGTCGAGGCCCAACTAGACTACACTGTGAGGACACTAGGAGCACCTCTTGAATGAACACCCAAAGTTTTGTCTTTGTGCAGCTCACACACATGTGCACAAAAATGCACACCTCTTACCTGTCTCTTTTTTGACTGTAAGTATTCGGTCACATACATGGAGTCTTGGACTTGAACAGCTAATTTCTTTTAGATTTTATCTCCATTGATACAATGAGCTGTAGATGTGCTAACTTAGTGCAAACACTTGTTTTTTATGGCTTATTCCCTACTGCTCCCTCCCAGCCCCAAATGGCCATATCAGTTGAGCTGCTTGCCTTCTATCACTCTCTTTTTGAGCGTTCCTGTGACACTGTCAATGCACTTGCATCAACACTTAATACCCACTACATCCAATGAGGATATCAGATAACAAACACAAAGGTATGTGTCAGTTGACTTCATATACTTGTTCGGCTACTCACATGAACCAGGGTGAAATTATTCAAGAACCTTTCTGGCAGAGTCTAGGTCAAGCCATTCAATGGTTCAATGTCCTGCAGATAGAGGTTGAACGCCAGTTAGAACTAGTGATACAAACTTGTCATGATCGAACTTTGTTCACCTTCAGGGTGCTTGATGATTTTCTATTGGACAACCTCAAATGTGACACCTCAGCGATGAACTATTACAGCAAGCTCTGGCAATTGACCTCAAGCATGTTTCCACATCTTGTTCCAGTAATGCCAAATCTCCAACATCTAAAGGACATTATATTGACACAGCACGCAGCAAGGACCAATACAGAGAGATCATGAGAGTCACTCGACAGTGGAGGCAGTTGAAGGCCATGAAATGGCATGGATTTGGCAATCGTTCTGACAACCTGAATGCAGGAGATCTTGCATTGTTTTGCCCCACATGTCCTCAGCCTGGGATTAATGTATCCTTTTCAGGGGATGAATCACTTGATGAGTGAGTCTAGTTCGATACTGAAGTCACCTCAGCTATAATAACGACTCCAAGCTGGAAATACACCTGGTCATTTGTTATGGATGGAAATTTCAAAGCCAAACACCTGCATCCCATCAAGCCATTTGAGGAAGTGTGGCTTTCCAATGGGTTGGGATTCATGGTGGGAAAGGACAGGTATAAAACCCATCTTGCAGAGGCTGCTGACATATTGGAAAAATTGAGCTGCAACAATCACTGGGCAGTGAATCAAGCAAATGTGGCTCAGCACAAGCTGGAGTCCACGGGAATCAGGAGAGTTGCCTGTGCCCAACATGGTTGCTTTGTCCCTCACTTGATGGTAGATTTTCAGAAAGGCAAAAGGCAAGCCAACCATGCCATTCTACATTAACAAGTTAACGGTGCATCATTTGCAGACAAATGAACATGGATTATGCCCTTTGTGAGGCTGCCCAGCATAACATGGAAGGCATAACCAGGGCTGTCACCTTCTATGACATCAACTGTTAATACAACAAGCACTTTTGGGTTCAGGTGGATTGAAGCTGATTTCTTGAAATGGTTCTGGAATTGACCATCATTCCTGGAATTGGGTTGTGGCATGTCCACGGACATCAGGACAGCTGCTATGTCTGATATGCATTGAATTTTATTGAAGGCATTGGTTGGATCAATGGTGAGATCATGGAGACCCTATGGTTGTGTCTCAACCTGATTTCCCTTGCTGCTCAGGGAATGTCTTGATTATCAGATGAATGATTCCAATTTCTGCAAGATGATCTGCATGAAAAGGACTCTTTGCCATAAATACAAGCAGGCAAAGAATGGCATCACTGAAAGTGAAAAGGCTTTCGACAGACTTGATGAAGCAGCACCCACAGCTTCAAAGAAAGAATGGTTAGCCAGCAAGAGGATCACTCAGTCCAGCAGAATAAATGATCCTGCAGTGATGGATGTATATGAGATTAATATCAAGAAGGGTAAGTTGACTTTGGCTACATCAAAGTCAGAATTAATTGTTGCACTCAGCACTGAGCAAAAAGGAGATTGAGCTTAGACTGCTGGAGGAGGGTAATGCCCATAATGCAGCACCTGCTCACAGATCAGTGGCAACATGGATATCAATGGGGTTGGCAATTGAAGAGGCTCAAATTGCATTGGTCATTGAGCTCCGAAGAATTGGAAGAACTACAGAGACACAGAGATTAGACATTGACCAGCAACGCGATTGTCTCCAAGGCCAGATAGATGGATTCACTTGGTCAGCTCTTACACATCTGGGAGAGGGATTTGATGCAGACGATGATCCTGATGACTTGAACATAGACATTCTCGATGATCTTGATGATGACCCGGCAGATTTCACCAACACATCTGATACATGGGCAAACTCCCCTGAGCTCACTGTCATCCCATTGCCATCAAACCTTGGGGTAGATCAAAGCAGATGCTGTATGGCAGAGGATCTGATTCTGCTGGAGATGTCACTTCATGAAGGGCAGGCCAATGATGCCCTTCACAACCTCCGGATTCACTTGTGCAACAAGGTGATCCTGTTCCAAACAATGGTCAGGCAGGCCAAACCTCAAGCCCTGAAAACTCAAGCTTGGTCCCAGGTGACATCGGTGCAGCAGGCAGTGTCCCTCCATGCCAGTATATATACAAAGACCTGGAAGCAAATGATGCAACTTGAGCCGGGGCAAGACCAGCTTCAGACATACAAACCACTGTTTCAGGAGCAGCTCAAAATCAGCACTGCTGTTGGCAATCCAAATGCCCAAGGTCAGCAGAATGAGTCCCTCGCTTGGTTCTGGTCTGTCAATGTGGACCTGGGGGGTCCAGATCACTTGTGGAATGAGGAATGTGAGTTTGGGCATGCTTGGTGTATCCCATGCTCAGCTGATGGGACCCATCTGAAGTTTACTGAGTTCATTGGCTTTGGGCAAAGGCCCTATGGGATTGATGGAAGGAAGAAATGACATTGGTCCAATTGGAGATGGATTGGACATGCAACTTTTTCTTGTGGAAAGCAACCCAATGGGGCGACAGGATGCAGGAATCATTGGTGAAACACCTTCCGGGTCATTCATGCTACTCAGGAAGGCAATCCCAAACATATTCATTACTGGCATAGGATGCCCAGGCAGCATTTCAAGACCTGCAGAGCGGGTTCATAGACACTTGAGATGAATGAACTTTTTAGCCAATGATATGAAACAGCTACTTTGACCCAAACATTTTAGTCTCAGGAAATGCCTGGATGAACAAACATTGGAGTTTGAAAAATTTTATCCATCCACCAGTGGCTCATATCTTCACATCTGAACCAACTGGCATTGTGATTGTGATTTCCAGCTTCATACTCCTGCATTAGCCATGCCTGTATTGCAAACTCCTCCTGCATCCCCTTCTGATGCTGTGGATTCCAGCAATGAATACCGATCCCTCACACTCGGTCTTGCAGATATTGCAGCCACAATGTCAATGGCTGCATCGCGCATCCGAGCAGTGATCTCCCAATATCAGACGGAGGCTGCCAACACCAAGGAGCCTTCCACTGCTTGGATCATGCACTTTAAAGCTGGACTGCAATGGGAGATCGCTGTAAGAGACTGATGACTGTGGTGGTCAATGCTAAGATTTCCAACAGACTTTTGTGACACCCATCCTGCAGTACTCTGCTGCAAGGCACGTCATCTCAGTCATTCCAAACCCTGTCACCCATATTCTTCAGTTGTTTCCCCAGCTCACCTGGAACATGGTTCCAGACCACATCTTTTCATCCCACTTATGTCTCTTTCATGATGTTGCAGATCTGGGAGATCCCTCCAGGATTATATCTGGCTATGATACTGCATGGTGGATCAGACACACTGCAATCCCAGACAAATTATGGCAATGGGACTGGGTAATGGGTTGCTGTATCTTTCACTACCAGCATTGGCTAGTAAGAACTATGAACAATTTCCTTGAGTGATGATTAATCTCTTCTAGGGTGGCATTGAGGATGATGGTCTGATTCTTCCTGAGCAGGTGGATAACACCTCAGTTCCATCACTGATGGGACTGAGGTGGCTTAGAGAACGCCTCTGGACATTGGTTGAGGAGCAAGAAGAGGGCATCAGTGAAAAGATGGCAGAGATTGAAGTGTACACTGGCATCCTAACCAGATTGAAGAGAGGCAGAGGAGAGTAGTGCTAGTCCTCGAGTTCAGAATGTTGATGTCCAAACTCCATGAAAATGACATACTGTCTTCCAAATATCTAACCTAACATTATGTGCCAAGTCCTGAATACTGAATATTGAGTATTGAGTACAGACAATCATATATCGCATTGTGAATGTGGACTCCCAAATATTGAGACCTGAATGGTGAATATTGAGACCCGACTATTGAATATTGAGTCCCCAATACTGATGAAGGTTCAACAGCTCTGCTGGGCTTGCAGAGCAGAAGAAAGAAAGAATGGCTCTACCTCTGGGGTGAGAGGAAGGCCTACTGACTCTCTAAGTGTTGGTCGAAGTGCACCAAGCGATGCGTTTGACCCTTAGGGGAAGCAAGGAAAGCAAGATCCACTGGGTGACACCTGGTCAACTCTGGTGAAGTGTGCTGAAGGTGCATGTGCAGGAATGTCGAGCGCATAAGAGCGTGAAGTGTGGGAATATGGCGCATGCAGTGCGCAAATATATAAAGACTGAAGGATGGCATGAAGATGTGAAGTGGGACTGCTGAATGGTGACTGGTGATAATAGACTGTGGTGAAGACTAGGGTGACAACTCTGATAGATGCTGGCTCATGATGATAGATTCTAACTCTAGGTGACTACTAGATGCTAAGTGACATGATGGTGGTTGGTGTCTTCCATGGTGCTGGTAGGTATATGAAAACTTCCTAGGCAACAGGTAAGCTGTGCCTAGGCATGCTCCCAGGGCTTGGAAGTGAATAGGGAGTGCTCTATGTATGTAAAATGATGTAAATAAAGGGTCCATGACGAAATAAGATATCATACGATGCTAAATATGGTCTGATAGTGAGAATAAATGAGGAAGGACTCACTAGGGAACTGGTTGGACAATGGATGGATGCTCTGGGATGCTGTGCAACAAAGGGCGATTGAGCACACTAAGCATGTGTGCAGGAATGTGTCGCATAATGCGGGAAAGTGTTGCGCCTCTGGCATGTTTCGCAGGAAAGTCATAGATGGTGAGTCGTACACTATACCAATTGTTGTGAGTTGTAATATGGGTGATATACACCTAGAGGAATCTTGTTCCCTACACCGAGTCCCAAATATTGAGTACAGAGTTCACAATACCAAGTCCCAAACATGGACTACCAAATCTTGAGACCTGACCATCAAATATCAAGTTCCAAATACCAAGTCCCTAATATCATGATAGTGGACATTTGGAACTCAATATTTGGAATTTGACATTCCATAGTCAGGTCTCAAATATCAACACCTGAATACTGAATACCGAATACTGAATACCAAGTCCCTAATATCAACACCCGAATACCAAATACCTAGTCCCTAATATCAAATACTGAGTCCCTCAAATCGACCCCCAAATACCAAATACCAAATACCAAATACCAAGTCCCTAATATCAACACCCAAATACCGAATGCTGAATACCAAGTCCCTCATATCGACCCCCAAATACCGAAGACTGAGTCCCTAATTTCGCAATAGTGGACATTCGGAACTCAATATTAGGAATTCAACATTCTATAGTCAGGTCTCACATATTGACCCCTGAATACCAAATACCGAGTCCCTAATATTAACACCCAAATACCAAATACCAAGTCCTGAATACCAAGTCCCTCATATTGACCCCTGAATACTGAATACTGAGTCCTGACTAGTGAGTATCGACTATTGAAACCCAACTTGATATTTGGGTGTCAATATTAGGGACTCAGTATTCGGTATTCAGTATTCGGTATTTGGGGGTCAATTTGAGGGACTTGATATTTGATATTAGGGACTTGGTATTTGGTATTTGGTATTTGGTATTTGGTATTTGGTATTTGGGTGTTGATATTTGAGACCTGACTATGGAATGTCGAATTCTGAATATCAAGTTCCGAATGTCCACTATCAAGTATCAAGTATTGAATATTGACCATTGAGTCTTGAGTTCTGGATATCAAGGCCTGAATATTCCAGATCCTGATATCTAATATCTGGTATTTGACAGTACATGCTAACATGGGTAACTACACTTTCCACTTGTTTCATCTTTCACTGTTTGTAATCCACCCTAGCCCATCCACACGACAGAACCCTGGCATAAACATGAATGGAATCCCTCATATACCATGCCCAAGCAATCTGATCCCCTTCCACTGCATGAACCCCATGTCTCATGATCCTTCCGGGAAACGCAATCATGCAACCCGGATCATACCTGAACTCCAGCTGAAGGCTTGGCATGCTCATCCGAGCATTAGAATAATTCCCCATGGTAGTGAGAATGTTGAAGCATTCAGGAATAGATAAATGGTCTCACTGATTGGGGGTTTCCTGATTGGAAATGACAGACAGGCTGTTAAACATGGATGCCTAGTACTGGAGAGTCTCTGACATCTTCAGCAGTTCCTTGCTTTCTGCCTTTTCTCTGAGGCTTGAAAAGGCTCACAAACCTGCCCAGTACTGCTCAGGATGCATCACCCTGAGTGCCGCTGTTGCAATGGCTGCTGGCCTCACAATCACTTTGAGGGTCTTCTCAGAGGATGCTGCCTTCAATGATGCAGATACCTCTGGATCTGACTGATTCTAGGGGATTTGTGAGTTTGACTACCAAAATCGCCATCACATCAGATCCTACCTCATGCCCCTGTTGAAACCATGCTGGAGACAAATTGATGCATCTGGGAGTTGGGACATCATTTTCTGAGCTTGGTTTGAACCACTCTTGATTAGTTCGCCAATTGCCATCAAGCTTGACACTTTTTTCGAGGATTGGAGCAAGCAAATCAGAGGCTGCCCAAATTTCCTTCTGTGGGCACCATTTGATGTTCAATATCCATTGAGTAACAATATATATTACACACCTGGGTGGCATCAGTCAGGGTGTCCAGGATGTACCATGCAATGATGGCACCAGATGCATCAAGAATTGTGGCAGGTATCTCCACCAACTTTGTGCCCTCATGGCCAGGAGGACACCTCTCAAGCAACTTCTCCTCTCTCTCTTCATTATGCCCAGTGTCCTTCGGGGAGATCACTTTGCTGTATCTTGCAACATCAATCTGCATCTGAACTGTGATGAAGCAATTTGACTGATAAAACAAATTTTCTGAATCTGCAGGAAGACCCACTGGGATTTTTATATGCCTTTATGAGGTGATCAACCAATTGATCGCAAGCCATCACCAGATCAGTGTCTAGGTTCGGAGAAGGTATAACTGGGTCTCCTCCTGTCTTCTCTGCATTGAATTTCCGTTCGGTATATTCACATGCCTTGTGAGTGACAGTCAGGGCCCAAGTGTGCCAGAGGGTTATTTCAATATCAGAAGTGGAAGAAACAGTCATGATGGAATTGATCTTGGGAAATTGGATGCCGAACCCTGCATGTCCACACTTTGGAGTTAAAGGGGGTGGAGATAGCGAGGATCAGATAAGGGAGCCTCGCATGATGTTATTTTCCAAAGATGTGTTATTGTCCATTGCTCAATGAAATACCAGATGATTGGAAGTGTGCTGGATATCAGATATTTGTTTGTTGAGACCTGGGCCTCAGATCTCAGTACCCTTCACTCAATGTTCAGTAGTCAGAACTTGGCTTCTCATAGGGCAATGCATGCTGTGTGCATTAGCTACTCGGTAGTTGGTGCTGCATGTTCATGTCTCTACTGGGTGCTCGATTTTCTGGCACTTGTGACCTTCATCATTAGATGACTTTGAATTATTACCTCCTTTGATTTGGATGATATACAACTACCTACAAAACTCATACATTTTTACAACTTTCAAGTTTCGGGTTTCAATGTTCAGGGTTTGATGTTTGGGCTTTGGGACTCAGTACTTGGTGATTCAAGTTTTGAAATTTGTTTCGATGTTTGAGTTTTGAGTTTCAGGTTTTGGGTGTCAGATTTATGTTCATGTGTGATAACAACTACCTAGCCCCACCCGTTGATATAATATATATCACTACCTCAGCCTATATGTCCATACATCCATATAGTATACAAATACCTTGGCCCTGACATCTATGGACCGTCTTCCGAGGTATCACTGGATTCTGAGTTGATGGGGTGCTTGGCTGTGTTGACTTTGATTGACATTGACAGGATCTGAGTCTGAATGTCATTCATGACTTGGATCAAAACTAGTGCTACAGCATTGCTCATCTGTCCATATAGTATACCAATACCTCAGCCCATACATCTAAATGATATGTATCTGGGCCCACCCATCTATATGACATCCCCCTATGTTGGCCCACCCATCTATGTAATATACCCCTATGTTGGCCCACCCATCTATATAATACATATTTCACCACCCCATCGGCCTACCCATCTATCTCATATACCCCCACCTTGGCCCACCCATCTATCTAATATACCCCCATCTCAGCCTACCCATATATATAATAAGTATTTCACCGCCCCATCAGCCCACCCATCTACAAAATAATACTAATATGTCAGCCCACCTGTCTATATAATAATATCTGTCATACATCTCTCTTCAGCCCAGCTGTCTATCATATATGTCTATCCTACTCTACATATTGCCCAGATGGGCCCACCCATCTCCATTGGTAATAATATTTCTCCTGGCCCATCCGCCATCGTCGAGGATATTTATAACATAGGCATAGATGGGCCCACCTGTCCCCATTGGAAATAATATCCCTCCCAGCCCATCTGTCATAGTTGGGGATATTTTTACCTTCGGCCCATGGTCCACTAGCCCATATTATATGGAATATTATGCATGTCCATTCACTCATATAATATGGAGATAGGTCACTGCAATATGCCTTCCTCAGTGAATCTTAATGAGGCACAAGAAACTGCTCTATATGAATCTGTATATACAGATGTCCTTACTTTAGGTTTGTCATTGCTTGCAGTCTACTCTGATATCTGCTGTGTGCTCACCTTTCAAATCAATCATTCTTAGTGTCTCTTAACTATCCACAGCTTGTGGGTTTGCATGATTTGGTACTGAGTGCATTGTGACTGACTTACACCAATGCCTAGTGAACATGCTTAGTTTTTCCCTACTTCAAGGGTTATTGCGGCACCCCACCACTGCCCCCTGTAACATTCCTAAAGCCACTTACTACAGGGCCTGCATTCTTGTGCTTACTGGCAAGGATATTGAGAAGAATATTCAGTACTCCATTGAACCAACCCAAAACAAATTTAATGCACCCAGGGAGGTCTCTGTCATCAGAGATTATGATAGCTTCATCTCCTTCACTGACTGGCTGCCTGTCAAGTCTGATCTTTTTCTCTACCCACTCAACAACCCTGTTGACACTCTGCACTCCAGTGTTCACATCAAGGTTCCCATGAGTACCCACAGGGGACAGGTGCATTCATGTGTCTTTGCCTGTCATATCATACTCATCAGACCCCATCAGGCAGACAGGCCTATGGGCCCTCATTGTGTGCCCAACATCTGTTTGGGTGCAGTTGGCATTCACACAAAAGTGCGATTGTTCTTTCCTTGGTTGTATAACCCTGATAGGAAGGATGTTGAGCTCACATTTGAAGAGAAGAAGGGCTTGTATGAAAAGGGTTTGATTCCTGTCCTACATGAGCTCAGTCCTGACACCATCACCAACTGGGCTGTCAACTATGAGGGTGTCCTCACACATGCCAGAAAGACTTGTGGAATGTATCAGTACGGCACTCGCCCATTCCCTGGCAATTGTGTCAGGCACTTCAGCCATGATCTAGCCCAAGTGTTGGGTAGTGAACTCCCTTGGGCAACAGGGATGTTATTGATGGTCCAGGTGCAGGGTGTCAAAGAGGCCAACCAACATTGTCCTGGGGATATTGATCAGGCTGAGGATGCCTTAATGATGACCCTCAGTGATTTTCATTATAATAATCTCATGGATGAAAAACATTGTTATGTTATGTTGGCCTCGAGATGTCTGAGCTTGGATATGCTTATCAGTGGTGCACAGATGCCCATTGTGAACTCCTCTTGACTTTTACAGACATGACTCATGTGCAAACAAGCATGTTAATGGAATCCCATGATTTCCAAATTGATTATGCATCAGGGTTGATGCACCTGTCTGGTTGTTGTGCACCAGTGCCTGTATGCAATGATGAGGACCTGGTCTATTTCCAGGCATATACCACAGATAAAGCCCTCATCCAACAAAAAGATGGAGGAAGACATAGTCTTGCCCTGACTGGCAAAGCTGCATTAGCTGAAACAGTACTGCCATATCTGCAAAGCCTGTATCAACTGTACTTTGATGCCAAGGATCACCATGACTGTGCTGCCAGGGTAGAGGTGTGTCTTTGCCTGAAAGACACATTCACTCAGGCCATTGATGTTCCTGAGTGGTTGATGCTAGAGTCTCTATGTGTGTTTACAAGATTGGATTAGTGGTAAGTGTTCCTCTCCTGCTATAGTCCCCTGAAGGAGGTGTTCCATGCAATACCCATATTGTGATACAACTGCAGCCCCCTTGGGAGCTGTGTCCTACCATCCAGTGACATGCCATGCTGGCAGATGTCACAGGTCATTCACACCACATTCTCCCTGCTAGTCTTTACTCATCCCATGCTTATACTGACCTCCATCTTCCTCACAAACAGGCAATGGAGATGTGTGCACCTCCAAGGAATTATTCGCACATTGTATCTCCAAAATTCAGGACCCCCTGAGCTTCGCTTCACAGCTATGGCCCTTACCCTTACAGCTGGACTTTGATGGCTGGCCAATGGTCTTCACTCTCGTCCTGATGATGGTTTTGCCACAAGAGACTTGATGTGCTCCATTCTACCCCTCACACATGATTATGATGTAGATGGGCTGCAAATTGTCCCCTGCCAACACCATATTGACAATGACAACAGCCTACCCTTCTGTCCTTATGGGGCCTACTTCTTCAGGGAGATGGTTTTCCCTCCCATTGCAGATGTCTGTTAAGAACCATGTTGCTCAAGGGGGAGAGAGACTGACTCAGAGGGGCTTGGCCTCAGCTCGTACGCTGTGCCCCTTACCCGAGTATGTGCCCTTCATTTCATATGAGGTCCAATGATGGTCTGACAAAGTCCGGAGGACTTCTGGAGGCTGGCTACTCTGCTGGAGAGCGCTAGAGGACTTCTGGAGGAGTGCAGGAAACATCCGGAGGAGTGCGGGAGAGTTCCGGAGGAACACAGGAAGTGCTCAGGAGAGTTTCCACTGCAGGGTAATACTTCTACAGGAAACAGGATGGAAGGATAGGAGGTCCAAAGGTCCAGAGGACAGGATGTCCGAAGGTCCGGAAGGAATAGGGGCTACATTGGACTTTGTCCAATGTAGAAACAAACAGAGGTAGACTACCCTAAGGTAGAGTGGGAGAAACAGGGATTGGACCTAAGTCCGGAAAGAGGGTAAGTGCTGGATAGGCGGAGCTCCGGCCTAGGGAATCAATCCCTAGGCCTGATGGGTAGGACAGACTTAGGTGGACCAAAGTCCGAGAGAGGATTGGGCAAGTCTAAGTTGATATTCAAACTGAGGACTCTACTGTAGTTGTACAGGGGTTATATACTAGAGGCTATCTGAGAGGATCAGTAAGCAAAGGAGTAAGGCTATGTACGAGCATGCGGAAACACATTGGTAAGTAAGATGGAACATAAGTAAATGAACTTGGAGATGAAACTAGTACAAGGATCAATCAGCAAGACAGAAACAGAGATAACCGAGAACTGGAAAGGCAGAGATGCCTAAATGGGGATAGGCGCAGGATCTCGGATAGAGGGTGGGAATAGGTCCAGAGATAGTACAGTTAATATCCGGAGGTCCAGAGATCTGGGGATCTGGAAAGCAGGGTGGAAACAGGACTGAGATATGTGAGGTGGTGGATGTAGTCCAGAATCCAAGAGGAGGTAAAGTCTGGATGTCTTGCTGGACGGAATGTGCATAGGGTGGACAGGATAGGGGATCCAGGAATGAGTCGGATATGGGGTCTGGAAATAGGTCCAGAAAGCGTGGGAATATGATAGGATCTATGTCTGGCATATGGGATATGACAATGTCCCTCACATGACCCGCAGTCATGTCATCAGTAACACCTCCTACAAGTACTTCTTTGGTTGCGAATTTAGTGACCTCCACAACAGGCATCACCCCACAGCCTACATACAGTGGCTCAAAAAAGTATCCAAATGTTTATGCATTTTCAAGTAATTTGATAATAGCGGGCCAGAACCTGAGTACATTATGAAGGCATAGGGACATGTCTAAAGGCTCAAAATCATAGCTATAATCTGAGATATATATTGTGGGAATCAGAGCATATATAGGCAAGATATAGTAATTCTAATCACATGACTCATTTGGACACTTTTTTGACTTTATATCCAAATCACAAAATCAGACCATTCACATATAGTACTCTTAATAGAAGTGGTGCAATAATGAATACTTGGTCTGATTTCAATATTATTTACATATATAAACCCACATGACATCATGAACTTTAACATAATCATCATAAAGCCCATCTCCTCTGCTCAACAGGATAATATTCTTATTCTCTGCTTTAGTTTATCTGTGAGGCAAATTGTTTCAAAAACTGGTCCTAGCAAGTCTACTATTGCTATAGTCATAAACCAGAACATGCTAGAGAAGAAAAATCATAAAATGGGATGTTCTTCCAAGTTGACTCTACAGCATAAAGAGCTATTGTTCATTAAAGTCTATCTGGCAAGGCTTCAAATGCTGTCCATGCCACCAAGTTCATCAATTCCATTATCCCCACTCCCATCTCCACTCAAACAGTCAGAAACACCCTTAAGGCAGCCAATCTTATGGCTGCAACCAAGAAGAAAACACCTTTTCTTTCAGCATCCTATAGGGGCCTTTGCTTTAAAGCACTGACATTGGACTGTGAGGGACTGGAAGAAGGTAGTTTGGTCAGATAAGATAAAAGTCAATAGAATGGGGTCAGATGGCCAAGAATATATGTCAAAAAAGGCAGGGGAACCATTAGGGGAAAGAGAAGTCAAGAATGTACTAAAGTTTGGAAGATGAAGTATGATGGTAGAGGTTGTAGGAGATGGAATGGTGTGGGGATTCTTTGTGAGGTAGAAGGAGGGATGAATGTAGAGCAGTCAATTTCCATTCTAGAGGAGTGTCTACTCAGAAGCATGCAGAAGTCAGAAATTGATGAAGAAGACATTATCTTCCAACTGGAAAATGACTCCAAGTGTACCTTACAGCTAGCTACAAAATGGCTCAAAGCCCATGATATCAGTGTTCTATCATGGGCAGCATAACTATAGCAATAGTAGACTTGCTAGGACCAGTTTTGGAAGCACTTTGCCTCATAGATAAACTAGAGGAGCAGAGAATAAGGATGTTATCCTTTTGAGCAGAGGAGATGAGCTTTATGATGATTATGTTAGAGTTCATGATGTTATGTGGGTTTATATATGTAAATAATATTGAAATCAGACCAAATATTCATTATTGCACCACTTCTATTAAGAGTACTATATGTGAATGGTCTGATTTTGTGATTTGGATATAAAGTCAAAAAAGTGTCCAAATGAGTCATGTGATTAGAATTACTATATCTTGCCTATATATGCTCTGATTCCCACAATATATATCTCAGATTATAGCTATGATTTTGAGCCTTTAGACATGTCCCTATGCCTTTATATTGTACTCAGGTGCTGGCTTGCTATTATCCAATTACTTGAAAATGCATAAACATTTGGACACTTTTTTGAGCCACTGTACCTCATAACATGCTTTCCAAATCCCATGTTGGGACTCAAAAGGGGATGTCCAAGCATCACAGGGTTGATATCCCTGAGCCATCCACTGTGTTTGCAGACCTGGACTTCAATGTTCCTCCTCCCATGCAAGATAATGGCAAAGATTTACCATTCAATGAAAGACTCGACTTGCCTCCTGGTCTTGATGAGGGCTTCCCTATCACTATCTCCAAACATTGGAACCAATTTTGTAGGGATAGTCTTCAAAAATGTGGGAATATGAAGGGTAACCCACTTGCCCCTTCCCATTGTAGGCCCACCATGGATGAACATCTCCACATCACAGATGATGTGTACAGAGACACCAACCTCACTGTGATCTTTAACTGTGTCCAGTGGAAGAGAGCACATCATATGGAATGGTAGGAGGCATTCAACTTGTTCTTTCCCCCTTCTGGTACACCACACCTGCAACCTCAGAATTATCCTAACATGACTTACTGGATGGAGTGGGCAGATATGAAATGCAACACACTGACTGTTATTGATGCCATCAGAGTAAGGTACTGGTCTCTTTTCAAGATGTTGTACAGGGTTCCAAAGCCATACAGTGACTGACTCTGGAAATATACCATAGACAATAACTTTATCACATTCCCATCCACATATGCATCCTCTGCACCACACATCATTATCAATCCTGGCAGATTGGCACCAACTTGGGACCTTGAACATGTGCCTGGAGGAGGCCTTCAGGAGGCAGAAGAGGAAGAAGAAGTAATTGATCCCAACTACATACCAGCCTCAGAGTGGGTCTCCAACATCCCACCCATCCCCATGCACATCTACATAAGGCAGGAGGAGGAGGAGTCTGAATCAGATTAATGATCTCATCTCTGAGGGTGACATGATTCCTTCTTTGTCACAACAAGGGGTGAAATGTGCCAATTGTGGCACAAGTTAGTGATACAGGTATCTTGTAATATGTTGGTGAGGCTGTCTGCTGTAATAAATGTGAGCAAGCATAGATAAAGTGTGAAAAAATATGAGGTTATACCAGAAGAGGACGATGAACTCATATTTGCAGGATGCAATCACAAGACTCCTTTGTTACCCTTGTTGACTGTCCAAGGGTTGTGAAAGGTTGTGAGGAGTGAGACAAAAGTTCAAGTCAGAAACTGAAAGAGAGCCTCAGCAGAACTAACATCCTGTTGAAGACTCAATTCTCGTGACACTGACTCTGGGGGTATTTTCCAGATTACAAGACATTAGTGAGGAGAACTCCAGACTGGCTACATGTGTGAGTGTCAAACAGATGAAGCAAAGCATATTCTCACCTGACAACATACTCTCACCGAAATTCTTGTTTCAAACCCTGGATGACTGCAATCTTGCATTTTTCCTGGGAGAGTGAATGCAATGTGCCTCAACAGGATTTCATTGGACCATGTGCCATTATTACCTCAGTGCCAATGCTCGTAACATATGTTATGCTGGTGGTGCACCAGTGAACTATGATTAAATGTAAATGAATCAACCAATGGTCAATGCTGCAATAGCACAAAATCAACTGGAACATGGAGTTATCATGCAGTAAGATCAATACCACATGAAATCAAAGACTACATCGAAACTATAGTATGTAAGACTATCATTGATGTGATGAGTTGATAGAAAAAGAAAGTATAGAAAATAAGGTTTCAAGTCTTAAGTAGTGCATGGGAGAATTACAACTCCACAGGAGATACCCAAAGCCATGAGTGGCAAGTTCTGTTGGAGCTTTGACTGACTCGAATTCACTACTTAGGCGGTGAATTCCAAGTCTTTCTACTCTCTTTTCCCCTCCATGCGAGCTTTTCATCTTTTTGGTTATTTATGGACTTGTAGCATTTTGGTAATTTTGTCATAGTACTGTATTACCTGTATTACATAAGATTATCGCTCAAGCCTCACATTTGCACACTGAATGAGTTGTCTAGTTTGCCTCCTTATTCCACAGAGCACCATTGTCCACAGTTGAGTCCATGTCATTGTGTTATGGTGTTTGCATTAATCACTGTGAGAAAATGACCACAAAATGGGATTCACTACAAATAGGCTCAATGGTCAAGTGCAAGGACTTTTCTTTCTGATTTCTCTCTCAACTAGTTACTAGTTAGTTCAGACACTCATAGTGTTTGATAGTATTAGAAATGACCTAGGCAAAAAAGGCTAGGATATACCCACACAATTAATATAGAATTCAGAGTTACAGTAGTAGCAAGCTGACCCCACTCATCGGATCAATGTCCAAATGAGCAGTGACTCCTGCAATCACTCCAGAAGTGCACATCAAGCACACTAAATACATCGATGCAAGAAGGTACCTCAATACAGAGGCAGACATCAATCTGGAGGGTGGGGAAACCAAGGGTATAGAGGATGAAGATGGTAAGTTGTTGTATATTGTCTCCATTTCCAGTGGGGTCCTCATCTTCCTGTGCAGAAGACTGTTCCTTTATAAATGACCATGATCCTGAGGATGGTCACACTGTAGCAACATTATCGTACCCTCTGCAAGACAAAGCAGCATGGGACATCCTAGAGGAGTACCTCACCTCAGAGATGAACTTTCCTCAAATGGAAGCCAAACTTGTCTCACACCTGGGCTCTCAATATCATGAAGAGGACTGGACAGAAGCAATGTGTGCATTATTCTCAGCCAATGAAGACAATGTCCAGGCTTTGGCAAATCTTTGCACCATCAAAGCTCAGCATATCTTGCCAGGGAAAGTTGTGGCCCCCTCGAGGGGGTCAATCCATCAATCTGCATATGCTTGGTTCGACAAGGTAGCAGATATTGAGAGCAGATTTACCTCAAGCTCTGGGCCATCATGAGTCAATGCTTCATCACAACCAGTTCCTTCCTCCAGTGAGATTGCACGCCAGACTATCAAGCAGTTCATTCAAGATGAAATCAGCTCTAGCAATGCATACCACCTTCTGGAGGTGGAATTCACAGATAACCCAACATCATTGGCGTACTGGGAGTCAGTATTGGATGTGATCGTGGATGCTGTTACATGTGAGGCAAGACTCAAAATATTTGACACACGAGCATTCCATGTAGTTGAAAGTATTTCAAGTGCAGTGTCTGCAGCAGTCTCAGACCAATCTTCTAGAGGAATAGGAGTATTTGAAAAGCCAGTGTCAAGTGCACATGATGATGGGATGGCATCAGCACGTGACCTTCCAACCTGGCTTATCACCATGCCTTGTAAGTAAATATCTCCTATCAATTTGTTATATCTAACACTGTTTTTTAGTTTCAAAAACATCTTTTTTAGCCATGCAGTTGAGAAGCAAGGGTTTCAAGGTCTACATGCATTCAATACTCCTGGGCTGTCTGTGCATCAAGGCCAAAAATACCATCATCATAAGGAAGGCATGACCTTCCACTCACACAAACTGCTTTTTTGATGTTATTTTTGTTCCTCGGGAGGATTAGATCCATAGCAAATGCAACTTGACAATCCCTGGCTGGTATCAACCCATATGTGGTCAATATCAGCATGACATAGGATACACACATTCATATGATCCACAAACTGATACCATCATGCTGTTGGTCACATCCAGGGAGGTACCAGGGTGGGAAGTCAGGAAAGACTCCCATGTGCTGCACCTATATAATCCTCCCAACAACATCTTAAGCTCTGTGGGTCGCAACAAGACTTACCTCCATGGCCTTCTGGCACTCAAACTGCACAGAAATGCAGTTTTTGAGATTCCAATTCCTGCTCCAGAGAGCATTATGCTTCACCAGGAGTCAAGATGTAATCCTGCATTCATGCAATCTACATTGCATGCATATGCCGCACAACATTGGATGGAAGGTGATTTAGTAATAGTTATGGTGGGGGAGATGTTTGGCTGCACTGTGAAAATTCAGTGTGTTGACATGTGCACCCAGTCAGCATCAGCATACATGGAAGAATCTGTGCACATTAAGAAAATCTCACATGAACCAATTATGTTTGCCATCTCCAATCTTGAAAGGAAATTCTGTGTGGGGGGTGGTGTTCATGTGCTTGACAGCAGTTCAGTGACTTCACAACTCAAAGGAAAAACTGGAATGGTTGTTCAAGTCAACGAGACTATGGTTGATGTACTCCACCAGTCATCCGAATTTGAAGCAAGTGATTTATCAACTATTGTATTATCATCACTAATATTTATATCAGTTCACCATTGCAATTGATTTGTTGGGGACATTTGTTAGGGACATTAGCAGATGGGTTTTCATAAATGTATCACACAACCATGACACCCTGATGAAAGGTGATTGTGTTGTTGTAACCAAGGGCTTATATGCACACAAATTTGGGGTGATCTCCAAAGTCGAAATGAAGAGCCAGACACTTGCATTCTTTTCAGATTCATTACATCAACACATCTGGGTTCTGATAAGGATGACGGCCTTCAATCCCAACCCGACCACCCTTTGACATACTCACGAGTGCGGATACAATGTCATAGCTGGCGATATCATTCAAGTCATTAGAAGTGACCCACTCTGTGCATCGGGGATGGTACTGCATGTGAATCTGGATGACAAAACATTAACATTCAAAGACAGGAGATTAAAAGAGGTTAGTTCTCATTGATTTTATCAATCCAAGTTTGATAATAACGATCATAGTTCACCACCTCCATAATGCATGTTGCAAGAATTGGTGGGCAGGTGGATCATGATCCCATGTGGCACCTTCTTGGCAAGGAAGTATTCATTATTCAAGGCCCTATGAAATCCTTCCGAGGGACCTTGCATTTGCTCTCACAGGACACATGTGTGGTTGCAGTTCAAGGTTGAAAGCAAGAATTCTCATGAGCTCATGTTGTCACGTCAGAAAACACCTTGCTTACTTCAATTTATTTGCTACTCATGCATACATGCAGCTGGAAGGGTGTTCTGCTCACTGGTGTTTACTTGCCTCTGTGTCAGCTAAGGGAATTTCTCAGGTTAGCTCGAGGTTCCTTCATCCAGCCTCCACATATTATACCACCTCAAACTCCTCATCACTCTCCTCCTCCTGATATCTCACATGTTGATCAGACCATTTCTGCTGTAGAAGTATCAGTATGGGATGCCCCCATCAACTTGTTAGTGATAGATCAGTATCCATCATCTGCAGGCTTCCATAATGATCAATCTGATGCTTGGTCATTTAACAAGGCTGACAGGGAAGAATGCCAATTGCATCCTCCCAGTGCAAGTGTGTCCTCTTCTGGTATGCTTCATTTATTTCACATTGTGTGTGTAGTCACTCATCAATTGCAGCAGACAATCTCACTGCAATTTTACACAATCCCCTGATTGCTGAGTTGTGCTATAATTGGCACCTGAAAATGCATGTAGCAAACCCATCATCTGATTGGGGATCTTACCTTAACCAGATCGTTGACACTGTTGCCCTGGACCCATTTCTCCTCCAGGAAGGACCAGTGAAAGATAGTGAAATCTTCATCAGGTATTCCTCCAGAACAAAAAATAAGGGGATGAAGGAGGATCCAATTCCCATCAAATATCTTTTACCAGAACTACCAACAGGAAAAAACAAGAAGTTCACTGTGATACGAGGCGACCTCATGGGGAGCATTCATACAATGATGTCTGCCAGGAAGGACCAGGAAGATATAACCACAATGGAAGGGAAGAAATTTAATTGCGCTGATACATGTATGATTATCAACAAAAGTTAGACAATGCAATGTTCCCTATCAAGTAGCTAGCCTAATGATAAACTGTAGATAGTGGTTTTAGTGAAGTTCATTGGGCAAAATCATATGATAGTGGTGAGTATCAGGTGCTCTGTTCCAATCTTGAATGGTTCGAAAATGAGGTAATACTGAGGTCTGGACAGAGTGATGTGTGACCTGTTAGCATTCCAAAATAGATCACCTCTCTATGTCTCAGAAACCATGTTACATCTAAAACTTGAAAATGCTTGTTGTGACTCATGCGGACAGTTTTTTGAGCACATATCAAAACTATATAAATCATCATTTATGATACCATAACAATCATGCCACCATTAAATAAATTATAAAGTGGTGTCATTATGTCATTTTAAAACCATATCTAACTATACAAACCAAAAATTTCCATATGTCATGGTTATATTCACCATGAAAGCCACCCCCCCTGCTCAAAGGGATAATATCCTCTCTCTTTCCTATTCTGGCCTCTCTGCTTGTCAAATTTCCTCTAGAACTGGAGTATCCAAGTCCACTGTGGCCAATCAGTAGAGGTGAGCTTGGATGGACGCCCTTCACAGAAGTTTTCCTTGTCTGTGTGACTTTCTTTGATGAACTTGGCCACAGTGGACTAGATGAGACAGGAGACTCAGCAGAGATTACATGCTCACCCAGTGGTGAATCCAACACACCATGTAAAAACTCACAGCAATAAGAGAACCAAGTGCATTTGATGGCTGGGGTGTAAAATACTGTGTGATGGTGGATTCATAGGTTGCTGTCTATAGTCATATCCTGCAGAATGACAGGCACACTGTCTAAAGCTTGGTGGCCATTATTTCCATCTGTCATCTCAAGAGCTTCCACAGAGAACCAGTCATCCCATATGGGTAGATGCCAGGAGCACATCCCTTCAGGATTCAAATCATCCCATTCTGGCCAGATGCCCCAGGACTGGAACAGTTCTTCTGTAAGTTTGGCCTCTTCAGGCATTTTAGAAATATGTTCAGGTAACTTGCCTGTTGTGTCAATCAGGTCAACATGCGCATCATATATCTAGGTTGGACTTACTGCCTAAAAGCTTGCAAGTCTCATTGATACATCCACTATCCTCCAGCAACTTGTGAATTTCTCCATCTGAGTGAGCTAGATGTCCTGCCACACATCCTTCACAATCAAGTGGTCTGTCTCAGTAGTGGAGGAGGGTTGGTAGGTAAGGCCCAGGACCCTGGTAGATCGGCCAATGGCAGAATTGCTATTGTAAATCACTGATACAACATCAGCAATAGTCTCATGTGCTGACTCAGATTCTCCCTTCAAGGCCATCTTGAAGCCACTGCTGTGTCTTACAATAGACTTGTCATAACCCAGGAACTCCAAGTCAGCATGCTTGAACCATGCCATGCAATTAAGGAATTTGCTAATGTCATAATAGATGTTGATAGGAAGAGTTACAGACAATCCTCCCCAAGTGTAGGTACATACGAAGAGATCAGCACGCAACAAGAGCAGACTCACAAAGTACCACCAATTGATCTGATTTGTCAGAATGAGTCACATGATCTGACATATATTCCATTGCTTGCTCCATGAGAACCTTGGTGTTATAATACTTGATCTCTAGCACAGAAATAACATCTGCCCATTCAATGGAGTTGATAGGCTTTGTGGTATCCATCAATACAGTGTCAGGCTTGCAACAACCTGGCCTGATGGGAGCAGCCATGTTCACACCAGTTTGGGGATGAATGAAAGTGTTGCTGGTGTGAAGCCAAGTACATTTATGAAGTTTCAGCAGGGCTGACCTGCCATGGTGGTTGGCAATGATTTTGTCAATCCAAGTACTGCCCTGAACAATGTTGGTGAATATCAAGCAAATCAATCACATCTTGTAAGTTCAACACATAGAATGCTACTCACTTTGTTGAAAAAATGTACAATGCCCTTCTCTTTTGCAGTGTCCTTTTGCTTATTGTACACCAAGGGCATGCAGAGATTGACCAATGACCCATCATGCGTCCTTGTGACTCCACAGCTTGAAACTGTTTGATGATATTAGCAGAATTGTTCATAAAATAATAGGTACATACTTTACTACACCACACCTCTGCCATGTCACTAGCCTTGTTATCAAGAACTCCCCACTCTATAAGCTCATCTTACACCCTATGCCTGGCTACCACCATGTCATCCTTAAGGTCTGTTGGTTTTAAATGATATGGTAAGCCATCCTCCAGTCATGCTTTGAACCATCATGTCCCATTTTCATGCATAAGGGACACTATAGCATCCAAGTCGTTATCACTTAGGTGTATGTTAGCACCAGAAACTGCTTCCTCAAGTGCTGAGAGCAGATCCTGATAATGGCCTTTCTCAACAATGAGGAGCTTCACTTTGTTGATGATATCAATTATGATGAAATCAGGCTTTGCATACATAGCATGGAAAAAGTAACAATTTTTCCAAGGAGTTATGTAAGATACATAGCGGCTATTGCACTCCATCCATCGCTGCATGACACTCACTCCAGGATATTGGACATCTGATGAGAGTAAGATCACATGTAGCTAGTGAGTATCCTATTAGTTATACAATGAAGAATTATATTACATGAACGAATGGTGACTTGCCATATAGTGCTCCCTCGGCTGTTGTTTGGTGACCTGGGGAATCAGGGTGTTGGACTGTGTGTGAACCCTGAAAAAAGAAACTGATTTCCCACAACAAAGGTAGTTTGACAAGGTTACTATCAGCCCATTCAAGTATACAGTCACCTACCACCATATCTGGATCTGATGTGACATTGTGCAGTGTTGAAAGTGAAGCAAGAGCTGACAAGCTTTGATTCTGAATGTTCTGATTGCCCTTCTCAAGATATTCAGTGCCGGGTGAGCCTGTTGGAGTATCCCATCATGGTCATACTATCATCAGTGAACAGATGAGAATATATATAAGGCAATATAACATTGAGCATCACAATAATCTGCATAAATTTGCTGATGTGGCTTTCACATGGGAATGTCTTTGAGGAAACAGTGATTCTGCTTCCTACCAATCTTCAATTGGATGGATTGAAGAGAAATCAAACAAGCATGAATGTATGAAGTTAAATATGGATCCAGCCTGAGAGGGATGATGAAGGAGGTTGTAATGTGTGGGAGTGAAAGATAATTTGGTGATGGTACTAATAGTGCTAATGTGTATCATTTAAGCTTCATAGATATATTTTTGCCAGCTGAGGGTGACTTGTCATTTGCTTTAGATTAGGTGGAACACCTTCCCATGTCTGAATTTGTCCACAACCACTGCAAACATGACTCCCGCAATGCACCACCATTCTTCCTTATGATGGGATACAAGCCCAGAGCTCTACCTCACGTTCTACCCAATTCCACCATTCCTGCCATGGAAGAACAACTCCACCTTCTACAAAAGATAAGAGAAGAAGCTATCTCCTGCCATAACCTAGCAATACAGCGCATGGCTGCATGATCATATGGAAAGAAGTATCAACCATGGAAGGTCAGTGATAAGGTTTGGTTGTCAGGAAAGAACCTCATCACACAGCTACCATCAAAGAAGCTCACTCCAAAGTGATATGGTCCCTTTACAGTGAAAGCCATACTTTCTCCAATCACATTCATACTCCAACTACCAGAACAATGGAAGGTTCATCCCATGTTCCACACTTCTGAGCTATCCTCCTATCACAAAACTGAAATCCATGGTCTGAACTTCCATGACCCTCCCCCAGACATCATAGATAACAAAGAAGAATATGAAATTAACACTATCCTATCACATAAAGGCACAGGTAAATGAAGACACTATCTGGTATCCTGGAAAGGATATTCCTCTGCCAGCAACAAATGGATCCCAGAAGAGAATCTCAGTAACACCTCAGATGTCCTCTCTGCATATAAGAAAACTCACCAATTATAACCCTGAAACAATGACCTCTTCCTTTGAAAGATTACAACACTGCCTACTCCACCTTCGACACCTTACCACTGCTATGAACCTCGCCTCTGAAAATGTTGCCTCCCCATCCTTGACTGAAACCACTTTATCCAGTGATTTGTCCCTTGTTGATTACTTCACTATCCTTGATGAAATCAAGAATAACACCCTCTTTGAATCTGCCATCACATTCCCACAATGCATGATTGAGATGGATCAACGCTTAGGAGAAACTGGAGCAATCTCTAGTGGACTCCTCATCAACATCATCAGATCTGCCAGTCTCATTGAGCAAACAGCTAACCTCATTGATGATGATCTTCACAAAACCATCTTCCACCACCTTCACATACGCATTCACAATACTGCAATCCATCTGTTGCCTTCTAGTACTAAAGAAGCTATCAGAGAGGCTATCCATATCATCACTGAACAAATCACCACAAACCCAGTTGCACAACCCCCATCTCCACACATTGCAACCCCCATCCCACCGCCAGTTCTTCCATCACCTACCATTGAGTGTATGAATAATGTTCTCAATCCTGCTGTTGTACCTTTTGTACCAGCTTCTCCTGCTCCTACCCCTATCACACCTACTACTTGCTAATACCCCACAAGATGAAGATCATCTCGAGTCAAGCGAGAACCATCTGTCTCACCCACTGTTAGAAATCGCAAACAACACTCTAGATCCCCATAACTACCACTGCAGTCCCCTACCATCACCACTGTAAAAGTAGAAACCATTGACAATGTTGTGTGTCGTAACTGCCATGTCACTGGCCATCATCATAAGAAATGCCCCAACTATTATTGCTGAGTTTGCAAGGCATACACACCCGGTCACTTATTGGTCTTCTGTAAAGACTTGAAGGGTGAAGTGGTTATCCCATTGATCTGGACTGATCTGGGTTTTTATGAAGCTCTCTCCCATTGGGAAACTGAGCAGGACACTATCTACTGTGCTGAAGAAATAGCTGAAGACTTGCAGTGGAATAACAACATGATCACTGGTTGATTGTCCATTACTGAAGAGCAGGACAACCCGTTGGATCCTAACTATGATACTGACCCTGTCTACTGGGCTAACCAGAACAACTAAAGTCAGCGAATTTGTCACTAAATGAGGGGTAATGTTACAGTCAATGTACGCCCCTATTCATTTTCTCTTACAATTACCTTGTATTACATCATGTGCTACATATCGCCACTGCTAGACTTATCTCTGACTTGTCTTATCTCTGACTCATATTGTATTACACCACAATCACTATTGCCATTGCTAGGTGATCTATTCTTACTATCTCTGACTCATCTTCAATCCCATGCCTGCCCTAAAGCACCTGTAGTTCACTATATATAGTCCACCTGGTATGCTGTAGTTCTGCACTTAATCTTACTAGGTTTTACCTGGAACTTCCTTCACTTAAGACCTCCAATCTTAAGTCACCCGAACATTGATATTCAAGTCGAGGACACTCTCCTTGCCTTGTCTTATGACCCTTGCATTTGGAAGGTCTAGAACCGACTCTAGCTGTCACTCTTATTAAGCTGCTATTGTCATAACTATCCTAGTTCATAACACCACTTGTCTGGCTTTCGCAAGTTCCATAGGCAAGTTACATAGCTTCAAGGTCATATGGGTGCAGCTGTCACACACATGTCACATAATGTGACTCATAGTACACAAAGCAGTAACTCATTTTTTCCAGGACACATACAATGTCAATCAACATCTATCTTGTTATTTTCTGGATCCCCTCTCATTTTGCTCTCTCCAAGCACAAACTGGACTCATCATTTCAGGATCAAATGCACTTCAATTTTTGGACTGTACCTTCTACCCCAAGTCAGATCTTGACATTTATTCTCACCCTGGTCACATTTACGAGGTGCTAGAGTGGATCAAGAGTTTTGGGTATTAGTTTGAACCACACAGGTATTAAGTAGAGGACTGGCATAACCAGGTTTCACCTGATTGGATGGCACAATCCTGAGAATCTGAGTCCTGGACCCACCACAGGAAGAAGAAGAAGTATGCTTGGCACAGTATTCTAACATTGCTGAAGTCTACACCTTCAAATGGTTTGTAGTTATAGACAGAGAGCATGTGGAGTTCTGGATTCAAGTTATCCAGACAACCTATAACCCCATTGATACTATCATGAAATATCACTCAAGTGTATCCAAACCATTCCCTTTCTTTCACACAAGGTTTGATGCTCTTGGTTTCAGCTTGTGTTATGAATATCATTACCTTCTATGCAGTGTATTCATTCTACCCAATTGCAACATTCAAGGACCGAAGTGCACTCAAAATCCCTGGATTGAGGCACCACCCAGATGTCCTTGCAAAGTATATCAAGAGAGGTTGGAGAGCCTATTCAGTGTTCAGGCCAGGTGATCTTGCACAGCCCTATGAATCTCCATTCCTCCTGAACATGGCATGATGGGTTGGTGATTGTCACTATTGGACTGTTTAGCTAGATACATCAGGAAGTATGCCCTGTACAACATTGTCCCCATCCTCAGAACAATTTTCATGGGACCCCTCAACCCAGAACCATTGGACAATGTTGACCGAGCCATCCACTCTCACCAGTCTCAGTGTACCAAACATGGATACCAAACTCATTGTGACCACTATCTTCTATTACAATTATTTGGTTCCCAGTAATTTGTTTTCTTTGGCAATTCATGAGTGGGTGTTCTTTATCACAAACTAGTAACAAGACATGACTGGACTTGGTGTGTCTATCAACACGCGACCCATTTCAATTGTATTCACACCTGCACTTAGGTTTGATGCTGAAATACCAAGGTTCCATGAGTTGGAGTAGAGCGGGTGACAGAGTTCAAGGTCTGTTAGAGTGGGTTGTTTGGTAGACAAACCAGCCTGGCACTGCTGTTTCATTTGGTCTTTCATCTTGTCAAAACTTGTTGTCCCACACACATTGCACATGGGTTAATATTGCAAACATCATGCTCTTAGGCATGCTCTGAAGAAATGCTTTGATGCACCAATGGATTATTCACTATATAAAGTAATATTTGACCATCTGAAGTTTCCCTCAGTTCACTTATGGTTGGGTAAGCATCTCACCTGCAACACTTGGTAGACTGTGATCGGTCTGATTGATTCTGTTTCAGATGACTTGATGACTATCATTCCCACTAGCAAAGGCTTGCAGTCTTCCATTGTTGTGGGCACTATGGAGATATGTTGAAACCATTTCCAGCTTACTGATTAACACGTCTACTGGGCCTGGGGCCTAAAGCAATTCGAAGTTTGAAGACCCTTTAGCTAAGCTTGTGTAACAATGTTTAGTATTTACTACAATGGACCATCCTTCCATTTTGAGGTAACTACTACTTGTCTTGCAGAAAAAAAACAAATGCCTACATCAATCAGGATTCAAGGAATCAAACAACAATCTTGGCAGCTTTAACACTACATAAGTACTTGCAAGCGACTTTCATTGTCAAAAGTACATGACCATGGTAGGTTCATCAATCAGCAGCCTTGAAGTGTGAATTGTCAATAGTAGTAAAGACAAGGCTGTCATCCATGAGTTTATCTAATGCATTACTGGAGACTGTGAGACATACTTGATTGTGACAGTGCTACCTCTGACAGCACATGCAATAGAACCAACATGCACACCTTCCTCATTAGAAGGTTGGTTCAGCATGAACGTTATGATTGTATATTCCAACTTTGGCAAATGGAAATATTGGCTGTTGTTCATAGCGGGGGAATGCGACTGAACTGTGTATGCAGAGCCTCTGTCATATCCCATATGCCAGACATAGATCCCATCATATTCCCACGCTTTCCGGACCTATTTCCGGACCCCATATCCAACTCATTCCTGGATCCCCTATCCTGTCCACCCTACACACATTCCATCCAGCAAGACATCCAGACTTTACCTCCTCTTGGATTCTAGACTACATCCATCACCTCACATATCTCAGTCCTGTTTCCGCCCTGCCTTCTGGATCTCCGGACCTCCGGATATTAACTGTTACTATCTCCAGACCTATTCCCGCCCTCTATCCGAGATCCTGCGCCTATCCCCATTTAGGCATCTCTGCCTTTCCGGTTCTCGGTTATCTCTCTTTCTGTCTTGCTGATTGATCCTTGTACTAGTTTCATCTCCAAGTTCATTTACTTATATTCCGTCTTACTTACCAATGTGTTTCCGCATGCTCGTACATAGCCTTACTCCTTTGCTTACTGATCCTCTCAGATAGCCTCTAGTATATAACCCCTGTACAACTACAGTAGAGTCCTCAGTCTGAATATCATCTTAGTTCCTGCTCTCTCATCTTAGATCCTGTTCCACTTGCCAATCATCTTCTGAACTTCAGTCCATCTGAGTCTTGTCCTTTTCCATAAGGCCTAGGGAAGGATTCCCTAGGCCGGAATTCTGGACCTTCAGATTTGTCCCCTATGTCTCTGTCCCAAGTCTAGGGATTGCTTCCCTAGGCTGGAGTCTTGCCTTTCTGGCACTTACCCTCTTTCTGGACTTAGGTCCACTTCCTGTCCCTCCAACTCTACCTTAGGGTAGTCTACCTCTGTTTGCTTCTGCATCGGACTTCATCCGATGTAGCCCCTATTCCTTCCAGACCTCCAGACCTCCTGTCCCTCATACCTCCAGGCATCCTGTCCTTTGGACGTTCCACCCTCCATACCTTTGGATGTTCTGCTTTCCATACCTTTGGACGTTCCATCCTCCATACCTCCAGACCTCCTGTCCTCCAGACCTCCTATCCTTCCATCCTGTTTTCCTGTAGAAGTATTACCTTGCAGTGGGAACTCTCCTGAGCATTTCCTGCATTCCTCTGGAACTCTCCCGCACTCCTCCGGATGTTTCCTGCACTCCTCCAGAAGTCCTCCCACACTCTCCACCAGAGTAGCCAGCCTCCGGAAGTCCTCCAGACTTTGTCGGACCATCATCAGACTTCCTCTGAAATGAAGGGCACATACTCAGGTAAGGGGCACAGCGTACAAGCTGAGGCCAAGCCCCTCTGAGTCAGTCTCTCTCTCCTTTGAGCATGATTCTTAACAGCCTCCATCTGCTGGGGATCTGGCAGCCTGGGCCTGTGGAATTGTTTTTGGATTTTGTCCAGCACAAGGGGGCTGCTCATGAAGATCAGATCAGTGATATCATAATTTGGTGCAATGTACTGTCCTCACATTAGTTTCACTGCGGCTTGTGGAGGAAGAAATTTATGTGATGGCACTCAATCCTGTTCCACTCTCTTCTATCGAGGAGTCAATCCAATGTTGGGCTTTGATGTGACCTGTGCCATTGTCGAGCCAGTATAAGTTGTTGGTGGCTTGGCTCTGTATTGAAATGACATAGCTGACAATGTTGACCTGTAAATTTGCAGTTCAACCAGCTAGCTACACAAAAATAGATGTAAAAAATTACCTGGCTGAATTCTGTATCATCCAGCATCCACTCTGCATCTGAATGCACCTGGGTTGCATTTAGGAGCTGAAGTACAGTCAGAGGTCGTAAGGAGTGGGCTATCTCAGTTCTCTATGTTGTGCTCAGTTTAGGAGAGAATCAGAATGATCATATGCAGCATACTTGACTGGCTCCTCCTGGGCTACCACTTGCACTTCCATATGGCGATCTACCAGTCATGAATCCACCTCCACCTCCAGCACCACTGTTTCCATAGTAGTCATTGACTTCTCAGCCTAATAAGTGGGATTTTCAGGGATAGTATGACTGCTTACATTGACTCATCTCATTGGTGTTCTTTTAGTGAGCAAATTTATCATGATGGCACAGACAAGAGAAATGCATAGAGTCACAAGTCATGCATATTCCATGACATAATTCAATATGTCACAATTACATTCAACAAACCTAAGTATGTAGTGTGGCAGTAGCATGAGTAGTGAGTGGGGAGCAGTGTAGGTGAAAGTAATATGTGATGTCAGTATCGAAAATGGAGGGCCGGCTTACTGGCCATAATTGGTACAAATCTTGACCATTCCTTTACCAATGCCCTTGAGTACTTTTTTGCGTGACTTGCTGACACTCTTTGCAATATTGAGCACAAAATCATGATGCAGCTAATGAATGGTGTCAGATCATGATCTGATAATCAAAAGCACATGCCTACTGTCGGGAAGTCAGTGATTGGTTTACAAGACTCAATAAAGCTCTTCCATCATTCAGCCAACCCAGCCACCTCGCCCAACTTCAAAAGGTTGTTTGACATTGTCTTGAGTACTGTGCAGGCCTTCAAGCGAATATCCTTGAGTAATTGCACAAGCTGAAATGTGATGAGATGAGTTTAGACACATCTTGTTTTTGTTAAGGCCTATTATTTCACTCGCTGCCCCCAATTTGTGAATCTTGACAACAGATGTGGTCTTGAAGTGATGAGATCCTACTGCAAAGAGAAGGAAAGCCTAGACTTAAAGTGAACAAAGCGTAGACTAGAACTCAAGTGAGACTGTACCTCTTGGGTGAGTGTTGCTACATGTGGTAGGTCTGAGGGGAGGTTTTGGCTCTGTTGTAACAGCATGAAGTGAGTGTGCATATCTGTGAAAAGAGTGAGCAGTGAGCCAGCCTAGGAAAACTGAACGTACACTTGAAGAATTGTGCTACCAATTGAGATGGTTCCTTCACAGGAGGAGCTTCTTCGTCCTTCTTTGCATGACCATTGATGTTGGTGTCACCATTTAGGGCTTTGAGGTCAACACCCCTAAGTGGGAGCCTGGTCCTAAGCTCATTCTGCTTGTTGGCCTCAGCAAGCACCACCACTGGACAAGCCAGTCACTGGCCTATTCCATGAGTTGCAATTCATCAGCCATCAACTAATAATATTATTAATGTGAATCATGACTCAACCATGAATTATCCTACCTCTGCTGCTTCTTCAGGTGTTCGGACAGCTAGATGTTCCCTGAGAGGAAGTTGGACTTCTGGTTCTGGGCTCTTCTTTGGTTGGTCACCAATCAGTAGCTTCTCCTTGACAATATCATCCAGATCACTAGCATGCTGGAAAGCACATATGTAGATTTTGATAAAATACCACAGCCATCCTTGCTGTTTGAGAAGAAGGTCAACAAATGCAAGTGTTGACATAGATGAACAGCATACTCCAGTTGAGCTGCCAAACATCAGGGTCTGGTCATTCAACAAAGGCTGGCATGCTGGTTGATAATTGGGCAGCATGCCAAAGTCCCAGTTGTCATGGTGGATTGAGAACAGGAGTCGAAAACATATGTGTATTACACTGGAGGCCTTTACAGCGGTCAAAGACAAACTTCAGCTCTATCAGCTCCATGTCAATCAGATCAGAATTGATAGGCTCATGCGTCATCTGCATGCAAACATGCTCAAGCTTAATGACATCACATTGGAGGGAGTTCTCCAACTTGTCATCAAAAGAGACAAATTCTGGTATCTGTAGGGGATCACCATCCTGAAAGCACAAGAGTGTAAAAATCTGACCTGACTGTACTTCTCTGATGTGAATGCACAAATGATGAAATCCAGGGTCTATGAAAAATGAGAGAGAGGTCAACATACAAGAAGGGTACTCACATCTTGGGAATTACTGACATAAATCTGGCTTGATTCTATGCATTCTGAAGGGTATGTCAGGTCCCCAGATGCAGAAAGGGAGAAGGTCGATGCCTGTGTGAGAAGAAAGTGGGAAAGAGTGTCATCTTGGACTTGTTTTATATTTATGGCACAGTAGTGGTCCAGAGCCAATGATGAGGCTCCTGTAAATTCTTCAGTATAAGAGCTTAGAACATCTGTAGGAACACATACCAAGTAGATGGTATATGCATACAAGTAGCAACTGAATCTGGAACGACATACAACTCTTCATCAAAGCAAACTCCAGCACAACAGCAGCATTGTATAGATAGCTCTTGTCCTTGGTCATTGTCCACAGGCTGACAAACACATGGCCAATAAGGATTGTGATATCATCAGCTGGCTGATGTTCAGTTACAGGCAAGCTGGAATCCAACTCTAGTCCCACCATGTACTCTTTGATATAGGTAGATGCCAAATACAACTCTTTGTCTGTGGATAGCTCTGAAGCTGTAAGACTGATTCATTGTAACTTCTGAACATTTATCACCCATTGCAGATCACCTGTAGTAGCCTACATTACCAAACAAACTTAGGACATGGGAAAACCCATATAAGAAGACAGTACACACAAAGGAGGATTCTTGAGATGCATGGAAACTTATCCATTGCAATTTCGCATCAGTGCCAAGGTCTACACAAGGATGCAAATCTTTGAAACAACACACCTTATCGCCAAACTGGAAGAAGTACTTTTCTATCAAGTCAACCAGAGTGCTCTCATCTGTCAAAGTCCACAATCAGTGCACGAGGTCCCAAGGCAAGCATCATACCAGAGGACATTCCATAGGAAAACACATTTTTCTCAAGCTCCAAAGGTGCCAAGGAGGCAGAACGGTTATTTGAGCCATCTACCTTGACAATTTTGGTCAAGAAATCGCATGTTTTCACAATGTTCTTGGAGCACTCTCACTTTCCCTCTTCGCTGATATCAGGCCCTTGCACTGAAGCAAAAGTGGCATCAATCACTGAAACAAACTCCAGCCAATTCTGGTACAAATCAGATTACATCAAAAGTAACATCTGATGCTCGCTCACTTGTTTTTGATCTTCTCTTGAGCCCGTTCCCCCTCATCCTTGTATAGACCATGTTCACACTAGATTTCCCTGCGAGTCTCATTACACACAAGGCTGGCTGAACAGATTGACTTCCCAATATCACTTTCCAGCAAGGTGTTTGCTTCATCCTACAGTTGGAGCTCCTGCAGGATGATCAGATGCAAGTGGAAGCAGTCCACAGCTATATATGATGGTGTTGGACATGATGTGGATGCACCTATAATAGTCTAGTTAACAAACATGGACTCGAGAAGAAGAAGATTGATGATTACCCAATACTTTGTCATCTGATGTACACTCTGGTTCCCACCTGTGCTTGAATCGCCCTGCATGGGATGATCTCAGGTGTGGATCAGATTGTAGAGCTTGAATAACTTGACAATCAAGGTGTCCCAATTGCATTTATAGAAGGGTCTTTCCTCAAGATAGTTTTGAATAAATGTAGATTTGAGTGGAAGGTTCATTATTTTCTGACAATGATAATGAAGGATGACACATGAGGAAATGTAGGGAATGTACATCGTGTTTCTATGGAGATGAAGAGTTAGTTGACATAAGGCAAGACAGCATGAATGGATGTACCTTTAGGATTTTGGGAAAACCAGTGATATTCAACTTGGTGTACAGTGCCAAGTCATGAACATCTGCTATGAGGTTGGTGACTTCTTCTTGAATGCCGTGAAAGAGGTGTTCGAGTGATGCATCAGATTGGTCATTGTCAATATCATCATCATCATTGGAACCCTCATTGGGACCATAGTTGGAAGGGCATGCTTGGTGTGATTCTGGGTCAGAGCAATGGGTGGGAGATGGCTCAGAAGAAGATGAAGATTCTTGAGCAATGAGCTTTTGGAGATCCTTTTCAGCATCATGTATATGGCAAGATAGCTTAGCGGTCTGAACAGAGTCATCTGAAGCAGAGGAATGAACTGAGTTTTGACATTTTTACCTTTTGTTTCTGGAAATCATGAACTTTATCAAGCTCCTTTTTCAGCATGGCAGTGAAATCATGTTCATCTTGGTCGTCCCAGTTGTGAGAGGTGGTACAAGACTATGCAGATAGGGCAGGTGAGAATTGGTCAGGCAGATTGGAGAAGGAGCTCATGCTTCAATAAATTGTAGTTGATGTAGAAGGGTCTCCACTCATCATAAAGGCTAGTCTGTCAAACTAGTTCCATTCAATCAATTTGCCATATGCAAAAATAACACACCGTGATCTTCCTTCTGAACTTCATTGTGTACCTGTCAACAACTAGGAGTAGATAGGAACCCTTCAGAGGACAGTGTTCTATAAGCCAGTACTCTCACCAACATGAAACAAGGAGAAGTTTGGGTGTTATGATGGCTCTTGCACTTGCCACAACAAATCTCGAGAAGGTGCTTGGAATACAGAGGGCCATGCCTTAGGACCTTGTGGCATACCATGGTGGGAATGTGTTCAAGTTTGAAGCCAAGGCAGTGGGAATTATATTGGGGCAGATAGATTTATTTGTGTGACCAATGATCAGAGCGAGAATCTCATTCATAGGCTCTTGGTTTCATTATAGGAACAGATGTATAACAACTGATAGTACACATTCAGTACTGTACAGTAATCAATGTGAAGCCCTGTTGCAGGATGAGATTGATGAGAAACTAGGATGAGAATGAGTTTGTAGGGGGTGCCATTAGGGCTCTCTGGTCCTACTGCAGGCTGGCTGCTGTTGATGCTGAGTATGGATATAGTTGCTTCTGTTGTGAGCCTGATCACCCAGTGTTTTTCAGCTTATGGGTTAAGAATCTTGAAGTCGGTATCTAGCAGAGTGCCATCTTGTTTGGCATGGCATGTGATCTATCAATCAAATGGTAATGATATAGAATTTGTGAACTTTACCTCCATATTGATACCCCAAGCTTCACTGCCCTGCTGTTCGTGCTTGGCCCACAACCAATAGAAAGCCTCTAACCCTCAGTACCTCCAAGTGCATTCTCCACACATATTTTTGTCATTGCTAGAATCTGCAAATGTTCGTACTTGCACTTGATGAGTCTATGCATCCAACTAACATCACATAGGGACGAGTCAGCCACAGTTGATTTCTTTGCTGTGCTGGGGAACAAACTTTACTACACCGAGTCAGTACCTGCAAACAGCAGAGTCGTGAAGATCTTCCACTACCTCGAGTCCTGAAGAGGATCATGTATCAGCAATGCAAGTTCTACAAATTCAAGAACTCTGTATTAGTTCCTGATGATAATTCTATGAACAATGCTGAGATCATCCAACAATGTCTGGATGGGCACAATTGGACAGAAGTGTTACCAGAAAGATCTTTGAAAGCACTGGGATCAGAACCAAGAAACGACCATGTTTACTTGGTGATCAAGCCTGAAGGTGCACCACTGTTGTATCTGTTGATAATTGATGTTCTCATCCTCTTCCTCAGAGGAGACAGATCCACCCATTGGAAATGTGTGTGAGAAAGGCAAAGAACTTTTTCTTTGCTTGCAAATAACTGTAGCAAAGCTGCAGTCATGGACCACACAAGATGTTGAATATAACTTGGATGGTGGCACCTGGCTGATTCATAGCCAAGAACAACCAGATTCAATCGCTGAGATAGAGGACCAACTGCATTGAGTACATACATACACTGTACAAGATGAGGACCTGCCACCTCTTGCAGACCCCCCTCTGGGGCTGTTACCAGGCTCAAGCCTGTCAACTCTAATCGCATTCAGTAGATCCATCCCCCTCCCAGATGCGACAAGGGACCTGTAAAATGCCTCCAGTTACCAGGCGCTTTTTGATAACATATTTAAACCCACCTTGTTCGCGCCCACTGAGGACAACCCTGTTGATGTGAAGGATACCTGAGAATTTGCAGCCTTCTTCAGCATCCTCCATTCTTATCACCCAGACTGCACTCTTCTGGTGAACGACTCCTCATCCTCCCAGAAGGCTAGCAATTTCACTGTGCATTTTATATCCCCACCCTTCTTTTACCACCACAGTGAACATCTTAAATACAAAGAGTAAGTGGAATTGATTTGTTGTTGCAACCCAACTGACCATCATGAATAGGCAGATGCCTTAGGAATTTCCTATCTTCCTGAATACTTGGGATAATCATGACACCTGGTGCAAGTTCTGCCCAACCAGTGATTACATGGTTTTGTCTACTCTGTTTCTTTGCCCCTTCATTGTCTGTGAAGTAGTTTTGCAGAAGAATGTGTCTGATCAATTCCGCATGCTAGTTCAAGGCATTGCTCTTGCATGTGCAGGACAATGTTTCATGTCAGGTGAAGTGAAACTCTTTGTTGTGGTAATTTATCTCCGTGCAAATTTGACTGCTGAAAGACATATCATTGCTCAGCCTGGTGCAGATAGGAAGGTCCATTGCTCTGTTTGTCATCACTTTTTGTTTCTTACATGGAGGTCAGGTATTCATTGCCCAGAAAGATTTTGACCTTACAAAGGCCAATGAGGCAGTCACATTCCTTTGTGAGATGTACAGCCTCAAGCAGGAGCTTGACAATTTAGGGGGCATACTTGATCCAAAGAACAAGAAATGCCTTGGTGGTATCAAGGTTGCCACTTCCGAGGTGATTTCTCTTACGTCACAGGCTCAGAACAACAAAACACTGATAATGACATTGACCTCAGTCTCTGAAGATCATTGTGAAGCCAGTGGCGCTCAGGATGATCTCAGGATCTTTGATGTAGATGATATTCAAGGTATTTTGAGAAAAATGCATTACAAGATGTCATTCATTGTGTTTGGGGTGTGTACTGCCACAATTTATAATATAGTAACACTGACAATATATCTTACAGTATCCATTCCTCGCCTTGGTGTCAAATGTTGAGGATGATTCTCAACAAGGATATCTCAAGTTCGTGAAAGAGGGGCAACAGGAGATCGAGATCTTGTGATACCTTACAGGAATTGGATCTCCTTCAAACTACACCATTTTGCCAGTCCAAATCTGGCCGGTGCAAGGGGGTAATGTTATATTAATGCCTATGGCTGACAGCCACCTTACCAGTCTATCCAACCCTGACACACACCTATGGCCTGTGGCCAAGCAGCTGTTTGAAGCTGTTAACTTCATGCATCAGCATGGCATGTGCACCTGGATCTGAAGCCTCCAAACATCCTCCTCCCCACTGATGGTGGCCACCTGTCTATTATGGACTTCAACAGATCAGTACACATCAAAGGCACTGAACACATGTTCCACAGTGTCATTGGCACCACCAGATATCTTGCACCTGAAGTCATGCCTGGTCAAGGCCTCTACAACATGATCTGCATGGACTTGTGGTCCTGTAGGAAGACATTGGAGGAGCTGTGTTTCCTGTGTAGGCCATCCAGGGATCGCAATGCACTACTCGAAATAGCTCAAGAACTCATGAATGAAGACCCAAAACAGCAACTGGTGATGTCGGGTGCCTTGAAGAGGCTGGCATTCCACAAGGTTGATGCCAATACAGGACCAGGTTGCTTCAGGTAGTGTGCTCCATTCTTGGCATGTATGCCACATTGTATGTGAGCATTTGTCTAATTGTTCTGGGCAGTTTCTCCTTTGTCATACCACCAGAAGTGCACACTCTCAACCTGCTTGCATACTGTGTTTACCCTCAATGTCATGGCCTCAGTTGCAATATGGAGCACCTCCCCACCTCCACCATCCCAGCACCCAACTGCAGGCTCTCACCATGAATAGCCTATTTACCAGACTTTTGCATGCATGGTACATCTGCAGGACTGCCATAGTACTAGGTGCACACCTGATTGCACACCGCTCTAGGGTGACTCACCCTCCCTGACTCAGAATATTGGAAATTGACTTGCCCCATACTGTGATGAGGATGGGAAGAGCTGGTATCACTCTGGTATGTTGAACATTCCACAAATCATACTAGAGTTTAATGTCAATACAGTATGTGATTCTGCGTGAACCTACTCTGATTCAGTATTACAAGGTGAGATCATTTTCTTCAGGCTGCAATGTGGTTTTTTGAACTGATTTCCCAATGCCGATAGTACCACAGCCATGTCCTGCTCTCAGAGATGATCTTGAAAAGCTGGGCTAGCACTGCAACATCTAAGCTGTAAGATATAGTCCCACCTTCAGGGATCACTGATACTAAATAAGTTGTTCGCAGAGACATTGTTTTCCTCAACACAATGGGAAGTATGCTGGGAGGATATCCTCCCACATGCATTATTGGAGCATCCAGCTCTTCTCAATGGCTACTTGACCGTGTTTGTCAATGCTGCATACTGACATGCAACACATGCAGACTCAGAGGCAACACTCACCCTCCTTCACAGTACAATCAAGACATGTTATCAAGACCTTGGTGGAGTTCTGCCAGAACTTGACCTAGATAACATGGCTCACACTCTTTGCACCATGGAAAAACTCCTTGGCATTGACACCAGCAAGATTATCACCACTTACATTCTTTGTCCATCGTGCTGGAAAATGTACCATCCCTCTGACTTTTGCACCTTACGCAATCCAACCTGCGCTGAGCCAGATTGCTCTACAATGCTGTTTCAAACCAAACACACAACATCTGAGGGCATAAAAAAATTTCCTTTCAAGGTCATGCCAGTCACATCATTGAAACTGCACTTGCAAGGCTTCTTATGCATCCAGGGAAGTGGGACAAGCTGCAGCACTGGTGAAAAGAAGGAGATGATGAGCCAGCACCACCCATCACACACAAAGAATGGTATGCAACAAAGGCACTTGATGAGCCACTCTGCAACATTTATGATGGTTGGATGTGGCATTCTGTTCTGACAGGCATGACATGCGAGTAGGACGAGAGGAATCGGAAGGTTAAAGACATCAACATCGAAAATCTCCACCAAAGATTTGTGTCACTAAAATGTGGTATCATAGTGCATATTAACATTGACTGGTATGTGATCTTCAAACTCTGTAGCTCTACCTTCTGTTAATGTCAACTCTAGGTTCTGAGCTTTGAAATGTGCCAACTACTCTACTTGGACAGTCTAGCTCACTATCAACAATCTGCCACGATTGATTTGATTTCTTCGTGAAAATACATTCCTTCTGCTTGTCATTCCTGGCCCAACAGAACCAAACACAGACCAGCTGAATGGGCTTCTTGAGCCATTCGTTTGAGAGCTCGAAGATCTTGGTGAAGGTATGTACATTGCAGCAGTTATGTAGTAGCTTATTGACATTGATAACTGAGATAACAGGAGAGTTCTTCAAGGTGTTTGGACATCAAGACCTCAAACAAATTCATGTTGCACTTCCATTTGGAACTATGGATACACCTGCTCGCCTCAAAACAGCTGGATTTGTCTCACAAAACTCGGAGGAGCATATGTGTTCATGTTGCAATGCACCATTCTCATCATTAGTTGATCCAGTTTGCTTCAATCACTCAAGTAGGTGTTTTTTTTTCATATGTACTGAGTCCTTGTAAAAAATACCAGTTTCCAGCATAAAGCCAAGGCAGTGAGCACTTGTGTTAGCAAAGTGCTAAAAATCAGAGACAGAGCCACACCAATCAGCATCAGAAGTCAACGTGAATCCACGAGAAGGCAGCCTGATGACAGTCAAAAGAAGAGCATGTTGAGACAGAATTGAGACACTTATTAGCTCATCATAATTGTTATGATGATTCCAGCAAACACACTGGACAAGAGAAGGATCACCAAGGTAACAACCAGATGCAAAAGAAGATCACAAATAGCATTAACTTGACTTGAAAAAATACCAAAGGCTTCAGTAGATGACATAACAACTGAGTGAGAGCATTGAACCTAACAGAAAACACAGAGTCCAAACACATTTGCACATATCCGAAGTTTATTCTCACGATGGACAAGCCGACCAAAAAACACCTAGACAAATAGGTAGTGGGCCCTGCCAAGGATGTGGCCCTATATGACTTATATAATAATTGTGAGATCTTAGACAACAATGTTCAGTGATGCAAACTGTGACCTCTGGGCAATCCACAAGCAGATGGATGGACATGTCATGGTACCAGAGCATAATCAGGCACAGCTGATTGATGGAGTAGAACCATGGGCTCCTTTGAAGAGCCAGGAAATGTGTTGCCACCAGCACCAGTTGGAGTGGAGGACTCAGGTGATTTAGCATTGAAGTTTACCTTTTTGCATGGTGGAGGTGGGGCAAAGGGTGGACTCTTTCTTGGCAACTGCTCAGGTGAGACCTTGCTGTGGTGACATTTGAACCCAGCATCCAAATCTTGCATAGGTTGCGATATTTGGGCAATCCCTGGCTGGGCAGACTGAGTTTGCTCCTGGAGTATGTGATCCACTGTGTCATCCTGCTCATATATTGCAACAGTGAGTACATGTGTATTTGCAATGAGACATTCTCACCTGAGCACAATGTTGCATGCTGCCCAAGTCCATTTCGGCATTGAAATCCTTATCATGACCAAGGAAGGAGTTTTCTCCCTGGGTGGCAGTGTTGTGGTGATTAATATCTATGGCATCTTCAAACCCCTTGTTTGTGTCAGAGGCTGGGTACATGAAATGTTATTGACACTGTGAGTATTAATGACAGGTGATACTGACCTTCGCAGCTGCCAATGGCAGGGTCATCAATCTGCATCACAGCTCCCTCAGGGGGTCACATTATCTGGGCTTCTACCATTGACTCAGCAACAGAGAGTGTGGTGGTCTGATCATCCTGTGGCTGCCTGAGTGTTGTTGTGCCAGTGACCCTTGCATCCACACCCCCTGCAGGTGACTCAATATGAGCACCACTGGAAGGGAGAGACCATTGTGCAACCTGATGTTGAGCTGAGTCACCATTGCTGGCTGTCTCAGCACACAGTTCCTCCTGGGGATCATCAGCTTTCTCCTCCATCTCCTTACTACTCTGTGCGGCTTCAGCTGGTGTTCCTGTCTCCATAACTGCCTTCCTGATGAGACCATTGTTTGATGCAGTGACAGTGGTGGCAGCTGACTGAATTCCCTTGTCACTCACTCTTACTGTGAAGATTCAGTTGTGTTTCACACCATATGATATTGAGGTAATACTCACACTTACTGTAAAATTCCACAAAATGTGACCTCTCAACATTGCTGAGCTCTCCATCAGCCATAGCCTCATCTTTACCCTGGGGCTTTGGCTCAGTCTTGTCCATCACAGAAGCATTAGCCTGAGGCTTTGCTTTTCCTTTTCCTTTGCAAGTGGCAGTGGCCTTGTCCTCACTGTCTTGCTGCTCCCTAACCTCATTGAGCACAATGCTGTTAATGTCAAGGAATTCACCGTCATTGTCCCCTGTCTGTACAATGTTGCATGTGGTTCTGTTAAGAACCATGTTGCTCAAGGGAGAGAGACTGACTCAGAGGGGCTTGGCCTCAGCTCATACACTGCCCCTTACCCAAGTATGTGCCCTTCATTTCAGAGGAAGTCCGATGATGGTCCAACAAAGTCTGGAGGACTTCTGGAGGCTGGCTACTCTGGTGGAGAGTGCGGGAGGACTTCTGGAGGAGTGCAGGAAACATCCAGAGGAGCGCAGGAAGTGCTCAGGAGAGTTCCCACTGCAAGGTAATACTTCTACAGGAAAACAGGATGGAAGGATAGGAGGTCCGGAGGACAGGAGGACAGGATGTCCAGAGGTCCAGAGTATGGAGGACAGGAGGTCCAGAGGTACAGAGGACAGGACATCCGAAGGTACAGAGGGCAGGAGGATAGGATGTCCGAGGGTTAGGAGGACAGAATGTCCAAGGGTACAGAGGGCAGAACATCCAAAGGACAGGATGCCCAGAGGTACGAGGGACAGGAGGTCTGGAGGTCTGGAAGGAATAGGGGTTACATCAGACAAAGTCCAATGTAGAAGCAAACAGAGGTAGACTACCCTAAGGTAGAGTTGGAGGGTCAGGGATTGGACCTAAGTGTGGAAAGAGGGGAAGTGCCAGAAAGGCGGAGCTCTGGCCTAGGGAATAAATCCCTAGGCCTGATGGATAGGCCAGACTTAGCTGGACCAAAGTCCAAGAGAGGATTAGGCAAGCCTAAGTTGATATTTAAACTAAGGAAACTACAGGAGTATCTACAGGGGTTATACATACTGGAGAATATCTGGGGAGATCAGTAAGCAAAGGAGCAGGGCTATGTATGAGCATGTGGAAACACATTAGTAAGTAAGATGGAACATAACTAAATGAACTTGGAGATGAAGACTCATACAAGGATCAATAAGCAAGATGGAACAAGAGGTAACCAAAAGCCAGAAAGGCAGAGATGCCTAAATGGGGATAGGCACAGGATATCGGACAGAGGGTGGGAATAGGTCCGGAGTTAATATCCAGAGGTCTGGAGATCTGGGGATCCAGAAGACAAGGTGGATACAGGACCAGAATATGAGGAGGTGAATATAGTCCGGAATCTGAGATGAGGTGAAGTCCAGATGTCTTGCTGGATGGAGTGTGCATAGGGTGGATGGGACAGGGGGGTATGGATCAGGCTAGCAGTGGAGATCCGATGGTCTGGAGCTCAGGGGTAAATCCAGAGCGTAGTCAATCCTGCTGAGGTGTGGAGCACACAGCGGAAGAGGATCTGGGAATGGGTTGGATATGAAGTGGGGTCTGGATGTAGGCTTGGAAGGCGTGGGAATATGATGCAACATGGGTCCGGATTGTGGGATATGACAGGTTTGTTTCTTGCTGCCTTTTGTGACTTTCTTCTGTGACTTTGAGGATTTGGCTGCTGGTGTGGGTGTAACAATAATTTCCACTTCATCGTCGTCATCTGCATCAGCCACTGGATAGTCATGATGACACCTATTGCTGAAAGTAAGATTGTATACATGCCAATTAATCCTAACTTACCTTTGTTTGCAGGTAAGAATTGTCCTAGCATATTCCCCTTCCCCTCTCCATGATCAACCATCAAGATGTTGACAGTTCCCAATGCCACCATGTTGTAGACAAGGACCCCCCATGTTTGGCCTAGTTGCCATGCACGTCCAATGATCTGATTCACCAGCATGCGTGACCAGCATTGGTCCTGGTTTACCATCAGTATCACAAACATACAAATCAGCTATGTGAGTGAGATGCACAAAGAGAATGACAATGCTGGCAGCTGTAAGATTGAGGCCAATGGTGCCATGAACTTTTGGACAGTTTTGTTCCTCTCCTCGATACTGTGCCCTCCATGCATGATGAGTGGCACAATATTGTACAACTGTAGCACTGACACAAGTAGGGGGGCCATCATAGGAAATTCCATGTATATGAGGATCTTGTGCATGCCCATAGTCATGAGGTCAAGCATCTTGACATACTGCGCATTGACTTTGCCCATGATCATGTTATTGGATTGCTGAGGCACATATCTATCACTCTGATCCATCAGATTTGCGTCTGGTGCTGAAGCAGTAGGGTCCTTGATGTTGACTGCCATCTGCAAATCTGCACCTTGCATAGTGTTGGTGTTCCCATTCTCAATGTTGAAGGTGGTTTGGCTGTCAGATTCCAGATACCAAGCCAGCAGTGTGACCAACATGTCAACCCTCATCAACCTGACCATGTCCCACTCTTCCAATGACTTCACGGTGGGATATATAGGTGACGTGTGACGTGGGAAAGTGACCTTTGTGCGTCCATCCAGGTAGAATTTCTGCAGCTGTGTCAGTCTGTGGCTCCCTGAGGGGACCAAAGATGTACCATGTTGAAACTGATGTTATCTGTCATATCCCACAATCCGGACTCACATTCCATAATATTCCCACACCTTCCAAGCCTATGTCTGGACCCCACTTCATATCCAACCCATTCCCAGATCCCCTTCCACTGTGTGCTCCACACCTCAGTAGGATTGACTACACTCCAGATTTACCCCTGAGCTCTGGACCATTGGATCTCCACTGCTAGCCTGATCCATACCCCCCTGTCCCATCCACCCTATGCACACTCCATCCAGCAAGACATCCAGACTTCACCTCATCTCGGATTCTGGACTATATCCACCTCCTCATATTCTGGTCCTGTATCCACCTTGTCTTCTGGATCCCCAGACCCCTGGACCTCTGGATAGTAACTCCGGACCTATTCCCACCCTCTGTCCGATATCCTGTGCCTATCCCCATTTAGGCATCTCTGCCTTTCCGGCTTTCGGTTCCCTCCTGTTCTGTCTTGCTTATTGATCCTTGTACAAGTCTTCATCTCCAAGTTCATTTACTTATGTTCCGTCTTACTTACTAATGTGTTTCCACATGCTCGTACATAGCCTTGCTCCTTTGCTTACTGATCACCTCAGATATTGTCCAGTATATAACCCCTGTAGATACTCCTGTAGTTTCCTTAGTTTGACTATCATCTTAGATCCTGTTCCCTCAACTTAGACTTGCCCAATCCTCTCTCGGACTTTGGTCCACCTAAGTCTGTCCTACCCATCAGGCCTAGGGATTGATTCCCTAGGCCGGAGCTCCACCTTTCTGGTACTTTCCCTCTTTTCAGACTTAGGTCCAATCCCTGTCTCTCCGACTCTACCTTAGGGTAGTCTACCTCTGTGTGCTTCTACATTGGACTTCGTCCGATGTAGCCCCTATTCCTTCTGGACCTCCTGTCCCTTGTACCTCTGGGCATCCTGTCCTTTGGATGTTCTGCCCTCTGTACCCTTGGATGTTCTGTCCTCCTAACCCTTGGACATCCTATCCTCCTGTCCTTCATACCTCTGGACATCCTGTCCTTCTGTCCTCTGTCATCCTGCCCTCCTGTCCTCTGGACCTTCAGACCTCCTATCCTTCCATCCTGTTTCCTGTAGAAGTATTACCTTGCAGTGGGAACTCTCCTGAACACTTCCTGCATTCCTCTGGAACTCTCCCACGCTCCTCCGGACGTTTCCCGCACTCCTCTGGAAGTCCTCCGAACTTCATTGGACCATCATTGGACCTCATATGAAATGAAGGGCACATACTCAGGTAAGGGGCACAGCATATGAGCTGAGGCCAAGCCCCTCTGAGTCAGTCTCTCTCCTTTGAGCAACATGGTTCTTAACATTATCATCCATTGGAGCAGCCAATGATCTGTGCAAGGCAGTTATGTCAGGAGATCTACACAGCCCCCTCATGAGCTGTCTACTCATGAGCCTGTAATTTGATTCATGATGCTCATGTTGATCTCAAGCTCTGTCTTATCAAGATGCATGGGCATTATAACCATCATATAGGGCGCCAGAGTATCATTGATTTTCTGTCCATCAAAGGTCTTGGACTCTACTGTTCATTGGATGACTTGGCCATTGTAGCCACACTTGATAGCAGCAATCCATGCACTTGTAACCTTACATATCTGCATCTTGACTCCAGGCTCCTGATACTCAGTTTGCTTGGCCGCCATCCACTGAATGGTGTGTGCTGTGGCTTCTTCCCTGTCCTTGTGCATCAGTGCTCGTTGAGCAGCTTGTAGCTTCTTCCAGTGTTCCTTCTCATGGTCATTGCCATCCTTGCCTACAAAATATGGTATGCGCACCAGCCTTCCCAGATTACAAAGGTCCTTTATAATTCTGAGTTGGGATTGACATTGAGTGACGAGAGACACACCTTTGTGCTGGTATACAGTGGAGTCCCAGATGATATCAGTTTGACAATGGACACCTTGGTAATCTCAAGGGTGGCATAAAAGTTGGAGTTGAGGTTCCGCATTTCATGGACCTCATCAATGGACAAGGTAAGAAATCTGCAGCAGGACTAAAGGCACATAGCTGCTTGGCCATGCAAATTAATTGAATGTGTGGCATCAGATGCCTTTCCACTGTTGTGACCTGTGGTGCCTTTGCAGGTATCAAACACTTTGCCGCTCATGGTCATGACCTGTTAAATGTGTCATATGGGCCTGAAACTTTAGCTGGCTGATGGTTCTCACTGAATGTGTCACCAGGATGATATGGTGAATCAAGGGTGTGGTTGACATGGCCCATGGCCCCTTCCAGAACTCATCAAATGCTATCCCAGCTGTCAGATAGAAGTAGATCTCTACAGCTTTGGGGGCAAAGAATGTGCACAACTCAGAATACCATTGGTTGATCAGTGAGTTTGGCACAATGATGATGTGGGGGAGGTTGGGGATGCTAGGTTGTCCTGAAAAAAAGGGATGTTCCTCTGTGACAGAGAATAGCAAGGTTAACAATTATTGACAGCATGACGCAATGGCTCCCCATGAGGACCGCATGCTCATGTCACACCTACACCCATGGGTGCTGCAGTTCCCTCAGGGTAGCAATTGCATGAGATGAATACTTACTGAGAATTGATGCATTGTGCATGTGCATGAGGTTAATGTTAATGTTGGAAGTTACACCTGCTGGTCTGCCTCTTCCTGCAGCAACTTCCTGCACCCAGTGCGTGTCAATTATGAATGTGATGGTCCCCATCATGAGTGCTGTCTTCCCTATTCCCACTTCATCAGCGATGAGAATTCCAGGCATGTCTCCTTCTGTTTCATTGGATAACCAAATCTTATTCACAACTGCCAAGACCCCAACACACTGATGCCACAGCAGTGACAATTGTTCCATATTGTTGTTCTCCTTGATAAACTTCTTCAACATGTCCTCCTCCCATGTGCAGAGACCACTCTTCGACTGAAACTCAGCGAACAGCATGGGCTTCCCTCCAGGGAATTGAATGAGGTGATTCAAGGTTTCATTATCCATCTCTTGCCATCCATCAACACCAAGATCTCCACTTGTATTCTCCCAGTCCTCCATCTCCAGTAGAGACATCACCAGCTTCCAACTCCACCCTAACTCTCACCGACGACTCTACCCTCACTGATTACTTCTCGGTCATTGACCAGGTAGAAACAAGTGCTCTATTTGAATCCGCCATCACCTCCCAGCAATACGCTATAGAGATAGACCGCCTTCTTGGGGAATGAGGGGCAATATCTAGCGGCCTCATTATCAGGATTATTAGAGATGCCAGCCTTATTGATCGTACTGCTGCTCTCCTGGATGATGAGCATCATAAAACCATTTTCCACCATCTTCATATACATATTCGCAATACTGCGATCCACCTCCTGCCTGAGGAGACTAGAGATGCTATTAGAGAAGCTATCCATATCGTCACCGAGCGCATTGCCCTCGACCTGGTTGCATGACCACCATCCCCTCACATCACTATTCCGGTCTTACCACCAGCTCCTACTACGACTACTGAAGAGCATCAGGGTGATAATATCCCTCCTATTACTGTACTTGACGTACCAACTACTCCTCCTCCTAACCCCATCGCACGCACCACATGCAGACTCCTGCTTAAACGAAGATCCTCTCGTCTCGCCGCTAAACGAACAACTTCCGCATCCCCAACTAAAACAGCGCTTAAGCAATCTAGATCACCTTCTCCCCCAAACCAGTCCTCCTCCGTCACTGTCATGAAAACACCGCCGATCGACAACATCGTATGTTGCAATTGCCACGTCGCCGGACACTGTCACAAGAACTGCCCTGCATATTATTGCAGAGTCTGCAAAGAGTATGCACCCAGCCATTTGTCGGTCTTCTGTAGAGAGTTGAAAGGAGAAGCAGTTATTCCACTGGTATGGACTGACGTCGGTTTCTACGACACTCTAGCTCGATGGGAGATCGAGCAGGATGCTATCACCCACAGCACCGAGATGGCACAATCTATCTCCGAAGAGCAGGACGATCTGCTCTATTCAAACTACGACGCCAACCCCATTTACTGGGCTAATCAAGATAACTGAAGTTGGTGACTTCATCCTTAAACGGGGGGTAATGTTACAATCGTGTCTACCCCTATCTCTTTTCTTCACTTCATTTGTGTATTACGTCATGACCGTGCCTCACAGCGCCATCATTAGGCTAAACCTTTCATCATATCTGTATTACATCACGACCGCAGCAGCCATCGCTAGATGACTCACCTTTCCGATGACGTATGCCTTATCTCTGACTTGTCTTGATGACGAATACATACTGGCCCTAAAGCCACTACATCTATAAAAGCTCAGCCATGTACTTAGCAGATCTTTACTTTAATCTACTAGGTTTTACCTGAAACATCCTTCACTTAGGACCCCCAATCCTAAGTGTCTGATATCAATATTCAAGTCGGAGACACTCTCTCTAACTTGTCTTAAGAAGCCTCACATTTGCGAGGTCTTGACTCAACTGCAGACATTACTCTTATCGAGTATCTGTCGTTGCACCTATCCTAGTTCATCGTAACACAATCTCCTTCATAGCAGTCCCAGTTTATACCTTCATGACATCCACCAGTCTTTATATATTCACGCACTCCTTGTGCCTTATTCCCATGCTTTGTGCTCCTACACACTCTGTATTCCCGCACACATGCTCATCGCACTTCACCAGAGTTGACCCAGTGTCACTTTGTGGATCTTGTTTTCCTTGCTTCCCCTGATGGTCAAACATATCACCTGGCACACTTCAACCAACACTTAGAGAGTTAGAGGCTTTTCTCTCACTCCAGAGTGAGAGCCTTCTTTCTTTCTTCTGCTCTGCAAGCCAGCAGAGTTTTTGAACCTTCAATGGTCTACAACTTTTCTTCTTTCATGGTAGATAATGTGTCATTTGTAGGAGGTTACCTGCTATATAGCCTAGTGCTTTTATTCTACCTGGTTGTAAATGGGGTTCTACAATGGAAGTCTAGCTTTATCTGGCAAGACAGATAATGTAGAATATGTAAATGAGTTTTATTTAGTCTTGTACTTGACTGGACAAAAGAAGAGATTTTGTGAGTGGGTCTTTCTAGTCCTAGGATCAACTAGATAGAAAATAATAAATTAGTGCATACTATGCACAAAAATATGCAGCAAATACTGCTGGGAGCTTCCCCTGCCTTGATATACTAAAGGACTTATAGAAAGGAAGATAAAAAGACTAGTTGGATTGTCCTTGCCTAGATTGCAAAGGAGTTAATCCAGGAGGAATAAATGAGCAGAAGATAGGCAATAACCTAAGCTTTTATATGACTTTTCTTTAAAATACCATATTTTTGCATGATTGGAGTATGCAAAGTGAAATATTGCACTTGAGTCTATACTCAAAGTACATTTTGTGTAGTCTGAGGACTTGTCATATCTGCATATCCAGATCTTAGATCTGATCCACATCTTATCCCCATCAAACATCTCATCATCCAATCTGTCCACTCATCTGGTCTGGTCCATAATTCATCCGAATCCACAACCAGTGCTCATCTCCTTTTGGTAATCCCCTGACTCTGGTACTTCAGTTATCTGTATATCTGTCCTGCTCACTGATCCATTACCTATGCTTCATTTCTGTTTCATTATTTGTGATCCATTCCTACTTACCAATAGACTATCCATATGCTTCATACATAGCCTTGGATCCTGCTGATTGATCATTCCGTTAGATACCTATAGTATATAGCCTCCTGTAAATCTCTGTAACACCTCAGTTCAAATATCATCTTAGTTCTGCTCATTCCTGTCCTCTGGACCTCAGTATCTCTACTCTCATCACCCTCTGAGACTTAGGATTGATTCCTATAGTCTATCAGTATCTGCCTCTGTCTATGACAGTCCACTACCATTTGTTTCTAGTCCAGACTCATCTGGATTAGCCTTACAATACTTATCCTGCATCCGGAAGTCATCCAGATCCACTACACTACTCATCCAACCCTCTGGATGTGTTAGTCTTGTCTTCCTGAAATAAGGGGCAATACTCGGGTAAGGGGCACAGTGCATAAGCTGAGGCCAAAGCCCTTAGGATCCATTTAGCCTTGAGTATGACCTTAACAGGACTAAGCTAACAGACTATGGAAATATGGGCTGATATGTCATATATATGTTCTGCATGATTTCCCAAATCATACAGGACAGTGAGTAGGCATTTGTTTGATATTGTTTTAGATTAACATTCCTTTGTTTATTAGACTATGTGGTACATTTTCACAAGTCCCTCAAGTGCATATGTGTTAAGGTTGTGTGCTCAAGGGGGTCAGATCACAAGGGCTTGGCCTCAGCTCATATACTGTACCCCTTGCCTGAGTATGTGCCCTTAATTTCCGGGGGCTAGAACAGTCATCTGGAGTTTCTAGGATTTGACTAGGGTGGACAACAGACATCCAGATCTGAAATGTGAGATAAATCTGATGGATGTCCAGATGTTACTTGGACAAGCAGATAAGACTAATCTGGATAAAGTCCAGACTAGAAAATAACAGAGGATAGACTACCCTAAGGTAGAGCCAGAGATGTAGTCTAGGATACAATCCTCAGACTCAGAATATGACAGGAGACTTGGCTCAAGTCTGGAGGACACAGGAATGAGCAGGAACTAAGATGATATTCAAACTGAAGTATTTCTGAGAGTTACAGCAGGTTTATATACTGTAGGTTTCATATAGGAATCAGTCAGCAAATACAAAGGCTATGTACAAAGCATATGCAAAGTCTATTAGTAAGTAGGACAGATCACCAATAATGAATACTGGAAATGAAATGTATGTAACAGATCAGTAATCAAAGGAAAACATAGTTAACCAGAGTCCAGAGACAGGGGAAGTCTAAATGGGGTTAGGCACTGATATAGGGTTTGGATTCCAGAAGGAAGATAAAGATAGATCAGATCATTGGAGATATCTGGAGAAGCAGATTTAGAGTTGAGAGTCTGGAATGGCATATGACAATATGGAGGGAAGACATGTGTGACACACCTGTAATGCTACTCTACATGACATGACCACAGTGGAAGCCACACATATTGCCTATGGCTGCTTACAGGTTTGATTGCTTCAAACTTACATGCTGATAAGTTACTCAATTTTATTCAGGTTTATTTTGGTATCAGTGCTACAAACACTTGGTATGAAATCAATATGCCAATAAATAGTGACACTAGACCGATTGGAGGCTACTGGCTTAAGTATTGCATATTAGCTCACTTGTGATTGTTATAATATATACAAGGTCCCTGTGTTTCAATACATTCAAGTAAGACAGTCTTGTCTGGGGCCTTGACTTTGCCAGTACTCCTTCCTCACTGTCATATCTGTCCCAAATCAATGCTTACCACCCATACTAGTATTTAGGAATTTTGTCTATAACATGGATCTGTTGCATGCTAGATAGTGACACAGCAATATCTAAAATTCAAGCCAATCATCACTGGCAGGTCACCCTAGACCTCACCAACACACACCAGTTGTGGCCTTTTAACCCCTATTAGTTGCAAGATGTATATCAGAACATGCCTACAGAAGCAGTTATGGCTAGCTTTAGTTCCTAGGACATTTTTTGAACCAAACCATCCTGATAATGCCAGAGCAGCATACCCAGCACTGCTCTGACTCAGGGTCATACATTGATGATTGTTGTGTTCATCACCTATGCATTTGATGAGATGCTCCTTCAAGACATCAACTGCCAAGAGTGCTATCTAGTCCCTCTCAATTGTGCTACTGTCAAGGAATCAACATAAATTCTATAAGTTTTGTTTTATGCTTATGTTAATCTCATCCTTATGTAGCTGGGTTGTTTGTAAGGGGAAAGGTTGATAAAAATCAATGGTATGTCATTCTGCAACTAGAAGATTTCAAGTGACTCAGTCATGGACCATGTTGAATTTGCTGTCACTGGCACTCCTACTAATGACAACAATAACAACATCTATATGCAGAGTAAACCTTGTGTTTCTCACTCCCTTATCATACCTCCTGGTCCTGACATGCCCTCTACTGGTATACAGGCCAATGTCCCTTTGAAACTCAACCACCTATACATAGTGTAACAACACCCTATTCTTTGCAATGCCCTCTGATAATAACACTCCTACATTACCAACCACTCAGACTGAGTCAACTACCACTGTCACTCCCCTCATGCACCATATAAATACAGACTTCCATGCTAGTAAGCACACTCACACTGTATCTCCTACACCTGATGCTCCTTCTAACACAAATGGAAACAACACCCCCTCTCCACCCAAGAATATCACCTCTAATGTAACCTTCACTACCAATGCAGACAAGTGGCCCAACTTAGAGTGACCTGCTCAACAGCCTACTCTCTCTAGTCAGTGGAACTATCTCCAATCCAACTCTTCCATGATGATGGAAGTCTCAGGTGTATACTGAACATAACTCCAAGAAGGAAATCTAACTTACTGCCCATCCTAGTTAACAGGGTGAGGACCCTAGAAAGTGGCTACAAAATCACAGTCACCCCAGCAGGTGGCTTCCCAATCCCTCAACTGGGCCAATCTACCTGGCACAACATCTCTCAAATTCTAAAAGAGAAGGTGCCAAAGCATGGGTGAGAACTTACAGGGCCAAGTATGAGAGTAATGCACAAGGCACTGTTGCAAAGCCGAAGGACATGATCACTAAAATTGTTGGTGAATCAGATGCTGAATTCTTAATCATTAGCACCCCACTGCAGCAATAGAGCTTATTGAATGCCTTCCACCTCCATGGCACTTCCTGATCCTGGGGATGTCACCTGAAGCAATTGAGAGGCTTCTCCACCTCCATGTATGCTCCTCTGTGGACATATCTTGTTTCTTCATCCCTTTCAAGCAACCCCTTCCCACCTACATATTTACCCTAGAGAACTTTTCCTTCCCAGACTCTGAATCTACTGATAAAAAGATTGCTGAAATTATCAAAGACACCATCCACTCTAACTGAGATGTTATGCAATTCATTGATGACAATATCCCCCTCCCAGATGCGGAAGCAGCCCTACATACTATAGAATCAGTAAGGGTTTTAAGCTTGAGCCTTATCCTCTCAACAATGGTCAAGGAAACTATCTGAAATGTCTATTTCAATTCCCCCCCTGCCTTTACACTAAAGCAATACTTCAATTGGACTAATATAATGCACATGTTCTTCTACTTCTCTGAAAACTACAGATATGGCACTGCTTGTCAAGATGCCCAATTTGTCTATATAAAATATAGGTCCTTTGACCATCTTACAGGCTTATGCCTCTTCCTGAGAATCCCTGGGCAGTTCAGCTCATCCATTCCAGAAGATGTGGACAATTCCAATACTACCTTAGATAATCATGCCATGTCCAGCCATGGCAGGGGAGCCTTCAATGACAGTCCTAGCTGTGGGAGCAGAAGGTTTACCAGAGATTATACCCATGGACACACCAAGAGAGGTAGAGGAAAGACAAACTAATCTCCTGAACACATTGATTTCCATAAGCTAAAATAGTGTCTTGAGCTCCTAACAGCTCCTGTATATACTATACCCCTCTGTATCACATGTACCTACAACATGATATATCCTTCAATCAAATCCTGTCATGATTCTCTCTATATATAATGATAAAGGGAGGCCTGTCCAAAAACCAGAACAGGTTCACAACACAACATGGATAAGTCTACAGGAGCTCAAATTTACTGCTAGAACAGGAAAGCTCCAGACTGTAAACTTGAAACAGTGGCCTTTTTAGGCCAGGGATGTGCTGAGATGCTGAAATCATGGATGGGCCTTTTTTATCACCTTATTGAATAAAAGGCTCCCCTACGACATAGTTCCTCCTGGGATAATCCAATGTGGTCCACTGCTATGGTTAAGGCATGGTGCTATATTTTAATTGCTAACACTATAACACAAACATCACAATCAATTAACACAGTCTACATACATAGCAATAGTTACAGGTCCCACAGATCCAAAGAGGGATGCACTTTGCCCATCAGCCATCCCCTTGAGGAAGGAACAGCAGGTTATAGAGATAGGCACCAGAACACTGTTACTGATCTACGATCTACCTTCTTCCCCTCTAGCTGCTAATTCTCAAACCTCCAATGAACACACCACTCAATGCAACAGCATAGTCTATGAAAATGAGTCCCATCACTCTTCCAGAAACTCATGACCCTTACATGGGTCAAGCACATGATACAAGCACAAAATGTTGTCCTAGAGGCAAAAATTCACATGTGAACATTAAAGTCACAACCCTAAACATGAGGGGAAGATGGTATAATAGTACCGATAAATGATCTAACATCAACCAGATTATGAAGGATCAGAAACTTGGCATACTGGCACTGCAGGAAACTCACCTGACCAAGGAAGATGAATCCACCCTGAACTCTACCCCTGGATTAAGAATCCACATTACATCTTTCATAGACCCAACCCAAATGAACACCAAAGGAGTAGCCATAGTCATGAATAAAAACCTGGTTAATACATCAGGAATCAAAGTACACAACCTCATACATGGCCAGGCCCTATATATTATCATTCCATGGCAAAAAGATGACACCCTTGAGATTCTTGTAATCTATGTCCCAAATGACCCCCAAAATAACCAATATTTTTGGAACTATGTCTTCTCAAAACTCTGAGGTCTCCCCAAGCGAGACATTATGCTCAGAGACTTCAACCTAGTTGAAGACTCACTAGACCATCTCCTCCCAAAACATGATACCCAAGGCCCTATCTTAAAGCTCAATGAGCTTAAAATATACCTTAAACTTAGAGATGGCTGGTGAACAGAACACCCTGACCTGCTTTAATACATCTTTGCCCAATCAGCACAACAAGGCAGTCACCAATCCCATATAGACTGTATTTAGACCATATCTACATTAAGGATGAGTTTTTCCCATTTAGTCACAAATGAAATATATCCCCCAAGGCCTACATACCAATCACTAACTTGTCTCAGCTAGAATATTAAGCAAAACAATGCCCTTTGTTGGTACAGGAAGGTGGTCCATGCCCCTCTTCATTCTGAAAGACAAGAAACTTAGCAATAAGATTATTGAGCTGGGTAAAACCCTTCAACAAGAAATTACCTCATCAAAAAATCAATAAACCATGGAATCCAATCCCCAGGCTGTGTTCAACAGATTCAAAAACAGCACAACCAGCTTATGCTGCATAAATACTAAAACACTAATACCTATGAAGGAGAATAAACTGTCAACCCAGCTCAAAGCTACCATGAACGACCCAGTGGTGCAATAATCAATATTTGGTCTGATTTTAATATTATTTACATATATAAACCCACATAACATCATGAACTTTAACATAATTATCATAAAGCCCATCTCCTTTGCTCAACAGGATAATATTCTTATTCTCTGCTCCTCTAGTTTATCTATGAGGCAAATTGCTTCCAAAACCCTGACATCGCAAGACAACTACCAATATGGTTCCATTAGATGAATTGAATAAACTCAACAATCACCTGTATGCAAATTGCTTGAGGGAAAAACACCTCATCACCTCAGTAGGTCAAATAGAGACAATTGCCACTAAGAACTCACTCCTCCACAGACAACACAAGAACTGCCCTTGTAATCCCTGCTCACAAGACTGAACCCTCCTGAACTGCAACAAACCTTTTAAATGTGCAAAACTAGCAAAAGACATACTTCTGTGTATCCTTCTGAAATGGCACTCTAAAACAAGCTCACCCCCTTATTCTCTCAACATAGTGCCAGAGTAGCTCACTGGGAATGAAGGTAATTACAATAAATAACAAGACAAGATCTTCAATCCTATCTTCTTCTCTCCAGACTCTCTAGAAACTGGTTTCTGGGCCTTTGTACTACTGGACTCCTCCTGCAGCTCATCAGCCTATCAGTCTCCTACACTACCCAGTGTACTCCCACAATTAACCAGCATCATCATCACTGGCACACACAAAGGAGATAGAGATGGTATCTATATGTCAGGAGATGGTGTAGAGAATGAGATTCCTCTAGGCATATATCATGCATATTTCAACTCCTGACGATTGGTACAGTGTACAACTCACTCCCTATGACTGCCCTGCAAAACATGCTAGAGGTGTGACACTTTCCTGCACTATGTGACACATTCCCATGCATGCACCTTGCATGCTCTTCCCACAATCAGTTGCACTATGTTGCACAGTATCCTGGAACTTCCATCCATTGTCCAACCAGTTCCCTGGTGCATCCCTTCTTGTTTATTCTCATTATCAGACCATATCTGGCATTGTACGATACTTTATTTCATCATGGACTCTTACTTTACCTCACTTACATACATACAGTGCTCCCTATTTACTTCTGAGCTGTCATATCTGCATATCCGGATCTCAGATCTGATCCACATCTTATCTCCAATCCTATCCACATCTTATCTCCCTTCAACATCTTGTCATCCATTCTGTCCACTCATCCGGTCTGGTCCACAATTCATCTGAATCCACAACCAGCGCTCGTCTCCTTTTGGTAATCCCCTAACTCTGGTATTTTGGTTATCTGTATATCTGTCCTGCTCCCTGATCTGTTACCTATGCTTCATTTCCGTTTCATTATTTGTGATCCATTTCTACTTACCAATAGACTATCCATATGCTTCGTACATAGCCTCGGACTCTGCTGATTGATCATTCTGTTAGATACCTATAGTATATAACCTCCTGTAACTCTCTGTAGTACCTCAGTTCAAATATCATCTTAGTTCTACTCATTCCTGTCCTCCAGACTTGAGTATCTCTACTCTCGTCACCCTCCGAGACTTGGGATTGATTCCTATAGTCTATTGGTATCTGCCTCTGTCTCCAACAGTCCATTACCATTAGTTTCTAGTCTGGACTCGTCCGGATTAGCCCTATGATACTTATCCTGCATCTGGAAGTCATCTGGATCTGCTACGCTACTCGTCTGCCCTTCCGGACATGTTAGTCTTGCCTTCCTGAAATAAGGGGCAATACTTGGGTAAGGGGCACAGTGCACAAGCTGAGGCCAAAGCCCTTTGGATCCAGTTATCTCTTGAGTATGACCTTAACATGAGCCCTGGGAGTGCACCTAGGCATAGCTTACCTGTTGCCTAGGAAGTGTGCAAGTACTTAGAACCACCAATCACCTACCACCATAGTCATCATCTGGAGTTAGAATCTATCATGAGTTAGCATCCCTCAGTCATTACCCTAGTCCTCAGCACAGTCTACCATCATCAGTCACTATTCAGCAGCCTCAGTTTATGTCTTGATGACATTCACCAGTCTTTACACATTTACACACAACTTGTGCCTTATTCCTACACTTCATGCACCTATGTGCTGCATATTTCTGCATGCACTTTCATCACACTTCACCAGAGTTGACCTGGTGTCACTTTGTAGATCTTTGCTTTCCTTGCTTCCCTCAAGGGTTGAACATATTGCTTGGCACATTTCAATCAACACTTAGGGAGTTAGAGGCTTTTCTCTCACCCCAGAGTGAGAGCCTTCTTTCTTTTTTCTGCTCTGCAAGCCAGCAGAGTTGTTGAACCTTCAGTGGAGTATGGTTTGGCCCTAATGATCACCAAAATACCTCCATCAATTCCCAGAATATCTAGCCACCCTCAGCACTGGAGAGATAGGAGCCATCCTATCAGCTGTAGCCCTCATGTCTGTAACTGTGCCCTTACAGCTCATGATTAAATCTCCTAATCTCTGGAAGAACTTAATGACAAACCTCATCAGACAGGGAGACACAGACTGGTTGGACCATCCTAACAAAGACTTAATGATATCATTAGTCACAAAACTGAGAGCATAATGTGCACTAACCACTCTGGTAGATATTGATGCACCAGTAGATACAACCAACATTAAAGAAGCCACTGCCCTTGCAAAGTCAGGCATAATGAAAGATGTACATGATAACATCACAATAACAATTGACTTACTACTCAGACTGTCTGGTACAAAACTATGCATGGGAACCCAGCACCTCTTCTACAAAACAATAAGAAACTTGCAGATATCTATGAAATAACAAAGACTGACCACTATGAACATGGTGATGACATTGTATGCAGTATACAATATTAATGGAGTAGCCCCAATGACTGACTAGGTCTGGCTCTTAATTCAGAGCTGAGACATTCTGAGAAATGTTTGTGGATTCCTATGAAAAAGCCTACATGGTGCCTATAAAATAGGTAAGTTCTGGGATAAAATCCCACACTGTGAAACCAGGGGACTATGCAGCCTTTGCAACTCACCAGAATCCATGGAGCACATTCTCCTCAACTATGACAAGTCCCCAGCATCAGGTATAACCTGGAAGGCAGCCAGTGATCTATGGTGCAAACACAAGTCAAGTTGGCCCAAAATACAGTTCAGTACAATCCTGGGATGCAATCTAGGAATGCTCCATGATGTAGAAGGGAAAGAGAAACTGGGAGTGTCCAGACTGTTCAAAATCTTAATTTTGGAATCTGCACACCTTTGGAAGCTTAGATGTGAAAGAGTGATTAAAATCAGCAGAGTTAAGGAAAAATTTCATTCTGAGACCAAAATCCTCAATAGATGAATCTATACCATTAACATGAGACTAAAGTTTGACAGGCTACTCACCAACTCAATGAGATACAGAAAGAAAGCTACAAAATAGACATGGTCCTAAAGACCTGGAGTGGCCTTTTAAAAAATGAAGATAACCTTCCTGATAACTGGATCCGAGAATCAGGGGTTTGAGTGGGTACAATGCCTTGCCATCCCCCAGGATGTAATAGGTAAATCTGAACAAGGCATTAATTTTCACACTGCATCTGCATACATAAAGTATTTCCTCTGGGTGACTATTCTATTCACTAAAGTGTATGAAACCCCCATGCCCCAAATGTGTCTGCTAGAATTAACCTTATCAGTTGCTAGTTAACAATATTGTTCCACCAAAAAATAAAAATAAAAATAAAAGTTCCTAATATCCTCCTACCTAATGTTAGCTGGTGTTGTCCATGATACACATTAAGGCAAGACTCATGGAGGTGGCTGTTACGAACTCAGATAGAGCGTTGTTCCAATAAAGGAGTCAAGATCAGGGTTGATCAAGGACAAGGCCTTATCAAGTCAATGCCACCCTCAGGAGCGATTGTCTAGACTCCCGCAGGATCTAGAGTTCAAAGAGGACGCAGGCTAGCCTCTTTCCCAAGGAGCTAGAGTTTAAGTTATCAAAAAGAACCAAGTAGATTCAAGTTAGAGAAAATACAAGCAGTAACTAGGATTTATATACATAAAGGAATCGTGCACAGACCAAGTTGGGTGAAGGGTAACAAGTACTAAGAAAGGAAGGTTCATGGGAAAACAAAGTATGAGTCAGAGATGAGGAAGACCATGAGGAAACAGCAAGGTGAAAAGGAAGCATCAGAAGTATAGCCATAAGGTGTCCGCAGTGATAATGAGAAAAAGAATGGGGCACTGTAACAGTGGCCATAGTGATATGTATATGATAAAGATCATAATCCAAATCTTCAATCTACTATAGACAGTTATACAAATTGAATCATTAAGGTGATACATAGCTCAATATAGGTGGATATCAAACCTACTGGATGCTTTCCTGCAGGTGCTGAGGATTCCATGCCTTTTGACACTGATACTTCTGGCATATCCTGCACATGTTCTTCACAGTCAGTGAACATATTGACTTGTAGATTTGTACACACACCTTGTCATTGGAAAGTACAGTCACTTTCTATTTGCCCTTCCTGTTAAACCTTTGAGCATGAGAATGTGAATGCATGACTATTGGTGATGACTGTATGGCAGTATTAAGAACTGTTGTGCTCAAAGAAGAGAGAGACTGACTCAGAGGGGCTTGGCCTCAGCTCATACACTGTGCCCCTTACCCAAGTATGTGCCCTTCATTTCATATGAGGTCCAATGATGGTCTGATGAAGTCTGGAGGACTTCTGGAGGAGCACAGGAAATGTCTGGAGGAGTGTGGGAGAGTTCCGGAGGAATGCAGGAAGTGCTCAGGAGAGTTCCCACTGCAAGGTAACACTTCTACAGGAAACAGGACGGAAGGACAGGAGGACAGAGGATGGAGGATGGAGGATAGAGGGCAGGACATCCAGAGGCCTGGAAGGAACAGGGGCTACATTGGATGGAGTCCAATGTAGAAACAAACAGAGGTAGACTACCCTAAGGTAGAGTCAGAGAGACAGGGATTGGACCTAAGTTCAGAAAGAGGGTAAGTGTCAGAAAGGCAAAACTCCAGCCTAGGGAATCAATCCCTAGGCCTGATGGATAGGACATACTTTAGGTGCACCAAAGTCTGAGAGAGGATTGGGCAAGTAGAGCAAAGTCTAAGATGATATTCAAACTGAGGAACTACAGGAGTATCTACAGGGATTATATACTGGAGAATATCTGAGGGGATCAGTAAGCAAAGGAGCAAGGCTATGTATGAGCACATGGAAACACATTAGTAAGTAAGATGGAACATAACTAAATGAACTCGGAGATGAAGACTCATACAAGGATCAATAAGCAGGATGGACAAGAGGTAACCAAAAGCCAGAAAGGCAGAGATGTCTAAATGGCAATAGGTGCAGGATATTGGACAGAAGGTGGGAATAGGTCCAGAGATCTGGGGATCCGGAAGATGAGGTGGATACAGGACCAGGATATGAGGAGGTGGATATAGTCTGGAATCTGAGACAAGGTGAAGTCCGGATGTCTTGCTGGATGGAGTGTGCATAGGGTGGATGGGACAGGGGGGTATGGATTAGGCTAGCAGTGGAGATCTGATGGTCTGGAGCTCAGGGGTAATTAAAGATGTAGTGGTTGTGAGATACTACCAGGTGTGTTGCATATCTTGTCCTACATATTCATTAACAACTTTCAGAGAGCAATGTTGATTGTGATACCAGCCTTTAGTTTGTGGAGTATCCATGCATATTTAAATGAGTCCTTGCTGAGCTCAGCATTTTCCCTTTCATTTTTGATGGTATGCTTGTTGATAGTACATTGAGTGTAGTCTCCACTCTCAATCTGACAATCTGACTACTACATATATCTCAGTGACACTTCAGCTGCCCACATATAGATATAGTAAGTCATAGTTTGCAGCCTCATTGAGTTGGACAAGCACATTAATAGGACTCAGAGTTGATTTCTAAACTCACTAAAACATTGCTAAGACTCGGTAAGACTTGGTAAACTATCAGTAAAGTTTGAGAACAAACTCGGCCATAGACAGCCAGCACAGATTGGACTTTGAAACCATACTTGTGCATTTGTGAGTGATAATGTGAGTAGTGCACATGATAAGGGACATAGGAATATAGTAACTAGTCTGTCAGTCTCCACCTGCCCAAACAACAGAATTCCAGCAGGCTATATGTACTACATGAGGAGGGGAACAATGAATAAGTACCAGGAACCAGACCCATCAGACAAGTGCATGAGTGAACAAAAAAACATGTGCTGTGGGGAGAGGGGAGGGGGGGCTCATTAATAGTGGCACATGTGCTTGGGGGAGTGGGCTGAGGGCTGATGACAACAGAATGGGTCAAGCAACTGGTAGTGGGGAGCAGAGAGAGGGCCATTGTCATCAGCGTAAGGGTCATCATAGAGGTCACCATCCAGGTCATCAACTGGACTGCCCCTGGTGCCGGTGAAATGAGGAGGGGGGTGATGTGAAGGGGGAAGGTAAGCTGGGGGACTGTGCTGAGCGCCAGTGTCAAGTTGGTTCAGCGGAGGGAGCTGAGAGTCTTGGAGAGGGGGCTGAGGGTTTGGGAGAGGGAGCTGAGGGGTCAGTTGAAGGAGGTGAGGGGTCAGTTGAAAGAGGCAAGGGTTTGGTTGAAGGAGGTGAGGGAATGGGGGAATGGGCCAAGCACCAGTAGCATATGGGCTTGGGGGAGGGAGCTGGGTGCCAGCAGCAGTTTGATGGGTGGAGGAACCAGCCCCCCATGTGGATGAATAAGCACGTAGAAATCCACAGTGTGGCTGACTCCTGGCTGGGAGGTGAAAATTTTGGCACTGCATGTTGTGTGAGTGATGGAGTTCATAGTGGTATTGGTGTTGTTGTTAGGGGAGTGAAAGTTGATGGAGTTTGTAGTGGTATTGGTGTTGTTGTTAGGGGAATGAAAGTTGATGATGTTTGTGGTATTATTGGCATTGTTGTTAGGAATGTTGATTTTCAGGGAGGTGATAGATGAAGGCACATTGGAACCAGTTGCCAGTGGTAGCATCCAGGGAGGGCAGCACAGCTGGGATGGTAGCTTGGTTGCTGTCATCTGTGACAAGTGAGACTTAGCACACTGACCATGGTAAAATTTGAAACTCTGATTTAAACTCCACTTATTGATCACACTGATCAGTTAGGGGGATGATAAGGGAACACATATCTCAATCTTGAGCCACATCATGCCTTGCCCATCCAGCCGTAAAGATCTCCTTCATGCAGTTGATAAAACTGCATTGTCATTAGCCCAACTCCAATATCAGCATGCATTGGAAGCTCAGGAATCAAGCTCTGATTCTAGCTCCAATTCCAACTCCAATTCCAACTCTGATTCAAGCATGGACATCACCTCTTCACCCACCCTTTCCTCCAGCTCCTCCAGTGAATTTTCTGATGGATCTACAGGTTCTGATGAGATCACTGCACGTCACAATTGGCTTTAGCACCAAATTGCAGCTCTTTGTGATGAGGTTGCAAGGGCTCGTGTCCTTAACAAGCCAGATGAGCCTCCCCCATGAGCTCCCCAGCTACACATGCTTGTCCATCATGAGAAACACTGCCCTTACTTATTTTGGCAAAGCTATGTGTTGACCCTATTATTTTTGACAACATCCTTGATCAAATCTCTGATCATCATATCTTTTTCAATGGATCCAATAATCCCCAACTTCCCATTTCCATTCAGCTTGCTATTTTCCTTAATCATGCTGGCCACTATGGCAATGCAATTTCTCTTGAGGATGTTGCCCAATGTGCAGGTATACAGTGGCTCAAAAAACTGTCCACATGACTTAAGGGTTATATTACCACTGTCTTTCTCAATAATATTGAGACTAGAATTTAACATACTCTTTCCTGGCTTGCTGTTGTATTTTCTGCACATGGCAATGCACCCATCAACCTCAATCTCATGCATGTAGATTCTCTCAGAGATTTTCATGGTACTTGCAATGACACATGTACTGAGCTTTGGAAACTATGTCACTCAGTATTGGTTGCATGAGGTTACATTATTTATTGCCTGCTTAATGTAGTGAAGGATTGGAAGGATGTACCCCAGAGTCTATACAGACCATCACCTCTTCTGGTCTGTTTGATTTTCTCCATCAGGGTCTTATAATCCAGGTCCAGGATCCTCCACTTTTTGCTGTTGTCATCAGGTATCTTCACCACCAAGTTCCTGTCCATTACTATTGGATGCCCAGCTGTGTACACTGGCTAGATCCTGCAGCCTTGCTATCAGTTAACATCTACACTCCCACTTCAACATCTTCTGTAGACAGACTTATATTATCCTTTGGTATGTTGCCCTTTTGTTTAATCTCACCTTCCTAATATCAGCCTAGTCATGGAAGGACTTCCTAGCCAACACAGTTTCTTGAGAGCAGGCAAATTTCCTATATGTCATGGTCAAATTCACAAGCAATGTGTGTTTATTACCACTGACTCAAACACAACCCAAACAGAGATTATGGATTAGTTTGACTTGATTCATAAGCTCCTGGAACTCTGCATCTTCAAACTCTTCCTAGAACCAACAGGTGACATCCTATTGATATTTGATGAGTCTGCACAGGAGAAGAGTGACACAACACCAGTGAATACTTCATGCCAAGCAGATTATAAGCCTAAGTATCAATGTCCATATTGTAACCTGCTTACCAATTTATTGTAGTGACATCTGCTGGTGCCTCACAATCTCTCTCTATCATAATGCTTGTCCACATACAGTGCAAATCACATAATGCACTAGTGGATGACTCTGTCAGTAATAAAGACATATCTGTCTTATTAGGTGTAACTGACTATAGTGGCCTCTGGCCTATGCTTGACCTTTGAGAGAGAAACAAGAACTAAAGAATATCATGGCATGGATAAAATTCCTACAGAAACTCCTTGTCTCTCATTCCTTAACCTACATTCTCTACTTTCATCATTTGCTATACCTTCACTTAACAAAAAATGATCTGCAGACAGCCCTTCCTCCCTGAGGACTCCCACACACAGTAGGTTCTCAGAATGGGTATGTTTTTATAACTATTCATTGTAACAAACATGATGTGAATTTCAGGATGACAATGATAGTCTTTCATCTTTGCCCCTCACCTATCAGTTGTTACGCTTGACATTCGTAAGAACGACTAGATGGAAACAAATGATCTAAAGCATGAACCTATTCATGAGTCATGTGAGTTAAGCAGTATATTGCAGGCCCTGGTCTGCATAGGTCAAGTTAAAGAATACAAGCGTAAGAGATATAGTATATATAGAGGTATTAAAGTGGAGCTTTAATAAATGAATCGGAGATGAAATGTAAATAGCGAATCAGAAAAAGAAAAGAGAATCGTACAATAGAATGTGATAGAATGTCTGAGAATGATTAGTTAAGCGTGAATAAGTGAAATGGTGAAAGGAAAAGAATAGAATTGTAGCATTACCCCTGTTTTAAGGGTAGTAGGCACCGACTACTATCAAAGAAGATGATGCAATCATTTATAATTAGTAAGGAGTTCGGAAGCATTACCTAGTTCGGCTTCCTTCATCCATTTGTTCTCAGAACTCAGGAATCCCTTCCACTTCACATAATATTGTCTTTGTGATGAAGATCCACGGTGTCCAATGACTGCTTCAACTTCGTGTTCTTCTTTGCCATCGATAAGGTCAGGAGGTGATGGAATAAAGTTAGGGTTGTGGGTATCGTTCTCTTTGTAAGGAGAAAGGAGTGCGGCATGGAATACAGGGTGAATGCGCCATTGTGTGGGTAAGGCAAGTTGGTAAGTTATAGGGGATAGTACATCAGTAATGGTAAATGGTCCTTCACATTTAGGAGTGAGTTTCCAATTAGGATATCCGAGATGGAGGTTCTTGGCTTCTAGCCAGACTTTGTCGCCTTTAGAGAATGGTATGAATTTAGATGTAATTCGTTGACACATGGTATTATGTGTGAGTTCATGGGCAGCTAGCGCTTCATCACATGCTTTATTAAGTAAAGAGAGTCATTGTTCAATATTAGGAATGTCAGATTTCAGATGGGTATCGGGGAGGTGACATGGGTGATAACCCATCATGAGGTAAAAGGGAGAGGTTCCATGTGTGGAATGATGGTGTGAATTATGGACGAATTTGGCTAATGGCAGCATGGGCACCCAACCGGTTTGGTCATTAGCACAGAAGATCCAGAGATAGACCCCAAGTTCTTGGTTTACTCGTTCAGTCTCTCCATCACTCTGAGGATGGAAGGCAGTGGAAAGGGAATTCTTGTATCCAAGGAGTTTTACAAGTTTGACCTGGAATCGGGAAGTGAACTGAGGTCCATGGTCAGAAATAATTTTATTGTAGAGTCCGTATCTAGAGAAAACTTTAGAAAAGAAAATGCTTGCGACACCTTCAGCATCTATCGTTTTGAGACAAGGGGTGAAAACTACCCCCTTTGAAAGTCCATGGTCGACCACAACCATAATAGAGTCGAATCCATCAGAAAGGGGAAGGTCTGTGATAAGATCCACCAAGCAATGAGCGAAGGGTCAGTTGGAAATGGGAGCAGGAATAGGGGTGAGAGGGGGAGTAGATGGGTGTGTGTTTACTTTATTCTGTTGGCAGATGCAACAGCTGTCTACATAGTTCTTGACAAAGGTGGCTAAACCTGGCCACCAATAGTCGTGTGAGAGAAGTTCCTGGGTTTTGAGGCGTCCAGGGTGTCCGGCGGTAGGGGAATCATGATGTAGGGATGTGAGTTCTCATCAGAGATCTCCAGGGGGTACATAAGTAAGTCCTTTAAATGAGAGAATTCTGTCGCTCAATTTCCAATCAGAAAGAGCAGAGTGGAGGGGAGGGGGAATTGAAGTGTCAGTGAGTGCTTGGAGCGCAGTATGTACTACAGGGTTGATAGAGGATGAGATACGTAGTCTGTCCATAAAAGAAGTGTCAATGACGTTGACGAATAAGGAGTCAGGAAGAAGTTGAATACTAATATTGTCCTTTTTGACACTATCATCTGGAAGGTGATCCATTCTACGAGAGAATAAATCAGAAATAATGAGTTCTTTTCCAGGTACATGCTGGATTTGAAGTTCGAATTGGGAAAGGAAAGTCTGCCACCTTGCTTGGCGTCGATTGAGGTCTTGTACATCCCTAAAATAAGTAAGATTCTTATGGTCAGTTTGTATGGTTACCGGATATGGAGATCCAAGGAGATAATGTCTCCATGCTTTCAAAGCATGGACGATGGCAAGTAACTCTTGATCATAAATCTGGTAATTTCATTCAGCAGGGTTAAACAATTGAGATAAAAAGGAGCATGGGAGCCAGTCTCCATTGTTGTTCTTTTGAAGGAGTACTGCACCGGTAGCATATAATGAGGTGTCAGTGGCGATGGCAAAAGGAGAGTTCTTGTCAGGTATTTGGAGGATAGGGGAGGAAGTAAAGATATGCTTCAGCTTATTAAAAGCTTCCTCATGTTCTGGAGTCCAAGAGAATTCTTCATCTTTCTTGGTTAGGTTGATTAAGGGTCTAGCAATCAAAGAATAGTCAGCAATAAACCGTCAGTAAAAGTTAGCAAATCCGAGGAATGATTGGACTTCCTTCACTTTTGTGGGAGTCTTCCATTTGGATATACCCATTAATTTGGCGGGGTCCATGGCAATAGAACTGGGTTTAATAATCATGCTGAGGTATTCAATGTTGGTTACGTTGAAGGTGCATTTTTCGGGTTTAAGGTGTAGGAGGTTGTTGTGAAGTCATTGAAGGACTTTGTGGGTTCAAATATGATGGGTTTCTTTGTCTCTAGAGAAGATGAGTATATCGTCCATGTATATAATGATCCATCCTTCCTGGATCATGTCTCCAAACAGATCATTCATCATAGACTGGAAGGTGGTGGGCGAGTTACACATTCTGAAGAACATGACCGTGGGTTCAAAAAGTCCTTGGGAAGTGGCAAAAGCCGCCTTCCACTGATCAGATTTTCTCATACATATGTTGTTATATCCCCATCAGATGTCCATCTTGGTAAAGATCTTGGCATCCTTTAGCTTATCTATAAGATCGGAGATTAGTGGTAAAGGGTAGTTGTTCTTAACCATGTGTTCATTCAAGTAGTGATAGTCCTGGCAGGGTCAGAGGGAACTGTCTTTCTTTCCGACGAAGAAGAATGGGGATGATTGGGGGGATTCGGAAGGAACAATCGTTCCTTTAGCTAGATGTTCATCAATGAAATCATTCATAGCCTTATCTTCTTTGGCATTAAGCAGATAGATCTTGCATTTCCGTAGTTCGAAAGATTCTTTGAGGTCGATCTTGTGGTCATACTTGTGTTCTGGAGGAAGGGTACCATTAGCTACATCACCAAATATGTCCTTATATTGTCGGAACTCTTTGGGTACGAGTTCTTTGAAGGTCTTCTTTGGTTTAGCGGCATCCTGGGTGAGTGTCTGTGAGATATTGTCAGTTTTCTGGATATAGGTATAGAAATCATCATTGTCATTGATGGGATCTAGAAGGTGTGGGAGAGTTTCATTAGCAGGGTCCCATTCGTCTTCTAGTTCTTCTAGTGTGTCATAAAAGATGTCTTCATCTTCTTCAATTTCTTTGATGGTTGCTTTCTTCAGGGTATGCTCCCTTAGGCAGACTTCTTGACTAGTCCAATCGATATCTGGGTTTTCTTTCTTTAGCCAGGTCATTCCCAGGATAGCATCTTCTCCTCCTAAAGAGGTTATGAAGAATCGTTTCCACATTGGGATATCTTTGATAAGAAAAGAAAGTTCACAGTACCATGTAATTCTTCCGGCTTTGTTCAATGTGCCATCTACGTTACGCACAGGTATCGGGGTTTCTAGTTTGTGCATGCAAATGTTCTCTTTGAGGATGAATTTCTTGTTGATAAATTCACCTTCTGCGCCACAATCAATTAGAGTGGCAGCTATGGTGGTTTTTTCGGTCTTTTTTGATCTGATGGTTAAAGGCAAATGAATAGAATTAGTATTGCCAACAGATTGTACTACTAGTCCGATTCTGGGAGTTTCTGACACTGTGGCAGGCTCCCCTAGGCAAAATCCTCCTCATCGCTACTCTCTTCTTTCTTAACTGATTTCTTACCAGCTTTCTTCATCTGGCGTGCCTTGAATGCCTTCCATTCTTGGAACTCTTTGTAATCATCATCAGATGACTCCTTGATTACCTTTCTAGTATTGGTCATAACCATGGGATGGTTAGGGCAGTCTGCAGCTAAGCCCTTCTTGCTGCATTTGAAGCAGAGGCCACCCTTGCACCTACACTCCTGTTCTTGAGGAGTAAGGTAAGTCTTCCTCATCTTCTTCTCACCGTCTTCTTCATCTATTTCTACTTTATCTATATCCATGACATAGGGGTCTTTTGCCTTGGTATAGGAAGGAGGTGCTATTAAGGTCCTTCATACCTCGACGTCTAAGGCTTTCTCTAGCCAGGATTCGATAGTAGTGGGGGTCATTTCAAAGGCATATATAGTGGAGACTATCTCGCACTTTAAGCCACTCCTAAAGAACATTATCTTGGTGTTCTCTTCGGTGATGCCGGTATCAGCTAGGATGATGCGGAACAGAGAGGCATAAGCAGCTACACTGCCAGTCTGTCTAAGGGAAGAAATGCGACAGATCGCAGTCTGTTCAACATTCTTTGGGAAGAAGGTAGATTTGAATTGCTTAGCAAAATCTTCCCAGGTTCTGTAAGTCTTTGCTGTGACAGCAGCTTTCAGTTGGCCTTCAGCCCATTTAGCAGCTTCACCTTTAGTCATAAGGCTTAGTGCAAAGATAACTTTCTTCTTGTCATTATCATATACTTCATTGTTCATATCTAGGTACACTTCTACTTGAAGCGTCCATCCCTGAGCAAGGCGGGTGTCGCCATTGAAGGGTGAAGGAGTCTTGCCAATTTCTTTAGGCATTGTGGTGGTGTTTCATTCATAGGTTTGGGTAAAGAAATTCCAAACTTTGTTCTTCAGGGCTAGGGTGGCGTAATATTCTGCCCACTGTCCTAGTGAGTATCTGGTGCCTTTGGTGTCTGCACAGAAGAACTGTTGTTCTTCTTCGTCCCAGGTAAAACCAGGAGGAGTCGGTGCAATAGTTGAAATGGTGTTCTGTTCTGGGCGCGAGTTTGAGGGAACCATGTGATAGTGAAGTAACTTGACCTTTTGTTATGCTTGGTGTTCATAAGAACAACTAGATGGAAACAAATGATCTAAAGCGTGAACCTATTCATGAGTCGTGCGAGTTAAGCAGTATATTGCAGGCCCTGGTCTGCATAGGTCAAGTTAAAGAATACAAGCATAAGAGATATAGTATATATAGAGGTATTAAAGCGGAGCTTTAATAAATGAATTGGAGATGAAATGTAAATAGCAAATCAGAAAAGAAAAGAGAATCATACAATAGAATGTGATAGAATGTCTGAGAATGATTAGTTAAGCGTGAATAAGTGACATGGTGAAAGGAAAAGAATAGAACTGTAACATCAGTTGCAGAGCATAATTAATGACTTGAGAAAGAAGATTGATAACTTGAAAGTGCTCAATCATGATATTGAGGATGAAATGACCAAATACAAGCTGCATTTAAAAGGCCAGAGGGAACACAATCAAGTCCTGGAGAAAGAGAGACAATGTCAGAAGGACCTCCTGGACAAGAGCTACCAAAATAATAACAAATGCATTCAAGTGTGTGTATGTGTGTGTATGATTGTCAAGCTTCATGTAGAAGTACAATGGCTTGAGGCAGATGTGTAGGAAAAGCAACAGACTATTAAGAGAATCATGGACATAGTAGTAAAGCTTCAGGGGTGGAGTGTCTAGCATTAGCTATTGATTAGATAGGACAGTGATGGCAGTCATTAAATGTGATTATTCAGTTACTTGTCTCCAACTTATGATGCTTCAAAGTGAACTTTAATAAATTGCACAATACACTATCAAGTGTGTGATACACAGCATCCAGTATATGATATAACATTAAATGCATGACACACATCAAGTGCAACCAGCTACTCTATTAAACTGGATGGCCAAAATCTTCAAAAGTGGGCTCAACAATCAGGTATTGCATGAGATCATCAGCCATATGAGTGATGAGTTTTCACTTATAATCAAAAGCACTTTGAGCCTTGACAATATATGATATGGCACTCCAGCAGTCTAGGTTGATCTCTCTGATATTGAGTTTTGTGAAGCATTTGACAGCATCCATGTGAGGTTGAGAATTTCATCCAGTCAACAGAATTGGACATCACTTCAGATGCCAACAATCATTCAAAGAAGGAAATATAAAGTAAAATGTTCCAATGCTCTTTGGCATTTGGATGGGTACCAGGTATCTGTGACCCTGGTAGCTCATCTACTTTCCTCACATTAATCCTGGTTTGAAGATTATTTTATTAGTGACATAAATATTACTATTTAATCTTCCATACTTCCTCTACCTATGTCTTTTCTAGTACCATACTATTGCCATGTAGCTTTTATTGCATATATATTGCTACCCTGACCAAACCCATCCTCAATATAATGTACTCCCTTAATAACAATTCACCCATTATGATACTCCAAAGCAAACTTTGATAAATTGCATGATACATAGTATCAAGTGCACAATACAATCTTTGCTCAGGCCTTGATGTCATCTGATGACAATATCAGGAAATTCCAAGTGATTCCATAAGTATACTAAGTAGAGTCCAAGAGCAACAAAAATAACTAAAAGTTGTCAGCATTGGCAACCAAGCCTCAAATCTTTTGAGGCCTGGCCAGTACTAGTAATGGGTGTATGGTGGGTCAAATGCACTACAATTAAATCACCTACATGCACAGTTTTCAGCATGAGCTTCAAGTCTACATTATAGGTTTTTGTGCCACACTTGGACACTGTTAAGATCCTGCTGCAATAAGGTCTATTTAAAATAAAACATTATTTGCCTTATCTGCAGGAATCCACCAGAGTGAGATCTTCCCCAGGGATGTAGTAGCATTGCATCACACTATCTGCAGTTTTTGCTATGCATCTCATGGTGACAGTGCCCTATGGTGCTAGACCATCCAGGCTGATAAAGGGATTAGGGCATTTGGTCTGTACCACCTATTTGCTTAACCTACCCCCATGGAAATTGTGAGACTTTGAACAGTGCACAATAAGAAAAAAGGATGTAGAAAATTCATGCAACCATGATAGTGGGCTTGCATCATAATTGAGCCAATGTTGCACTGTACCCAGTAAAGACATACTAGGTTTTTTGTAGATTTTTAAGCAGTGGTGTTGACAATGTCCTGGATGTCACTGTTGTTGACAGCCCAAGGATTGGGTGTTACAGATACTGGTCATTATTGGGTGATGAGGGGTATATATCCTGGAGCTCAGACCAAGAGGTCCAGGCAATGCCAGATAAGGAATCTGACATACCTGGGTTGACTCTAGAAGGGGGTAGTCTCTCAGGTGGGGTATTATGCTTTGGGCACTTGGTAGTACAAAGGACCATTTGCATAACTTGTAGCAAGAGATTATGTCATGATAGTCAAGTATGGCACCATTAAGCCTTATGTCATATCTAATGAATGTTAGTAAACTAATGATATGGAATACAGAGGAATTCACTGGGTCACAACATTGCAGGATGGAAGCAATATTTGATGCTAGCCTAGGATAGCAACTGTGCATTTGTTGCTATGTATGTTGCATAAGGTACCTCTGTAGCCTCTCTTCTTCCCCCCAATGATGTAGACCTCTTTGCCAATGTGAGAGTAGAACATCTTAATGGTTGCATTATGGACTTTTATTGTGAATCTAATTGGTATCTTAATCTGTGAAAAATCAGGAAACACACTGCTTAAGATTGAACTTGACTAATAGCTGAAAGGTCATTATCAGACCTAAATACCAACAGGCTTTGGGAAAGTTGGAACTTTTCACAATGCCTCATAGTGATAGAGTCTCCTGGCTTGATGTTGATGTCAGTCATGAACTGATTAGCTGGAATGTGAGATCTGTTGAACAATAACATTGATCCTTTTGGCATAAGGTATGGAAAATCCATGGGGGGGATTAAGAATCTGATAAACTTGTTAGTTTGGTTAGGATCAAAGACATAGGTGATGTTACCTTTATATTTCCCACCTATGATTTGGACCTGCAAGGGATTAGAAAGTTTAAGGGTGGTGTATTTGAGGGATTTAGCTTCTTCTTTGGAAATACATTCCCATTTCCTAATGCATGAAATATGGGAGTAAGGAAGGGATGTGAATATCATTTTGGGACTGTCAAAGATGATATATACCTGCCCTGGAGACCAGAGTGACACTTTGACTGAGAAGTCTTTCTTTTTGAAATGGTTGGCCACAAATTGAGTGATGGTCTCTGCATAGTATTGAGTTAAGGGCTATACAATTCAACAAAATGAACTTATTTGGAACATACAACAAGTACATCTTTTTCTCAATGTGAATCTTTGAGGAGGTGGACGTGTTACCTGTGTATTTGTCTTCAAGTCTGTCAACTGCTGCTGCAACCTTATGCATTGGGGCTAGAAACTGTGTAACACTTTGGATGCATAACAATGAGCTGATAATAAGTTGCCTGTCTTTAATAATGAGGTCTTTTTCCTTATCCTTTTCATCTTTGTCCTCTCCTGCTTTGAGATCAAGGACAATACTCCTAGGCTGAAGTACATGAGCATATGAATATGGATATGTGCTGAGAACTGACTGGATGGCCAGGATTACAAATTAATTTCCTTGAAGTGGCAAGTACTTATCCTCATGAGTCAGAAGTTCACGAGGGATAATTCATTGTCCACATCTTCTGAAAACAAAGCTTCTATAGCCTCCAATCAATCATCTGTGACAAATTGGTCATTCAAGTAATCATATATCATATTCAGTATCTTGCAGTTGTGGATGTCAAGAAGGACTCAAAGATGTCCCATGCATGGGGATCTCCCAACAGTGAACCCAGATTTGAATTGGTTGTGTTGACATTAGATAGGACATCATGTAGTTTGTAGCAACTTACTTAGATTTCTGGCATATTTAGCATGAGGTTCATCATCTGAATCAGAGGCAGATGCAGCTCATTTAGACATTGCTAAATGTCCACTTTAATATAGAGTAGACAACTGTACTGCATAGTGTAAGTCTAATCTACTGACTATGTTCTAATGTTTATAATACTGTGATGAGATAATAGAGGAAGAAAAGAGAGTTGTAATCACAAAGGTTGGCATTTTATAGGGATGACCTTTTTGGGCAGCTTACAAAATAATATTGGTGAATGTGGAAAAGCAGCAGTGAACTCAATGCACAATGGGAGGCAAACAAGTGAACAGTTTAGGTAATCTTAGACATTATGGACACATCTGAAAATGAGCAGGATGCAACATGGTGTGGGCAGCACACAGTTTAATTGAGTGTCATGCATGTACTACTGCTGTATGTATTCACATGTTATACATATTTGTACATAAAAATAGGTAGTGTGTAGTGGTATGTGAAAAGAAGGAAAGCAGAACAATTTGTTATCCATGAAGTTCATATAGGGATGATCAATAGTAATTTAAGCCTAGCAAGTTATTTCTGAGAGTGACTGAAGTAGCCAGTAGTAAAAGCCAGTAGGGTTTGGACTGTTATGGCATTCCCTACATTAACCACTGCCCCATAAGACTTGGTTCTTCTTTCCATTATTCTCAATTATGAAGTCTATAGTGTATACTGTATTAGATAGTAATCTTGAGAAACAATATGATTGACTTTAGTGTAAGACTGGAACTTTTCCTTTCTCCATGTCAATCATGATTTCACTAGGTTGAAGATTCTCAAGATCCATTTTGACTTCAGGATGAGAATTGTCTCACTACTTGCATTGTTTGTTCCACTGCTTGTATTGGTTGTCCCACTACACTCTATCTATATCCTAAGATGCTCTAACTTCATTGACAACACAAGAAAGGCAATCTCACTCAAAGGTTAGCTCTGCTAGCTTTGGCTCGCAGCTGCAATGCACTATTTCCTTCTCCTTAGCAGGTTGTACTACAACCCTAGCAGCCTTAACCTTGGTCTCCAGTGGTGAATATGCTGAGTCACATGCTAAAGTATGAAGTGGCTCTGGAGTCTCACAGGGCCCATTGTTCCAGTTATTGACCTTATTCATGGCTGTGTGAATCTGCAGAAAGGGTAAGTCTAACCATGAACTCAGCATAGTGATACAATGCATACCTCAGGCTTGCCTCCATTAATGCCCTGTCATCCCTGTATGCTCTCAGCACTGCAATCTTCATTATCACTTCCACTTACATGAGGGTCATCCACAAATAAAGTACTGCCTCTTAGGCCTACTGTGTGGTTAAATTTCACTAGCTGGGCTTAGCCCTAGGGAATATTACTGGGGGTTGCACTGTGGAAGGTGAGGTAGTGGAGATAAGAGCCTAGCACCAATGATATATGTGAGTGTAATTTTGGTGACAACTTCCACAAAGAATTCACTTTCAAATGACTGTGGCAGAGTGTTACCCCTGCATGGCATAACAGTCCATCACTTCTCATGTTGCCTAAAGCAGTGTTGTTGTAACTATTGACTGGGTTGCTTGGTGTGTGGAGTTACTTCTTTTTGGGGGTAGGATCTGGGGTATGCTTGGTGGATGCATTGACTGTACATTTGCACTTTGGAGACTAAGACATTACAGTAATTGTAATACTGCTATGTATGTATGTGAAGCAAATACCTGGTGAGAATGGATCAGTGACTATGGTGGATGTGGGTCATCTTGTCTAATCTAAAATTAATAATATTAATATTAATTAATGCCTGGCATTAGCATGGCAAAGTTGTATACTGTGATGCTCCTACCTTGCTCAAGCCAATCCAGCAGGACTCAACACTCCTTAAGTGTACTCCTAGCTTTCCTAAGGATGAGTGGCCCAAGTAACCTGGCTTTGGACAGTCAGTATGGGAGCAGTAGCAGGTAAAGCAACCATCACCATTTGTGGTGACAGTGATGATCTACTGGCTAGGATTGAATTGAAAAGTCTCAATAGCACCAAAGCAATATTTTGTGGTAGTTCCTACACTCCTCTTCTTCTGGAAATGTTACAGAACACTTAGTGCAAGAATAAATGTTTGAATATGGCATCCCATGAAAGTCTAGCCAGTAAGGGGTTTGGGAGAATTGTCTCAGTCCAAGTATGCAACTTAAAGCCCTGAACACATTCTTGCCTGGAGAAAAAAACACCAAACTCATCTGAACCAGTATTGGAACTACTTTCAAATGCTTTCCAGTGGAAAGTTCTACAATGATTATGCAACTTTGTCACCTAGCACTCCTGTTGGTAGAGAGGACCTATAAATATAATGTAAACAATGCTAGCATGCACTTGGCTATTCATAATAGAAGTATGACATGCCTGCTCTGAGGCTTTCCACTTCATAGCAGGAACAGTACTTTTTCTGCTGCCAGGCACAGTGATCTGCTTTGTAGCTAGCTCAACTTGCTCTGGGATTTGTTCAAGCCTCCTTAGCAGTCAGCTGCTTACATCCTTGGCCTACTTTTATATTTGCACCCATCAGACAATCTAGACTGACAGATGCTTCACATCCAGTGAATTTCATGAAGGTAATGTCTAATTGATTGTCTGTGATAAATTTGTCTGAATTAGTATATTTCACTTCTCTAGAGACAGTACATGGCATGTGTAGCTATACTGCTGTCACTCAAGAAATCACATTCAAATGCACATTGTAACTTACTATTTTCTGAGGAAGAATCATCTGATGGAGATAAATCCTTTCCTCAAACATCTATGGACAGTGCAAATGGTGATGCTATTACTAGGGAGATTCTCCCTCTCATCAAGTCAAGAGGAGAAAGACTGGCCTGCCCTAGGACTTACTGTTTTCTAAAGCAGAGTCAGGAGCAGATAGTGGCTCCAATGCAAGTAGTAATGAGGATATTTCTCCCTCTTATGAAGTCCTGAGGAGAAAGACTGGCTCATCCCAGGACTTGCTTTTTTCTGAAGTGGTACTGAGTACAGATGATAGCTCCAATGCAAGTAATGACAGTGATTTCTCTTTCATGAAGTCAAGAAGACTGACCCAATCCCTGCAAGGTACACACAAGGATACATGATTCCAGAAGCACCTCATCCTGTGGTTTGTAAGCATAGCAATAAATCATGCACCAAGGTATATCACACAGAGCCTCACCCATCCTCTGGCTTGTTTAGTTCTCTGAATAGCTCTTGCCCAATTCTCTTGAATCTCCATATAACTTTTACACCATATGGTTTTGCCTGTCATATTCATGCCATGCTAATCTCCCCTTCCTATTTAAACATCATATGGAAAAGCATTGTATGACTAGGAGTAGATATGTCTGGAAGGAAGTCATGGCACACTTTCTTGGCAGTCACCACATCACAGCTGAAACAGGCTGTCAGGAACCCATGGGCAATCTTACTGAACTAATGTCAGGACTAGGGGTATGCAAGGCCTTTAAATGTCCAATTACTGGCTGTCCTGGATGGTATACTAGTCAAGATTCACTTTGATATCACATTAAACATGACAATTCCTTTCCTAAAGTTCCCCCCCCACAACCATTAATGGAATGCCACATAGTCATCTTTATTATAACATCATTAGTCATGGAGATAGCCTTGGCCATTATATGTTTGTCCCATCAGACATGATGATCTTGTCCCCTCACTTGTGTCTTCATCAGCACTGTTATGCATGGCATGTGATTCATACCATGACACATATACAACAGGAGTGATAAAGGAGCCAATTCAGTAACTTTTTCCTGTGTTAGATCACCACCCAAGGTGGGCCCATATTAAGATTTAGTCAAACTGTCACTATCAGTTAGGACTTGTTAAGAACCATGTTGCTCAAGGGAGAGAGAGACTGACTCAGAGGGGCTTGGCCTCAGCTTGTATGCTGTGCTCCTTACCCAAGTATGTGCCCTTCATGTCATATGAGGTCCAATGATGGTCCAATGAAGTCCAGAGGACTTCCGGAGGCTGGCTACTCTGGTGGAGTGCTAGAGGACTTCCAGAGGAGTGCGGGAAATGTCCGGAGGAGCGCTGGAGAGTTCCAGAGGAATGCAGGATGTGCTCAGGAGAGTTCCCACTGCAAGGTAATACTTCTACAGGAAACAGGATGGAAGGATAGGAGGTCCAAAGGTCCAGAGGACAGGAGGGCAGGAGGGCAGGAGGGCAGGAGGATGGAGGACAGAAGGACAGGATGTCCGAAGGTACAGAGGGCAGGATGTCTGAAGGACAGGACACCTGGAGGTCCAGAAGGAATAGGGGCTACATTGGATGGAGTCCAATGTAGAAACAAACAGAGGTAGACTACCCTAAGGTAGAGTCAGAGGGACAGGGATTGGACCTAAGTCCAGAAAGAGGGTAAGTGCCGGAAGGGCAAAGCTCCAGCCTAGGGAATTAATCCCTAGGCCTGATGGATAGGACAGACTTAGGTAGACCAAAGTCCAAGAGAGGATTGGGCAAGTAGAGCAAAGTCTAAG